TTCACTATGCTCTGATTTTCTCAAAAATCTAGGGGACGTCATCTTTTGTTGACTCTCATTTTTGGCGTTTGTGTACAAATGATTACAACGGAACAAATACTCTACCTATATAGTTGTGTTGCATATTCATTATTTGAAGCGTTGTATCATTTCCCTAACTTCCCTCAATTTTCTTCCATGAGAGCAGATACTGATTCCATCCATCTGCAATGCAAACACGAAACTTGAAGTAGTTTCTAGCTATTTAAAGGAATCGCAACCCTTTCTTAATTAGGAATAAATAGCTCAGTATAGTATGTACAGTTTATAAATAATTATGATATCTATCTATTATGATACAAAAGGGTTATACGGCTAAATACGGATTCAAATATATAAATTCCGTTCAATCACTTTCTCTTATCAACGCAAACACACCTCCCCCGCTCCCATCCCCTGGAATGACCCCCAAATTTATATTTTCTCCCTCTTCAAATCGTTAACAACCATATACCTTCCGATCGATACCCAGCCCCATCGAAACCAGACCATCTGGCTCTTATGCGCTCGTACCATTGCCTTCACGGCAGCCAACCAGTCACCAATACTGCTCACAAACAGCAATCTCTTCGGCTGCTTGTCCTTTGCCGTACTCGACGACCGTTTCCGGTCAAAGACAGCTCCAACAAGCCCATGCACCATGCTAAACGGCGCATCCAGCACGCCGATGTATTTGCGCAAGATATTTGTGGAAGTTAGTGTGTAGAGGGTTACGGGACAGGTGTAGCCAGATTTGTCCTTCATGAGATTTTGAAGGAAAGTGCGCGCACCGTGGTAGAGGGAGCGGTGGTTGGGGTGGTTGCTGACGCCCGATTGATCGAAGGTGATGAGGATGTCGATTGTGGCATTGGGAGGCTTTTTGGTGGACTTGGAGGAGCCGTTGGTGGTGGAGGAAAGTTCGGGCGCGAACGCGGAAGCTAGGAGGGTCGCAATGTCGGATGCGGACCAGGTTGTGGTCATGCTGTCCGGGAAGCGGGATGGGTCGTCCACGACGAAAACGTCAGATTCACTGCGCAGGCCCAGCCGGAGCGCACTGGCTTTTAGTTCATCTTTACGGATGTGGCCGAGACCGTCTGCGTTGCCTGTATTTGGTAAATTTTTTGTTGTTAGAAACTGCTCGTTAAGTCCCTGTCGAGCTAGGTAGGAGATATGTGGAGACACTTTCTAGAAAAGCACATGCAGGAGGCTACGTAGGAAAAGCCTAATGCGCATACCGGAGCTCAAACAAAGAATTTTCAAATGATTTCCGGACTCCGGTCGAGTCATTGCCAACAACGTTGGTGCAAAAAACATGGCCTCATCGTCTGGATGCGCTATTAAAAGACATATCCTCTTATTCCGAACATTGGGGAAGGTGAGACCAGACGGCGACGGAGAGGATGTGGCCGACATAGTCCAGAAGAAGAGGAGAAAAGAGGGGATCAAGGCGAGAGCGAGAAGGGTTGAGCTAGAGTCGATCCCCATGGCTACAAGATTTTGTGGGATCGGATGTATGGGATAGTAAATCTAATGGTGGAAGGGTTTGCCTCTGAATTTTGCAATTGAATAACGAAATTCTTCTTGCGATTGTGACAAAATTTAGTAATCCTCCACGGACGGGACACAACCTAACAATAATGTCGGGACGTAGAAAGACGCCCAGTGGGGTTTGATAGACGTCGCAAACAAGTTCCTCTGCTAACTCCGCTCCCCAAGTAGTTATTTAAAGGGCACGGACACTCCTCTGTTCTCTTCTCTTTTTGGCTAGGTAAGTGGAGAACAACCAGCACAACGAACCGATTTGCTGTTGAGGAGCTGACGTGAATAGGTAACGTGGCATAATAATCTACTCCGGGGTAGAAAAAGGGGGAGGGGCGGATGTCGATCCAATGAAGCTTTGAGATGGAGCGGTTTTGTTTAAGCGGGCCCAAGAGACCGCGCCTATAACACGACAGGCTTAGTCGAATGGCACTAATTGAACATCGTGGGCTAGTGGCTCCTGGAGAGGCCCATCACTGTATCCTTTGTCAGTTGCTCCGGTGTCAACACAATAACTAAATAACTATCCCGCCATTTTGCACAGTGCAATCAAGAACTGGGCGTTGTTGGTCAGGTTGAGGTTGATGCCGAAGCTTAAACCCTTCGAATGAAATAACGCAATCACATGACAAACCTTCCAGATTATGTAATATATAATTATCACGACTTGTTTGTTGACTAGTTAGTTGAAGACTGCATAACAACAACGGGCAAAAAGGCCCAATCGCCAATAGTTCTATACTGGACTATAGAGGCCACCTAACATCCCTAGGTAAACAGTATTTAGGCCCTAAACACCGGGATCATCTCAAAGGGGCTCATTTCGGGCAGAGGTCGACCTGAGCATAAATCTTAGATGTGTAGCGATCTATATGACTTGAGATACTAAAGGACGCCGCCACCTGGCTTAATTATATAACTGCGGCCGCAGATATAGATGCTCTTTCTACGTGTAAGACCATTTCTCCCATAGTTACAAGGCTTATGTGAACAATGCGATGCCAGACGGGAAACAAGAATGATCTACCTGCTCTCTGCATTGTCTCTGGTTCCACAATTCTGCCACTCCTTGACTCTATATATAACTCGGCCTCTTTCAATTCATCCTGGGCAATGTGAATGTTGTAGGGTGATTTTGTCTCCTGTCTGCAGCATGGACATTTGATTCGATACCCAGTCCCAAATTTATGAACACTGTATGGAAGTATGGCACTGTTTGAGGTCTTAACATCAACCAAATCTAAAACGCCAAAGCGGGTCCCCTAAGACGTTGTGAATCATACACTTCCGTATATAATAAGACTAACACGTTAAACTTGCTTTTTGGTTTCTGCAAAAGCGAGTCGAAGGTTAACCAAATGACGGAATTGATTACTTTTTCCTTTGTAAGCCAACCGCTGCTGCAGCTGCCCTGGTCTGCCGGTGCTAGAGAGCAGATCCGCAGGATCGGCTGTGAAGTGCAGGTCACTGTCTGTGTAGACACGTTTCATGATCTCCTCTCATGTGAGCGTCAGGTTAGGTAACGAAGCTGGGAAGATTCTGTCAGCATCTGATAAAAGCATGCTACCAGCACGTTTCTGGCATTCAGGTGGTTCTCGAGGTCTGTTTTATTGGGATTGACTGTGTTGTATGTCAGACTTGGCTGGTCAGTAAATTCTGCAGTAAACGAATAGGGCACCTCCCAGTCTGCATATGGAAGTTCCCTTCTTACTTCTAAACAATCTACGTGACAAGGGTTGAGCTCAAATGTCACTCTGCTCCTCTGAGTTTGGGTGAGAGATATTTTTTGGGAAGCGAAACACTTGGTTGAATCCCAACGCGTTGCAACGACCACTCCGAACCAAAGCAACGTCCGAAATTTAGAGAATGACGAAAGAATAAGAAATATGTTTATTAGCCACAATATGCCATTGCAGCCGGTTGCGATTAGAAGCTGGGGCATTGCAGTGTGCCTGTTAACGTTGGGTGTGGTAAGAGTGCGCTGCAGCAAGAAATTTTGATCAGTCATCAACATAGCATTCATTCGTTGGGAGGGAGGATGTGCTAAAATTATAAATGTCGGTTAGTTCAAACCAACAATCGCATTCGACTCAATGGTGTGGAGAAGTTGGAAGAACTTTTTCTCCAAGCTTCTCATTTGGGGCACCTGACCCATGGTTTGGTTTGGCACAATTTAGTTGTAATTTTCAAACCTTGCAAGGCTGTTGAAGGCTACCATGGATGATCGAAAGTCAGATATCTCGTCGCAACCTCGCAGGCTGTGAAGGAGAAAAATAATATCAGACCACATCATATTTTCTGGCTCTCTCGTTTAAAAGGATGCCGATAGCCACAACACACGGGGCCCACGTCTGAAAGTTCCCAATATTTTTACAAAATTGCGTGATGCCCGCTCTAGAAGCATATCTCAATTTGACATTTGGTGTTTGCTTCTAGCCCCTGCGCAACGGCTGCTCACGATTAACTGACGTTCAGAAGACTGAGCCTTTGCAGTAGCGCATTCTGCACGCCAGCCAGGGTTGGTTAAATGTTGGGCCAATCGCTTGCGTCAAGGTGAATTGTTCCCAGACAAATGGCGGCGCATGGCATGATTTACCCCAATTGCGGAGTGCATTGCTGCAAAACGGCAGAGATAGTCATATGGTGCCAATTTACTCTGTAACAACCTACCCAGGGGGGCAACTACTCAGAAGTAACTAATTTCTGTGCGGGTCAGATACTGGAGTCCAACGGGCAGCGGAAACTTGCAGACGTCAACGATATGAAACGTTCAACCTGGCCTAGGAGTTGCCTGGTTGTTTCTTGGTCAACGTGATTATTCTTCAACAGTATTAATAGTTTGAGCTGCCAAGTATTTTGATGTCGATGACGGTGTCAAAGTCTAGTTCCTCGGCGGAGAGTCTAGATGCGCTGTATTTGGGTCGCATGACAACGCAATACCAAACTTTCGTTGCCACCGAAGTGTATTTTACACCTCTTTTACCACCCCGATACAACCCCGTTCCCTAGATCTAGGATCTACCATAAAGTTTAGCAAATTTTTTCCTCCCGCGGTTTCTACCCCTCAACTGGTGTTGCTTTTCTGTTTGATTATTACCTGACTCATGGCTAATGAAACCTGTTCCTCTGACCCACGCAGAGTATTCACAAGTTGCAAATTGGTATGTGGATTCATCAGAGATCTCGATATTGAACCCCAATCAATACCTCCTATCGGTTCAGATGACCACGGGGATCTATCTGTCCTTTTGTATGGCAAATGCAATAGGGCAACAGCAAACCCCGATATCCAAAAGAACAAGAGATAGAGTGGAGTTGTTACCTTGCTAGGTACTCTTTCGTCACCTTTAGTCCCGCCCTCGCGGAATTCCCCTGCTAGCAGCCGCTGCCCTCTGTGACGGCGACAATACATATCTCCAAATCGACAATATCCAACGCTCGCCATGCCGGGCAGAATTCTCTCCAGCCTCGTGCGGTCTACTGCACACCCTCCATACCTCAGTCTACCGCACGAGCACAGCGATCGCCATGCTGCTAGATCGGCCTCATCACCACCTTCACGGAAAAGCGAGATCTTCTCAAGCAACCGTTCTGGACATGATACCCATGCACCGGAGCAACCTGAACGCCGTCTTTCTTTTTCCTTAGATCATCTGATCCATCCACATCACAATCGGGATCGGGATCGGGGTCGTAAGGAGAAGCGACGGAGTTGGATACTTCTGCGTTCTGGCGAAAAATCAACGGATAACCACGATGCTCTCACTGCCCCTGGTGCGAGCTTGGACCTTGTTATTGAATCCCCACCGTTGGTTCTATACGGTTCTCCCAGTCGATCTACGGGTGCATTGATGTCCGGTCGTCTACTGCTTTCCGTGTTTGATTCTCAAGGGGAAATCATCCTCAAAACCTTACGCATGCAACTTACCTGCACAGCTACTACCAATAAACCCGTATCTAAAGACTGTCCGGCCTGCAAATCACGCACGAATGTGTTGTACAAGTGGGAGTTTTTGACGGAGCCTTGCCATCTGAAGACCGGCAATCATGATTTCCCATTTAGTCACTTGTTTCCTGGCAATTTGCAGGCAACAACTCATGCGGCGTTGGGTTCGGTTTCCTACAACCTTTCCGCGTATGCAGTCACCGCAGCTGGCGAGGACCTACACCTTCAAGTGCCCGTAAACATAAAACGAGCAATCATGCCGGGCCCTGACAAAACTTCAATGCGCATTTTCCCTCCAACCAACCTAGTAGGCAGGGCCATCGTTCCTCCAGTAATACACCCAATCGGTAACTTTCCCATTCGGTTTAGTCTTCGTGGTGTCGTGGAGAAAAGGGAACACGGTAGCGTCAGATGGCGCTTGCGGAAAATGATGTGGCGGATAGAGGAGCAGCAGACGATAATATCTTCTGCTTGTTGTCAACACCACCAGAAAGTACCTGATGGAAAGGGCATTTTGCACCAAATGAGACGGATAATTGGCAACGGCGAACAGAAAAACGGGTGGAAGACGGATTTTGATACGGTTGGTGGAGAGATAAATATTGAGTTTGAAGCCCACATCACGCCAGGATCGAACCCCACGTGCAACCTCGCCCCTACCCCTGATGGAGGCTTGGAAATCAAACACGATCTCGTGGTGGAACAGATTGTCGCAGAAGAGTATTGTCCCAATAGCAACGTCAATATCATCACCCCAACTGGCTCAGCACGAGTTTTGCGCATGGTGTTCCAGCTCCATGTCACGGAATGCGCTGGGTTAGGAATTAGTTGGGATGAAGAGATGCCACCTGTGTACACCGACGTACCTGCCAGCCCCCCGGGTTATGTTACCTCAGACAAATCTGAAGTTTCGGTGGAGACTTACTCTGCCCCCCCTTCCCCTCGCCGGACCATGAGGAACTAGAGCCAATAAATAATGTTCTGCTCTATCAACCTCGCGCTCCTCACACCCCATCATCGACAATCACCTATAATCATCCTCGATATCCGTTCTATTCAAAAATCGTCCTGAGACTTCAAGCAATGCTTTTCCATTTTGTGATCGCATATGCATGCTAGTATTATGAATCTTATTTGAAAACATCCCTCCTCCGATTTCAGTGCCAATTGGCATCTTTAACTTAGTTCTTTATTTCTGTTGTCTCTTATGTCCATGAAACGAAAAAAAAAAAAAAAAAAAAAAAAAAAAAAAAAAAAACCTCCACGATTCCATGACCAGTTTTTTCAACCAGCAATTTACGATCCCTTCTAACCTTAAACCCTCTCCCCTTTCCCCCACTCCATCACTTTGAGCCAAATAATTGCAGCTAACTATAGAGTTTAACAGCGTAAAAGTTGCAACATCTTGAAACTTTATGCTTGTTGATGTTGGGTGTCCTTTTATTTTGCTTCATCCGTTTGCTCTATCGATTTAGCCACTGGATCTCCTTCTTTTCCCTGCAGCATGCCTGTTATACAGAAAATGTGCCCTTTTTCCCGTTCTTGCGCTGGATCGTTGTTCTAAATCTCATCTTATGCTGAAAACAAATATCCCCTATACGTTCGCTGTCTTTATTTTCCCCCATAGTTGACACAAACTCTGCTCATCCTTTTATTTTCCTCGTGGGGATCTGCCCTATACATACATTTATAGGGTCAGTTATCTTGCTTTTGAATCTACGGCGGTTGTTTCTGCTTTCTTATGCCTTATGTTGGGTCTTTATCGACTCGAAAAGGGGTGAAATGAAAGGGCAACAACACGGGACAAAAATTATGCTTAACCAAAAACATCTTGTATATAAATAGCTGCCTGCCTATGTCTCACGAATCTAGAATGAAATCATGACCATAATTATATTTATTTAGACAAACTCTTAGTGAGGTCTCTCGTTGTGATTAATTATCGCACGAGTGACATGTTTAACCTCGATATATCTATATATTACCCATAGGCTTCTATTCCACATACATCTGGTACATATACCCACAAGTGGAAATGAAAGTGAAAATGACCCCTGATGGATCAAAAATAGACATAGAAAGACGTCTTTCGTAAATCAGATCAAGCCAGCCGCATTACCACACCTACAAATATATATATATATATATATATATATAGCTATCTGCTACCTGAAGCTCACAACCAACACGCCTACCCCCCATGAGGGCGCATCTAACCTAAACGTGCCATTCTCACCGTTTGGTGAAATGACGGATTTGATAGGGGTTACCTTGGTTGAACCGTATACGTTGCTGGCCTCCGGTGGGCCACTGATGAGGTGGAGGGAACATGTGCAGTCGATCCTTTTATCGTCAAATGTAACCTTGATCTCGCGTCTATCAGGGCTGTAATTGGCAAATTTGACGATGTAGCTGGTGTTAGATTTTGAGGCAACCCAGTAAACTATTTGTCAATGGGGAGGGGTTAGATTTAAAAACAAAGCAATGGGAAAGTATAGTCCGTAAGAAATGAACTGGCCACATCGAATTGGGCGGTGAGTTTAAAGCAAGAAGGAACCGTACCTGGCCCAAAGGGGCGGTTGGACAGCACTTCAAGGACAGTGTGACCTCGATAGAGTGAGAACAGTTGGTGCACATAGTAACTAGTCGATAGAACCACCCTATTTGGGTTATGGTTAAATTCTATGAGATCGGGCTGTAAATTCAATTCTTTTAGAACACATGGCCAGAGCCTCCTTCAACAGTCTGGGGTATTTAGAAAAAAAAAAATTTTAATATGCGCAAAGGATCTTGAAATACCGTCCATTGGGTGCCCCCACGATTTCTCAGTAACGGAGCATATGCCTCCATCTTCACAACATCGCTGTTGCGCTCTATCCCAATCATAAAAACCGCCTCCGCAACCGAGCACTGCACATTAGGCTCTGGTATTTGCGCTCCCTCGTCATTTTTGCTGCACGCAAATTCGCTAACAGACCAGGGATGTGCCCTGTCAACGTTGTCGAATTTGTTAAACCAGGAGACTAATTCGCTTGGTGAAGAGTACGCGTGAAAAGTGATCCAGAGTCCGTCTGGCAACCTCGCAGGGAGGAACTCTCCCGTGCTCGCAATGAGATTTATATCAGGATATTTCTCATGAATTGCGTTGTAGAACATCATGAGCCGCTCTGGATATGATGGCCCACCTCCCCAAAGATGATCTTCATTTCCAATTTCGACATGTAATAGTTTGAAAGATTTTGGATGACCAAGCTTTGCCCGGAGAGCTCCGTATGTCGTCGATAATTCCCCGCGAATAAACTTCCCACAATGTCAGAGTGGTGACATCAGGGGTAGTTGTATAAATTGGATCAAACGCACCTCTATTTCATTGAGCACATCTTCAACGTAGGGCTTTAGAGCATCACCGGTGATGATATCTCCTGGACCTTGTCCAAAGCTTAGACCATCCCAAACCGTTAGGAGAGGAATGAGGTTCATATCCTCACACCAGCATAGATATTCAAGCAAACCTGTACTACTTAACATTCATGGAATGCGACATCGTCTTGCGAAAAGATTGACTCACCAAGGGCATCGGTATTCGCGTACGACCATGTACCTGGAACATGGGGTTACTTGTGTACTCCTCGCTGTACAGGACATGAACAAATAAGCTATTCTCTTAATCATACCTTCACGGCCAGGCCGACTCTCCAGCGGCCCAATAGTTTCGTTCCATTTCCACCTGGAATAGGGATGTATTCCTTCGCTATTTATCACTGTTTAGCTCGGCCTAATTCACCCAGGACCGAGGCGGAGAACAACCTACAGATTGTTGCCCCCGGGAAATCGAAGGAACGAACCATTCATATTCGCAATGGGGTCCGCGAGTGAAGGTTTAAGACCATTTTTCCTAGGCACTCTAGTTAGGATTTCCCCTTGGAGAATGTCAAATATGCAAAGATACAGACCTGTCACGAAAAGTCCTGGGATACAGCTGGATCAGCGAGACATAGATCTCTCGCCCAGCAAGTTTGCATCCATTGAATGTCAATGCCCAAAGGTTATCTCCATCCGGCGCCTGTTCTGGTTTGAACTTCGTTTCATAATAGGTAAACTTGTCCGCATTACTTTGAATATTGACATCCTGTGAGGCGTATAATGTATTGTTGGCGCGTCCTCTCAGACTAAGGGTGGCTTTGCCGGTATACGACCCCTTTATAAAGAAAGCGCTGGTGTATGTTTCGGAATTGACTGGGATCCCCCAGTATCCTTCATTTGAGAAGCCCACCTCACCAGAGGTGCCTTCTGGAACGGAGATTTTGAGGCTGCGCGGAATTTCAGCAGAGAGAGGGTTACTAAGGTCAACACCCAAGGTCACATTACCCACCGAATTATACGCTGTGAGATCAGGAGATTCTCCTTGAAACCCATTGTTCCGGAGCAGCTGGGAATGGATTCCACCATCTCCAGAGTGATTTATATCCTAGGACGACCTTGTCAGCGAGATAGCCAGCTTGTCATGTGAAGGCTCTCGCATACAGACTTCAAACATAAACCCATACAGGATGGGACTGGATTCGTTTCCTCCAGAAGTTGACACTCGAAGCTCCACCGTTTCGGCATTGGCAAAGAGGAAAATTTCGAACAGGAATAAAACGGAAAGATCAAAGAGCTTCCTGAGATCGACAACCATGATTGGAACGCTGTTCTGCTCCTGGACACAACCAATCCGGTGCAAAAACAAATCAAGGGCCTATTTCCCTCCAGTTTTGGCGTCGAGAGGAAATCTCCAAGCGTTGCATGAGATAACTGAGGGAACGAAAGCGAAAATGGGAGCTTGTTTGTGGAATCTCCGCTGGAAGAAAGCAGCCACCAGAAGAGGCCCTTGGGACGTGGTAGGAACGACTACGAGCATGCCTGTTAAACGTATGCTCCACCTGATTTCTAGCAGTACAGAAATCGGCGGATAGAAAAGCGGGGAGAGTCGGGCTGCCTCGAACATGTTGCTGATCAAGCGTCGCAGAGGCTGCTCCAGTGCTGCAGTTGAAGGACACCAAGAGGTGTGGGCCTGGACGACGCTGTCCCCATAAGCCGTGACAGCAGATCCACCGTAGAGTTGAAAGATGATAAGACTCATGACGAAGTGTTTGCTTGTTTTCTCCCGAAGTGCAGCTGGCATTTTGGGCCCAAGATACAAAGGCTTGAAACAACGGCAGAATATCATGTCAAGTGTGCCATGTTGTTTGGACGAGCACGCACCCCTGGAGATGATGGATGATGATGTGAGACTAGTTATCCAGTGTTCTCTGAAATGACGATGGGCCGACGCTGAAAGAAGTCATCCAGGTAAAGAAAAACAATCCCCCGTGGGAATCAAAGCTGCTGTTATAGTGGAAAGTGATATGTAAAGATGGAAATCAGTTAACTATATAATGTTTGTCCATTCCAACTGGTTTCAAGGCCGTAGTTACAGTGTTGTTGTGGCCGGTAACTCGATCATTGCTCCGTCGTTCTCAAAATTCCCGAAACCCGGGCAGAAATTAAAATATTTCTATTTATGTGTGCATATCAAACACTTTCATGTTTTGTCGATCACTCTTTATTTTCGTCTACACAACGCAAGAAGACGACCATAGGGTGTGTATAACCAGAAAGCATTAAATATGCGAGCTTTACTTAGCAAAAACCGGCTTCTAAATAATTTCCTGTAGGCGAGCGAAGCTAGGAGAGAAGTGACCGCATATTGATGATCAACGCAAGTGTTGCTGAGGGAGATCTATTATCTTTCATAAATTATCCCATTCGACCCCCTCGTCCGTTTTAGGGTAACTAGCTCAGATAATTCCATAGCCCTTGAATAGAACAGCCCATCCAATTGGTACTAAGACCGCCAAAAGAGCCGGGATCAACGACAGCTCCAACACCAGCCAAACCCACAAAGTCCCCAAAGAGGGTGCTTTTTTCATCACTGCATAGTAGGATGCCTCGTTCGTGATCGCTATTAGGCGTCCGCCGAGAAAACAGGCCACGGGGACGAATATGATTGATTTTGCCGAAGGGGGAAATAGAGCTTTGAAAATCTTTTCCATGGCAGTAGTATCATCATTGGTAGAATCCTGTCGCGTCGGATCCCCGTTCTTTCCATTCCGCCTCTGCTCCTCTTTACCTCGGGAGTTGAATATATCAAACGAGATAATATGACCGTGAGCAAGGTGGATCAGGAAAGTTAAAGTAGGGAAGGATACAAAAGCCGACTCCCTTAGGAGTGTTTGCAGTGGGATCTCTTGGGCATACTGGTGTGCTGCGAGAAAGGACAGTGTAAAGTGAAGAACCGAGAGAGGCATCGAGATGAATATAGTGTCAGGGAGAGGCGGTATAGGCGCATTTACGTCAGCTTCATCACCCGGGGGAGCTGAAGTGTTGCTTTGATTTTTCGTAGATAGCTCGGAGGGATCATCAACTCGAGATATTTCACCCGAAGGAGAAATTGTGACGAACTCTGTGCCCGAGGGTGGTTTGAGGTCCTCTTTTGGCCTGATTCCTTTTAGCTCCGCCTCTCTTTCGGCTGCGATCTCATAGAGCGTTCGGGCTTTTGCGTTCGGGGAGGAGTTGTTGACGACGGAAGGGCGACTAAGAGGGATCGAGGCCGGGTCGAATGCAGCATTGCCTGCGGTGGAAGCCTGAGCTGCACGCCGTTCTTTTCGGTTTCGAGGCGGCATGTCGAGCCATACGTTAGCTGAAGCAATTTCAGCCCCAGAATAACAAGTGAGAGGAAACCCGGAGGAGCGAGGACGGTTAAATATGGGGTGGGAACAAACGGCTGGTTCTGCCAAGGTTTAAAATCTTCCTCGCGAGTTGACTTCCTTCTGCCGCTGCGTAGAAAACCATGATACTTATTTCAAGAGCAAAAAGAAAATGTTGCCGATGTATTCCTGCTTCAAGAGCTTCTCTTCTTAATTCTCTCTCATATTCTTATACACAATGTTTATCTGTTTATTTATTATAATGTCTTTTATTTGCTTGGTAGTCGAGTTGTTGACCGCAGCGGCGTGGAATTCCAACCACCCAATTTACTATATTTACCCGCCAGGGGGTGGATTTGCAGCCTTGCCTTTATTGAATCCTCTGCGCCGCGCATTAACAAGTAACTATATCTATGGTGGCATTGTGTCATGACTGTGTAGATATCCACATGTGGGATGATTACTTACGCCATTCCATCAAAATTGAAATACTCCGACGCAATCTAGGATCATAGACGATGACCTAAATCTCATCCAAAACTGCGTAACTAGCCATGGCATGGAGAATCCGAAGTGAGCCACACGACACAATTCGCTACATCCTCCGCCTATCATGGTTCAACTACACTGCCCCAGAGTCGAAAGGTCACCCCCCAATCTATACATTGAAGAGGACATTAATATCATCAGATCAAGGAAATCCATTGGCTCCACTCAAGCTTTGACTATCTACAAAAGGGGATCGCGCAGGGCCTTTCATTCTGCACGGACAGGAACTTCGATGTCTTTCTCACTTCGAGAAAAGGCCAAGGACGGAGAATCAGCATTTTACGGCACAACGACAAACCTGATTATTTCGAAACCGACCAAGTGACAGCGATCATCGGATCAACTGCCCAAAAGCCCTCCCAAATGTCAACAAGATACAATACACGGCTAGATTGCTCAGATGCTCAGTGATTTACACAGACGGGCGGATTCTCTATGCGGATGAGGATGAATAGGGGATAGGCCATGTACAGCTTTTCTCGATTGGAAATCACTAATGTCGAGAGTGTGCTCCCCAGAATCGAAGAAGCAATAATCAATGTTGTTGATTCCAACCACAACGAATATTGGTCCTTGCTCACATAAACCTTTGGGTTCGAGGCGTGATTCTTTGGATCTTGCCTTTTACATATTTTTGGGGCTGATATTTGAGCCTAGAGGCCATCGCTTCAGGTCCAAGAGTGGAAAAATTACGTCTTCCTCCGACTTAGTCTCTTTGCTCCAATTTCAGTTCACATCCACGAGTCCTGGATCACAGCTGCTTCTGGCGAGTGGCCTTGACTATGAAAATATAGTTCTGTGGTTTAACCATTGACATATTTTCAACAAAACGAGAAAACTTGCCAGGGTCGTTAACTATGGAATGCGCCAGCTTGAGGATCGCCGAACCTTGCCAGCACGGACCTCCCAGCAATTGTTACTTCGCATTTTCCGCTAATGAGTCATTGAGAACAGATGAACGCGGGTAGATAGTTAAAATCAAACAAATCCCCTCCATACATTGTATGATCGATTGATGATAAAGAATGTATAAAGTGAGCTTGACTCCCAGGTACGTATACCGGGTTCAAGGACTTCGAAAAGAGCACATACGCTGAACCGAGCGTGAAATCAGGAGTGAAAGCAGACGGATTTCACTATGCGCGTAGCCACTGCGGGCGTTGGTGCTCTTGGCCACCACATTTACGTGCGATCATAGCAACTGGGAATCATTTAGTACCTGTTTTGACGAGAGGACGGCCAGCTTCTAAAGAGATTTCTTTGCTTCTAATTTCAAGTCCTCTACAGATCTATAATCTTCCCACGACCTATCAACCATACTAACAGTCTCCATTTTAACCGCCTCAGTGTTTTGATGGCCCCGGATAACATGGCGGAAAATCAAAATACAGGGACAAATCTTCACTCGTGGAGGCTCTCCGCGGCATTGAAACAGGCTTATCGACCTCATCAAGCTTCGATGAAGATTCATTCGTAGAGTGCCAGGTTGCATTAGCCGAAGCATGATCGCATTGAGTCCTTAAATGCGGAAAGAAGAGTGCTCTCTTTCCTTGACACCCCCGCCGTTCGGAGTAAGATCCAGTGTGTACGATATTTGCACCGGGAATCTTCTATGATTACTACTCCCCTATGACAGAGGATGGAAAGAGGCACCTATTGTGTTTGATACGGTGGTTGATTTGGAAATTCTTGTAGTGTTGAGCTTGTCGAAGGGATGGAGGACAGATGGATTCGCTTCACGGCCGTCGATGATGTAGGGGAGTTTGTTGAGAGAGCTTTGGACCTTAAGGACTGGCCGGATCAGTTTTTGATGTCTGGAAAAAATACATCCCGCATGGAGCTCATTGAGTTGTGTGAGAAGGTTAGAGGTACGTAAAGAGATCATGGTCCATTAAATTTCAGTGCCATAAAATTGAGTACCGAAATTCCGTCTATACTTACGGAAACGAGTTAGGAAAACTTTTAAAAATAGAACGCATATTCCTTGAAAATTTGGAGAACAAATTAGATGAGGTGAAGAAAGCGAATAACGCAATAGACGTCTTCAAATGGAGTACGCCTCCATGTGTGTTGGGACGGCTACTTCGGATGGGATGAGAAAACCACCCACGGGATAGATATCAAAACCGTTTCCGGATGAGAGATTCCAATCTTTGGAAGAATTCGTTAAAGGCGTGGCGGTGATTGATTAATTACTTACCACCCCCTCTGGGGCAGTTTGTGCTGCTACATTGTATACATTCTCACCAATTCTCCCACTAGTAAAAGGGTACAGCGGAAAGAAAGAAACAGAACTTCTAACTTCCGGTACTTTCAGCACTACACATGAAATTACCGTGCAAAACTCCAGTTAGAGAGGACCAAATGTCTAGTTTTGGCCATCCCATTTGTCTAATTTAAACTTTGGTATTTTGCTTGTTGAAATAATATCAAGTCATTTATCTATATAATTTTGTGGGAAGGAGTGGAGTTGCGACTGTGATCCAAGTTGAAAGCATTGAACAAATTGCCTAAACACCCTACCAGACAACTGGGAGCTCAGTTATGCCAACGTCTTGATCTGCGGGGGTATACTTGATTTCGGATTGCGGGATCCCAAGTCTAAGATTTGGAAGTCGTTGGAACAACGTTGCTGTTGTGCAAATGTATGTTAGAAGGCGAGACACGCGCTGCGGGTTTGAAATCGATATGGGAGTGCATGGACCAATTATTTCAAAAAAAAAAAAAAAAAAAAAAGGAGAAAAAGAAGAAGAAGAAGACTTACAAAAAACAACTTCCATCTCAGTACGAGCCAACCCCTCAGCGACACAAGTGTGTTCGCCATACCCAAAGCCAAGGGCCGTCTCAGATCCCCTCTTACGGTACATATCGAAGACGTCTGGGTTGGGGAAGACTTCTTCATCCCGGTTGCCGGATTGGGTGGCAGCAATTATGCCTTCCCCTGCTTTTATGTGCTGGTGGAGAAATACATGTTAACAGCTGGTAATTTCAGGGCTGCGGAATGCGAAAAAAAAAAAAAAAAAAATCAAAGTACAGTCACAACGTATAAAACATACTTGGCCACCAAGGATGATATCCTCTTTAGCAACTCGTCTTGTGGCCATAGCAGAAGCCGTGTGGAAGCGGCAAAGTTCCTCAACAAACTGGGGCGCCAGAGACGGATTGGCTCTGAGGTCTGCCAGTTGACTGGGGTTCTGAAGAAGAGTTACGACGCCCTGCGGGTTCGTTAGAAACTCACCACCTAGATATGCTGCTGTTTAAGGACCTACGAGACAGATCATGTTGACTAAGGTGGCATTTCCAGCGACCAGCATCAAGAATGCGATTTGGACGGCATCTAGCCTGTCAATATCCCCCGGTTTAAGCTATAATTAGAGAAGCGTTTCATGATTAGCACTTGCTATTCATCCAATGGTAAATGCAAATCAAATAAATACTACCTGTTCGACAACCAACTTGCTAATCATGTCATTCTCCGGTTTTTCAAGTCGTTTATTGACCAAATTTCCAATGTAATCCAGGAGTTCCCTAATCGCCATCCTTAAATTTTAGTATATTTGAACGAGATAAATGAACCTATTAAAAAGAAGGAGAACCTACTTATTAGCATTAGCCGCAGCTGCAGCGGTAGAACTTCCATTACTGCGAATAGCATTACATTTGGTGAGATACACAAGGTCATGCTCCGGAACCCCCAAAATTCCGTATATGATCTATTCGTGTCGTTAGCAACTACATATACTATTGATCGAGAAGGTTGTTTCTATAAGCGGAGACCGACATAGGATGGGAGGGGCAGAGCAAACTTCTCAACCAAATCTACGGGATTTTCACAGCCCTGTTGGATCATTTCATCCAGGAGAATATCGGCAATGGCTTGAATATGCGGACGCATTGTCTCAGAATGCTTCCTGGTGAAAAGGGACGCAACCATACTCCTTAAATAAAACAATTCTATCAGCTTTAATCCTCCCGACATTCATTTGAAAAGCACAACTTCGTACCTCTGATGCATGTGTTCAGGAGGGTCCATATCAACGAAAGTCGGGCGGTTTTTAGCAGCTTGCTTCCCTCCAGGATTCATTTCAGGGAAACCTGGGCGGGTGCGTTGCTATAGAATCGGTGCCTTTTATCAGAAACAGTTGAGGCTCCCCAATTGACTGGCCAAGGTGTTCGTACCTTGGACAAACGTTGATCTGTAAGGACACTGCAGATGTCCTTATGTTTGACCACAAGCCATGGGTGACTGTTGTCCCAGAGTGTGACTCGAGAAACGGGATTTGTGGCCCTGAGTTTCGCATACTCAAGAGGGGGTATAGCCTCAGATGGGCGAGAGAAAGGGAATTTTGGAGGGCCTAATCCAGACAGTTACCTATTTTAGCATCTGAGCTGTGAGGGTTGGGACGGATGGCCTACTAGATTCTGTAGACATGCTGAAGCATTGGGAGCGTGGAGCAAGGGCCGATCGAGCAGAGTTAAGTGATTTAGATCTGTTAAAACCTGTTAAGATGTCAATTTTAAACCGAGAAAAAGTATTTACCATACCTGCAAAATCCGCATGAGCCCCTTAAATATCGTCTTGCCGGAGTCATGAAGAACTGAGAAACACTTTCCACTGGCCGTGAAAACCCCATTCCAACACACCGTGTCTCCACAATGACGTCCAATCTCTGTATCCCCAACGTGGCAAATCGCCAGACAATCAAAGTCCCTGAAACAGCAGGTAAAAATGCAAGGACAAATATAAATCTATATCCTAGACAGGAGATGCAGGAGACGTAGAACCAATGGCGTGAGATTTCCAACCATTGCACCTGAGCCTTTTATAGATAAAATATATCCACGGAACGAACGGCGAAATCAAAGGAGGTCCGTAAGCAAAGAATAACATGTAATTCACTGGCTGCATTGACAAATAACCTCTGAACTATTTGTCACTCAACAACCAGGAATAATGAGAAGACCCTAGCCCCAAGCCAATGGATCAGGAATGACGGTAGACAAGGTTCTAGAGAAACACCCAAAGAACATTATAAAAACAAAATCATCAACGGACAGAAAGTGGAGCAGAGCAGCCTATGATATAAAAGCATCTATGGTCTGGGGGCCTGGGCGTTTGCCGTCTTGACAGCTGCCATTCAAGTGTTCCACGTAAGGAGCATAAAAGCAGATGAAGAAACTTTAGAACCCTAGAAAAGACGAAAACTAGGATCCGGGATGCTCCAGGGGAAGGATATCATCGTCCTAGTCAGCCCCATGCCGCTCACCGTTATTATGGCTAACAATGTAATGGCTGTGGATGGTTCCGGGGCTCCGGTATGACGTGGTAACTAGTAATTCACTACTGCCCACACACTTGCGACCCAATATGACAGGGTTAGAAAATCCATAGATGGGTATATAGCCTTCATTTAGAGGCATAGGAACCCAAAGGCATAACGAAGCTTTTGCCCATGGGTCTTTGCGGAGTTTACTTTTCACCACAGGGGAAGCAGGCCGATGATTCATGGATACCTAGGTAACGATGTGCAGTTGTATGCTAGCGGTTGGAATTATATTTTCAATCCAGCCATGCCATGGTCGAGGCCTGCGTAGAGCCCGAGGAGATGTCCTCCGAGGAACAAAGAGCAACTAATTATTCCCGCCGGTGGGCGTTATCTGCTAGTTAGTTAATTCTTGCGTTTGAGGAAAACCGCGCTTGTTTTTGGAGTGGACATTGACCATGTTAAGTGCCTTACGGATACATTTCGCAAATACCAAAAACTCGAATTTCAACGCATTGGACGGCGAGTTGATTGGCTGTAAATATCAGAGTCTTTCTAGATCTCACAACTTTGGATTGAACATAAGAACGATTCTTCTAAGGGAGAGTTCTCGATATCTCAACATGCAGAATAAAGCACACAAGTCTCCAGCCTTTTTCTTTTTTCTTTTCTTTTTATTTTATTTTATTTTATTTTATTTATTTATTTTTTTTTATTTTTTTTGGAGGTCATTGCGTTAATATACTCAACTAAGAGCTTGGTCATGTCCGGCGAGAAGTTGAGGTGTGTACACACATACGTTATGCTTCCCACTCGAAGTCCCCGCACGTAGTTTAACTCCAGCAAGTTGGTTCCTGGGAAGCGAAATCCTTTCGCACTGAGAAACACGGAGGGAAAGGAAAATAAATATCTCAATTGATGAAGGCCTGCATCGTAAAGGTCCAGGTGCCCCTTTGCTCGGCGACATTCACTAGTTATATATCGACCGATCAATAAATTCAAATTGCACGTTTCATCGTTGCCGCCACGCTGAGTCATCATGCTCGAGATCATTAGTTAACTATGTTAATGATAAGCCTTCGGGCTTAACTGTTGGGCTTCATCCTGACAATGTGGCGACCTAAAACGAAACAGTAACTTGTTTATGGGAGAGTCACTGACGGCGGCATTCCAAGATACCTAATGGAAGGGAAACTTTTCACAAGGCATATAGGCTGCCTAGGTGTCATTGATCGGAAACCAAAACACGAAACTCGACCAAGCTAGTTAGAGATAACTACTTAACTAAACCTCAACAAAATGTCGAAAGATTGAGGCCCAGCTTCATCTAAGCCAGGAAATCAAGAGCCTAAAACGCGAAAAGTGAGTGGCCAGAGCCCCAACCTCTCATTAGTTGGCAATATCCTAGGAGATGATTTAGGCACTTGACCAGGGATTTTGCGGAATATGCGCAAATCCTTTTGGGCCGGAAAACTAGAGTTTAATAGCTTAATAGAACTGTCGTTAGAGATGTGCCCCTGAAGAGTCATGAGGTGACTGTTAGATCTCCGTTTAACCAGGACGCGGCAGCTTTTAGCTTCGTTGACCTGGTAACTTACTGCTGTGGAAATCCGCAGATGAGCTAGAATGAGGGATGTTGCTGAGTGGTTGTGGTTATCTCTTGCCAACCGCTTCGACATATTTTCCAGGAGTTCAATATATCCTGTATGATTGATACACTGACTCACGAAAGACACGGAATTCAAATCCTTAATCCTTAATTATGGGTTGACCTTTAACTGCATCGATGAATATCAACAACATTTTCCATTTACACAACTCTAAATTTTCTGGTCTATGTTCTGAATATCCCAGAAGTCAGTCTGCATGGGCAAACTTGTCCTTGACGAAACGGTATCCGACACTCTCTTTCCAAGCGTTCACTGGATTCGCGCCCGTCGTGTGTGCCAGTGAATTGACATGGGCCGTCATGTCCTCGAAAGGCAAATTTAAGACGCATTGCTTGGTACGTATGATATTTTTGGTAGTTTGGGCTGAGCTGCCAAGTCCGATCATACTTCGATCACCGAGCCACCACGCAGAGGACATGGGAGCGATGTTGGAAGTACCGTCTTCGTTTTCGCTGGTGATGAGGACGACGGGGGTGCCCCAGTATAGAATTGCCGGTGATATTTGGTGGTGCATGATGTTGAGGGATGCAAAAAGGGGAGGACGCAAGCCCAGGGATGCCCTACACAGATTTAAAGAATAGTTCCTCCAAATCAAAAATAGTTGCGATTTCACGTTAGTTTTTCTCTCCTCGTGTGTCCTCTGCAAAAATAACTCCAAACGACGCGGTGAATCGATTGCTTTATAGTTATCGGCTTCGACTTATATTGTGAAGTATACCTACACAAAATCTGGTTCTTCGCACCATCATCATACCCCTGATAATCCTCCTGCACAAACAAATCCATGACCTGTCTCCAATATACCCAATCATACATTACGCTACACACACAAATTCAATCTGTCGACTGGTATCTGTGCAGAAATTAATGTGAACTCGCAACACCTCTCACCAGCCAGATTTTAGATTGGTCATATTGCAAACAAGCATTTGCTAGGTGCAAAACTAAATTTACGAGGATGTGTCGGTCTAGTTAACTCCCGATATTGTCCCAGAGTCCTGCACTGAGTATATAAGAGATTTGCCGTCACAAACTTAAGAAACTGAGTTGTGGAAACTTCAAACAATCAAAGCAATAACGGCTTGGTTGAAAGCTTTTCCTCCATTCTATTTCGTGTATATTGGGCACAAAGCGTACGAAAGTCGAGAGTTTGAATCGGTTGTTCAATGTTATTCAGTTGCCAAATCTATATAGATAACAAACGGAAATGACGAAGTTACAACTATGCGAGTTAAATCGCAATATTATCGTCAAGTTTCGTCAAAAGTGTCCAAAACAGGTCACAAAAAAATATGGAACACCTTCTGGCAAGAGAAAGTTAACCCCACCAAAAAAAGGCAAGAAATCAGACGGGATAATTCATGCGGAAGGTGAAAGCAAAAGCATCAGAACATTCCACCGAAAATGATATCTAGGTCTGGAAAAACCGAACATAAAAGAGAAGTCAAGAAGTACACAGAAAAACTAGGATCGTGAGCAACCTAAACACCAAAATAAAACGCAATAATATCCAATATATATGCCGATAAACCAACGTCCTAGCATTGCCGTAAAATTGGTAATAAAAATATTATGGAGCGGTAAGAGAACTTCAAGGAAATCATCTCTTCGCATTCCGACTAGCCGCAGCGGCTGCAAGCATCTTCATCGAGGTAGGCGCATCATCGCCAGGAAGATAAAGTTCAACCAGCTGCAGAACCTTGCCTGAGCAGAAATCTCGATCATTAAAGAGATTCTCTAATTCTTTGCGTGTGTGGATTTGGAAGGTCTTGCATGTATTTGGCTTGGCTCCGAAGACTGCGGCGAGGTCGTTAAATTTCCATGGTTGTATGTCGTTGTACGACGCGTCCATGCCATGGACGTATCGTTCGATTACGAAGCCGTTGTTACAGATGACGAAACTGTGGTTAGAGGTGAGGTTTAGTAAAATGGAGATCGTATTTGGGTTATGGACTAGCATATTGGGCAGATCTTACATTGTAGGAGTAAGCTTATGACGAATGATTGTGCTCAGTTCCTGTGCTGTGAGCTGGAAACTCCCATCTCCAATGAAGAGCAATGTCCTTCGAGAGACATCCGTCATTTCTCGAGCTGCTAGCACAGCTCCCTGGCAAGCTCCAAGTGCGAACCCAATACTGCTCCACAGAACAGAACTAATACCAATAGTACCTTTCTTAAACCTCGTTTCCCAGACACCAAAATTTGAAGTCCCCGCCTCGGTTATAACGATGTCATTCATTTTCAGGTACTCCGTGACTTTTGGCCAGAGCCAGTCGTGGGTTAGTTTGTGGTCATCGGCGACGGGCTCGACTCTTTTCCGCTTGGCAGCATTGAACGGCATTCTTGCAGGGATTTCCAGTTTGTCCAAAGCACTGACCAACTGGCGGAGAACTCCTCTCATGTCGACGCCTGGGAACTCTGAAAATTCCACTATCGTCTTGTCAACGTGGAATTCTACGCTGGCCAGCTGATCGGATTTGGATGTGAAGCATCCGGTGTTGATATCGGATTTAAGAGGGCCAATGTTCAGAATGAGATCCGATGTTTCAAAACTTTCGCGGATCTTTGGAGGAGATGCTTCCCCAACGTAGATGCCTTGGAATTGTGGCAGGCTCTCATCAACAGACCCCTTTCCCATGGGCGTGACAAAAGCCGGGATGTTGGATCGAGTAATGAATTCGTTGATTTCATCAGTGACCTATAATAGGAAGCCATAGTAAGTACGAGGTCTGTTTGCGTTTCTGTATAAAACATTTTTATCTTTTGACAAGCCCTTGGTGCTTACATGGTGTCTCATTGCCAAAACATCAACTAGCAGTGCTGGCCGACTGGCAGCTTGGAGTAGCTTTGATACCATGTCGACAACTTGGGTTTCCCGTCGATGATCATTAGGTGGAACACTCAGATCAATAGGATATTTCAACCGGCTTCCGTCCACCTTCGCTTGCACCATATCGGTAGGTAAACTGATATAAATTGGGCGACTTTTCAGGATACATGTTCGAAGAGCATTGTCAACCATGGCCGCAGCTCTCGAAGGATCATCTAGGATAGCAACAGCACATGAAACGTGTCTGCCCATCTCTGGAAAGACTTCGTAATTGCCATCACCCAGAGTGTGGTGAAGAATAACCCGATCCCTCTGTGAGGTTGTTGAAGGGGTGCCCACAATGTGGACAACCGGAACATATTCAGAATAAGCACCGGCAATGGCATTAATACTCGACAACTCGCCCACCCCGTACGTGGTTATCAGAGCTGAAACGCCTTTTACTCGCGCATACCCATCAGCAGCATAACCTAAGCAGGTCACATATAGTTAGTCCCTCTATTCAAATGAGTCCACATAAATTATCAATCCAATTCAGATTCAACGTACCCGCATTCAATTCATTGACACTTCCAACCCAACTGAGGCCAACTTTTGGCAGATAGTCAAGAGCTATCCAGGGAACACAAAGTCAGCTTTACGGACAGCAGAGATGCAGCAGCATTTACCAGACCGAGACACTCACCAACCAAATTGTAATCACCAGGGACACCATGAACAGAACGAATTCCTAGCTCATGTAGACGACGGAAGAGGTATTCCGCCAGATCCATCGAGTTCGACACCCCATTAGAGACATCGCTTACTTCTTTGACAACATTCGCTCCAGCAGCATTCGCCGTAGGTCCCTCGAATGCCTCCAGTCGAGGGACGTTGTCTGCTGTCGACGGCATTTGATATTCGTCCTCTGATATTCAAACTAAAATAACGATAAGATCCGTTTAAAAAGAATGAAAGGGGGCTCCAAGTACGAAAGAAGGGCGGACTAGCAGCAATATCAATGAAAGTTGCCGGAAACCCATAGCCACAAAAGGGACGATATATTCCGCATGATCCAGCAGCATCAGGTATGCTGCTCAAGCTGCGAGGAGTTGCTTGTATCTATACTACGTAGAGAACGAGCTGAATGCGCGCAGGAAAGCTGGTGGTATTCGCATTTCCATGTTTGCTAACAGGATTCCTGTCTTGGGCTCCCGCATCAACTCAAGTGTAGAAAAAGGGAATAAAGCTAATAAGCCGATGCAAGCCGGTGTTTCTGGAGACAAACTGGATGGATCGAATGGGGACCTCGGGGCAGGGGGAGCTTGGCGGCAAGAGCCTCAGCTCCGTAAGCTAGACTTTCTTCGGTGTAGCTCCAGAAATAGGGCAACGCTTAAATGAACCTCCTGCCGCCTCCCCATTGGCTAGATCCTGCCCCAATTGGGTCTCCCACCTTCCTTGGCGGCCCCCGCCTTTTTTTAAGCCTTCTTTCCTTCTCCTCCTCACGATCTCTTCACGTCCCCAGGCACAGTGTTATCAATTAACAGCAGTACTCCCTGTGGAGGGATACGCTTCATGCTCTGGTAAAAAGAGGGGAGGTAAGATAGGAATACACGGTTCTCCGCCTCTCCTCTCACTGACACAATCCCGCTGTTTTCATTACCCCGACAAATACCCGACCCTATTTCCTAAACGGGTGGATTGAGTAACGTAATTCCCAACCAAGCGGCGCACTAAAACCGCTTTATATAGTGTTCATAAAAATATTAATCCACACTCTTCAGCAGATGAATATGAAAGTTGGAAGTGCCCCAAACTACGTCTAATCAGCAACCCGTGCGTAGGCGCATCTCCCGGCATCGACGTCGGCTCTGCTTGCCAGGCCGTAGAAAGCCGGTTATAGCCGATGAAATCTAATTGCCCGCATAAGCTACACAGAACCTTAAAATCCGGACACAAAAAACGTTTCCCCGCACCAAAATGGAACACCTAGTGGATACAGCGTTTTACCAAATCACGTGACTGCCCACATAGTTTGGCTGGCGAGTTCAATACACGGAACAACTCCTGATGAAGGTTATGAAGCCCTGTGAAAAGCTGCAGTTAACGTGCCTAGACGATCTTACGCTTAATTGAATTCTGGTCAATCTCAGGTCAGGTGGAATGCCTGATATATTGAAGGAATACGTGTCGCCTAGGGCTCAGAGAACGCCTGAGAAACCAAATGCAAAGATAGCGGAACCTTGCGCAACGCCAGTAACAAACGGCAAAAAAAAAAAAAAAAAAAAAACCCAGGATTTCTTAGCCTGACGAATCGAACGAATCAATGAACCGAATGGCAAGTTTGGAAGGGCCGGTTGGAAGCATGATGTCAGACGACACGGGTGGCCCAAGTGACCATGATACTAGATCTGACTCTGAGCAAAGAAACTCCGGCGGGGAATCAATTTGATTTTTTACAGACCAAGGATGGTTGCATTGGCAATACAAGGATGGATGAGCATTTGCGTGTTCTGGTTGAATTTTACGGTTGAGAGCCCGTACGGACTGCAAAGTGAAAGGGCGCAGTAATCATGAAACCGAGAGGTGAGAGAAGGGAGAGCGGAAATAATAGCTTGGCGCTCCGCTGGCAGCCGCCATTGCACTCCAGCATCGACTGACTTTCTCGGGGAGCAGAATTTGTTAACATCGGGACGGAATGGAGGATGGAATTTGCCTGGCCCATTTAATTGCGCTCTTCTGATGGCATTTGCATACTTCCATGCGACTGCAATCGGAGCACAGTTCAGCATCTGCTAACTGCGGAACCCGCTGACGTTTCCGCTCTGCGAACATGATGATGCTATCAAAGGAAGCAAATTCAGATCGTCTATCAGATATGCGACCGTAGCAGTTTCAAGCCGTGAGAAAGCTTGAGGCTAGCTGTCGTCGGACGGAAGTTGTCACAATCCTTCCGTGGACATTAACTACGTCTCCATTGCTACGAGAACAAAATCAATGGTCTTTTCTCGGGAAAACTCCCAAACTATTTCGACGGTGCCATGCACATTTCCTCCCATTTTACTGTACATGACTCCCTAGCGCATATCCATATTCAAGCACAGTCGATTGTCGTTCTGGAATGCTAGCTAAGTTTAGTTCGGCTCATTTCAGACCAGAATGTGGAAAGGAATCTGCCATCTTGACGGATTATGTATGTGCTTTGTTGACTTGTCCTTATTTAGCACTCCAATCCCCTCTACGAACAGCCCAACTGGACAGTGAATCCAAACTTGTGGCAGGCGTGGCTCTATGATGATATTTAAATGGCCGAAAAGCTTCCATGTTAGAGGATATGTTTCTTCCCTAGGCTCCTAAATGAGTCATGACATATCCCATTTTTCCGTTCTTACCGAAATGCGGTATTTCTGCATTCTAGGTCATCCTCCAGTATATACAAAGAAGTTTTCTGTAAGTATTAGTTACTCATTCCTCAAATTCAATACCAATTATCGATCACAGCAGGACATATTATGTAAAATAATCAGGCAATTTCTCATTGCCGTTACTACCGAAGGTATAAATGAATTGTGAATTAACCAAGAATTTTATTTGCCAGGACCAGATTAAAAAAGATTTTATCGTATTTTGCTATTCATTTTGTGATATCAAGGACCAGTTCTGAAACTATCATCCAGATCAATTGACGTAAAGCCTCTTTATTCGATAATTGTCAAGATGCCCGACAGTCAGAACAAGCAGCTAACTCCGAGAGCCCCTACAAAGGCATACATAATTTCTCATCATCAGGAAAAGGATGGGAAATTTTAGCTGAATGACGTGAATTGAATGTCGACAATTAAAATATACTTTGTTCCCTATGAATGACATGGGATGTGAGAAAATAAGTTTGCGCTTTCAGTAAGTCATTGCCAGCCTGTATTGAAGGTATTCTCCGGAATTGATTCCTTCATACTTCTTCTCACCTAAATCCTCCCCAAATGTTCCAGGTATCACGTCGATAAATTTATCGTAATTCGGATTGCAGAAATAGGCAACGCTGTACCGTGAAGGATACTCATCTGAGTCCTCACTGTCCTGCCTTGGAAGCGGCTCTACAACCCGGTGTAGAGTGCTCTTGATCTGATCATTGGCCCATCTGGCCAATAAGTCCCCAGCATTTACGACAATGGTGTCTGCAATGGGGACAGCGTCGATAAACGTGCCCTGGGGAGATCGAACCTGCAATCCGCCGCGAGAGTCTTGGAAAAGGAGCGTAATAGACCCGTAGTCACTGTGCTCCCCAGCCCTAACCTGTCCCTTGTTGGCCTTGAAAACGGACTTGGGGACCGACGGGTAGTGCAAAAGCCTCAGGGTATTATCTCCGACGTCGATGAATTCGTCAAAGTAGTGTTCAGGGAGACACATTCCGAGGGCAACAGCTCGCATAACTTTGATGTTAAGATCTTGGCAGGTCAAGAAAAAGTTTTTCATAATATCCGTGAACTCCTTCCCCTTATCGTCTATTTTATCAGGCCACTGGTTCGGAAATCCGTCTTCTCCTTCGCGGCCAATCTCGATGGTCTCTTTCAGGTCCGGGATTGTATCCCTCATCTTCTTGATTTCATTCTTGTCAAAGGACTGTGTGACTTTCTCACGGCCCCTGGCAACATAACCCCTATTTGACTGAGGGGTCGTCCAAGCCAAACTGTCCTTTTCGCTCTGTGGTCTTGCGAAGAATTCAGCGGAGGCGTTAAAAACCGTCTTCACAACCGAAGGAGGGATTCCGTGGTTTTTCAGGTATAGAAAGCCAGAGGTCTTGAAGGCTTTGGTTACAGACATGCCCACGGCATGCTTATCAGCAGGGGTGCCAGTGAGATAGTGTTCGAAATCGATTACCTAGAAAGTGGCATCAACAGGGATTATCCAAAACCATTTCAACAGATCGTTAGTGAAGACAAGCAGAAAACCCTACCGGAATAACCAAGTCATCCTTTGAGACCCCCTCAGAAGTAGGATCGCATTCTTGTAACGGAGACATTACTCTAGCTCTAGCTGCTGCTATGTATATATTCCCCTCCTCGCGACAGTATCTTAGTTCTCGATTCCGTGGAACACGGTAAAACGGTGGAGCAGATCGGAGGGCGCCTGGCAGTGTTGAACAAGCAGGGGCAGTCACAGGTGGATGGTCAGGACCATCAAGCTGGGCTTGGGCTGTTCCTTGTGACTAAGGGATAACCTCTCAGTATCAAAAGCTCCTAAGATAGGAACGGAAGAGTAGTTGGACGCTTTTTATTTGCAGCCAAATGAGACGAGCCAAGTTAGTTGTTTTTAAATTGAAGGTTATCTCGAACCAATGATAGTTACAGTTACTAATTCCACTCCAGGATATTGATCGCAGAGTCCAGCATGAAATACACTATGTAGACTCATTAACAATCATAACAAATAATGTCTACTGGATGCTACATGCTTAGCCCCGGTATCTCTTCAGTCTGCATTCTTTTACCGTGGGAAATGTAAGTTTAATGTGGATGTGGTTGTTGTCAAGATCTCCGATCTTGTCAGGGCGCTTATCTTATCAGATCTTCACCCCGCGATTGCCCCACACCTCCACACTATGTATGCTTCCATGGTTGGCGGGTGGATAGAACCTCACACTTAAAAAGGTAGCCGATAGGCTTGCTAGACGCGGAGAACCATTTGGGCTTAAATAGGTGACACCTTTAACCGTAGTTTATCACCCAAATACTATAAGCATGCCTATAGAGCTTGGAGAAAAAGCCAGAGGGAATTCTTCCCTCTCGATAATACAATACCACTACAGATCTTCAACTCTAACCTCGACTCTGAGAACTTCAACCCAGATAGCTTAGAAGAAACATCCCACTGCCGCAGCTATCATGACTGATGCAACTAAAGATCTAATGCCCGCGTATCCCATCGTCGACATCCACACCCACATCTATCCAGACTCCTACCTCAACCTCCTTCGTTCTCGCAAATCTGTCCCATACATTTACGACCCCGCCGATGGCGCCCCCTCGCGCCTCATCATCCTGTCATCGGACGAGAATCCTGCTATCCCCAGAGAGAAACGCGGCCGTCCAGTTGACTCCACTTACTCAGACATAAACCTCAAGCTCGAATTCATGCGCCAACACAATATCACTACAAGCGTGATATCCCTCGCGAATCCGTGGCTAGATTTTCTACCAGCCCAAGATGCAGCTCATTGGGCAGAGCAGATCAATAATGATCTTGAGAGAATATGTGCTGAGCAGCACGCAAAGGCCAGCGGGCGCAGCAGTGATGGTAGGAAATTGGCGTTGAATGAGTTCCGTTCTCTCTTTGCATTTGGCGCATTGCCTCTCAGTGCTCCCTCCGCTGATATCATCGCGAACGAAATTTCACGTCTTAAAACATTGAAATTTCTCCGCGGCGTTATTATGGGGACTTCAGGTCTGAAAAAAGGGTTGGATGATCCGGCTCTGGACCCCGTCTGGTCTGCACTAGAATCTACGAGGACGCTCCTATTCTTGCATCCCCACTACGGGCTGCCTGATGACGCATATGGTGGTGCTGATGTGATGAAGCAATATGGTCATGTCCTCCCTCTCGCATTGGGGTTCCCGTTGGAAACCACCATTGCAGTAACGAGAATGTACCTATCGGGTGTGTTTGATCGATATCCGAAATTGGGTATCCTGCTGGCCCATTCTGGCGGCACGCTGCCGTTCCTGGTTGGCAGGATTGAGAGTTGTGTTGCCCATGAGAGGAAGTTTGTTGCGAATGGAGGTGACGTTGTGGGGCCTAAAAGGGGTCTTTGGGATGTGTTAAGGGAGAATATTTACCTGGATGCGGTTATTTATGGGGAAGTAGGGTTGAAGGCTGCTGTGCATGGAGCTGGTACTGTGGATCGCGTACTGTTTGGTAAGTTTTTCAAGATTCATCCATTAATTCCTTGATTCCTATTATCTTATTCTCATTTGTTAAACACGCCACTGGCCTCTCAGGAACCGATCACCCCTTCTTCCCGCCCCTAGACGGTAAAGATGGGCAATGGCTGAGTGTAACAACAAATCGAAAAGCAATTGATGATGCCTTCGGAGATGATTCGGCTGGCTCAAAGGCCATCTTAGGGGCTAATGCCATCAGAGTTTTGAAACTCGAGAGCTAAAGGAGAAATCTGGCTTTAAATAGAGCGCTCGAGGCAATCAATATTTGTGGAGATGTAGCCGAGGATATACCGAAAGCGCTTTCACAACCCTTTTTCTGTGATGGCAGATTAAAAAACCGTAGTTCAAACAATCTTATTACTCAGAGTTTGTACGTTAAGCCTCATAATAATGCCATATTGTGACGAAATCTCCGCAAATTCCATATCACGAAAATCAAAAGCAAGCTTCCACATGTAGTTAAACCTGCCATCCACACAATATCAATATCGAAGAATTCATAAAGATAGTATCAATGTAGAGTGGTATAATGGTGAGAATATTCATCGACCATAAAGAGGGAGTAGGGAGAATGGGATGTGCCGTAAGAATAATTTTGTCGTCCAAGGCCCGAAGGGCGTACGAATTGACATACTGCGATGGTCATCAACCTAGCATTGTTCCCCTTTAGTATTCCTTCTCCTTCAGCAGCACGTCCCACCCAACCAATCTCCACACTTCTTGCGTAAACCACTCAGCAGGTTCCTTTTCTGCTGAAACGTACGATTGCCCAGAAATTGAGCCTTCGCCGGGTGAATAAGCCGGCTTCTCTGGCATTTTCAAAGAATCCCTAAACTCCTGCTCTTTCTCTCCAAAAATCCCTTTCAAAAGCGTATTCTGCAGTTTAGTTCTGGCACGCTCCAGCATCCCTTGTGGTAATTCTTTCGGCATCGTTGCTTCCGTTGAAACTGAATGTGTATTTGTCTTATCGCTGGGACGCTCAAATTGGTCCGTAAACGCTATTGCCCGCTCAAGAATCCAAATGAGATGCTTTGCTTCACTTTCGGCAGCACGCTGGGCAACCGCCATTTCTCCCCTGGCAACATACTCTTTGTCAAAATTACCAGGCATCGGCAATTTTGCGGGATTCAAACGTAGGTCAGGATTGGAATATAGTTCTTTGAACACAAAGAGGGAGAGTGTTTTTCCCACATGCTCCAGAAGTGAGAATAGAAACCCTTCTAGTAAGCAATTCTCTTCCGGCCTTACGGGGTTGAGCGAAAGAATCATGCCCGTAAGAAAATTAAAGAAGAGTTTCAAGGTTATTTCCTCGTCTGAAGGAGGCTGAGTAGAAGTGGAGGCGGTTGACTTCGTCAATCTCTTTTTGGACCTCTGTTTCACTTTTTTGCCCACAGATTTTTCTTGTGCTATGTTGTCTTTTGCCTTTGACAGGATATACTGATGAGAGTGACTAAGAATTCTATAGAAAAGATTGACAATATGGTAAGTGATAACCCCGATACCAGAGCTTGTGGGATCTTTCTCTGACACCTTGTTCAAGGCCTGCACAAGGAACGGATAACAAGGACTCAACCCCTTTAAAATATGCTGTAAGTCTGGATCGCGAGGCTGTAACGTTTTTCGTTTTCCTAAATTCATTGCCCTGGCATTTTTCTCGCCAATTCTTGACCGAATCGACAGGTCAACCGTTTCACAAAGCGCAACAGAGGTAGAAACGAGGGCGTCGGGATCAGTCTTCTTTTGCAGTTGCTTTTGGAGGGAATGGAAATGCCTTAAGAGCGGAGTTGTAGCTGCAAAATCATCAGTATACATGCGGAAACGAAGCTGCTAAACAGGAAAGGGATGTATCCACACACCACTGTCAGAATATCCAAGCTCATCTGGGCTTCCACTAAGGAATTGCTTTTCCTGAGGCCGAGATGTATTCGATCTGCTATTTTTCGCCGTCTTAGCCCGCTTCAGGGAGTGGTTCGACACCGTTGAATCTCCATTGCCATTCATTCTCCTCTTTGCCATGGACTCTTCAAATCCGAGAAGAGTGTTTCCTCTCCCTTTAGCAAGCAAAGATGCATTCTGTTGCTCCAGCTCATAGACTTTATCAAGGAGTTTGCTCTGTTCAGACTCTGACTTCTCGTATGCATCCCGCCAGAAAGTTATGCTATCTAGATATTTCTCTGGCATCTCAGGAGCATGGTGATTTCTACCGTTACAGATGTGTCGCCGTATCGAGAGAACATGGTCTGTATAAAGGCATTAGCACACCCATCCCATGTGTGCCTTTAAGCGTCATTATCGAATGAACGGATAGGCCAGACCTTTGACCGTAATATGCGACGGCTTTGACTTGACAATCGCTAAGGCAAGGGCTAATTGAGATTGAGATGTACCGCAAAGAGTGCCAGCACTCTGACTGGACGCCATTGTTACTATTCTTGTATCGTCTCGAGAACAAGGTGCCAAAACTTCTTAACTTCCACCGGCGCGGGGGGGGGGGGGGGGGGGGGGGGGGGCTTTGGATGAAGGGCAGAAAAAATGCGGCTCAACTCCTGACGTTGGAAACCTGGGACGCTGCCCACATCTCCTTTTCGGGGGGTCTCCTCAACAGCACTGGAATTCCCTCTTGACATATGACCCTTTCAACAATTATCCGCATCCTATTAATCGGGTATACATTAAAACAAAATAAATAGCCTCTAGGGTTTGGGTCAAATATGAAGCACAGAAAAAGCTTCGCAGCAAGAAGTTAAATAGGAAGCTGGCAGTCCTAGGGAGCCTAAAGCAATAGATGTGAAAGGACTTTAACAGACGGCAGAACTAGAAGTTTCCCATAAATCCTGTGCCCTGGATACATGCTAAGAGAATACAACCGTGGAAAACACTTTATAGTCCTGCGCGGAAGTTTTGCATTATCTCACTGGCCATACAAGTTAGCCTGGAGAGGACTGATACAGTCTTGGTATTTGGTATGGGAAAGCTTCATAGACTCTTTTCTCAATAGCGAGGCTGTATCCCAATTCTATCCGAGCAATAGAGGGTATTTTCGCTCCAATTAGAGCGGTTGGAAGAGATCATAATTTCGTATAATGATTGAGAAGCCGCCTCGTAGAAGAGAAATCGGTTTGATTCAAGTTTATTTGATTTACAATTCCCGATCTATTGTTGTTTCCTACCAGGCCAAAGCCACTGCAGATGTTGACCAGATCTCATGTCAATGGGAATGTCAAACAGCCCTTGCTTCCTGCGTCTTTGCAAATGGTCTTGAAATCACAGTGCACAGGTCAGAGTGATACAGGAATCATTGACAGCCTGGAAGTCATTGCCGATCTGCACCAGAAGCCAGGCGAAGCATTCTCGTATTTCTGTGGGTATAGAGACAACTGCGAATTTCCCGGAATCATATCATTCTGCAACATGGCCAGTCTGTTCGAGAGACAACAGAGAAAAGCCTCAAATTAAAAAAAAAAATATCAACATATCTGAAAAACTGAGAACATCATCATTTATGCAATATGCATATGACCAGGAATTGTGGTTGATGACTATTTATATCACGTGGTTTTATCTAGTAGGGAACCAAATCTTGGCAGGCGTGTGCCACTTTACGGGAGTCGTTGACCAAACCAGAACTTGTTCGGTATTAACTGAAGTATTTCTTAAACGAAACGGCCGGGAAAGTGACGGGGAAAGTGACGGGGAAATTGACCCAAGCAAACTCGGACCTACATATCAAAACCAAAACCAGAGATATTTCACTGCTATCTCCAAATACAGTGTCCATTTTCATTTATTTTAATCTATATACACTGATCATACCGGAAAGTCAATACCTCGAAGCTGAGCCGTGTGCATCATGGCGCCCGCTGACGACCTCAAGTCGCATGCCGCCTCCTCCCATGACTTCTATGCGCTCCTGAGTCTATCCCCCAGTGCTGTGGAAGCAGAAATACGTCGCGCATATCGAAGGACAGCATTGAAATACCATCCAGATAAAATTAAGAATCCCACCCCTGCAGACATCGAAAAGTTCCATCTCCTTCAGATCGCATACGATGTTCTCTCAGATCCTTCGATACGGCAGCTCTATGATAATGCGCGGGAAGCGCGAGAGAGGAAGAAGAGGGAGAGTGAGATGCTGGAAGGGGTTAGGCGGAAGATGAAGGAGGATTTGGAAGCCAGGGAGCGTGGTGTAAAAAGGACATGGACTGGGGCTCCTACTGTCCAAGGGAGTTTTGGCGTGGATGACAATGCGGAAGAGAAGCTAGAGCAAGAAATAAGGAGACTAGCGGAAGATGGGAAGAGAAGGAGGAGAGCTAAGGAAGAATTACTGAGGAGGGAAGTATTAGAAGAAGAAGAGAGGCTGGAGACGGAAAGGGAAGAGAAGGAACGGGCTGCACAGCAGGAAAATGAAGCACGTCAGTCGAATGTCGGGGGAACAGCAGTCCCTGAAATTGATAGATCTGTCAAAATCCGCTGGGCTCGGGAGGGTGCTGGATTACAACTTGACAAGAACAAACTTGAATCCCTTTTTTCTGTCTTTGGTAAGGTTGAAAGCACGTTCACCCTCAAAGACAGGAGGCAACGAGTGGGTGAGACACGAGAAAAGAAAACTATGGCTACTGGTGTTGTTGTGTATACGTCGATTGTTGGCGCCCATGCCGCGGTGGAAGACTACAAGAGGCAAAAAGGCGAGGAGTGGGATGTCATTGAATCAGTGTTTTGGGCATCTAATAAGGAACCCGATTTGTCGCCTACTCGACATCTACAGGAACCGTCAACAGCGTCAATGCCATCCGCCTCCACCTCCACTACCACATCAAGAAATAAATTTGATTTCCCAGGCCTAAACACGACGTCATCAACCCCCGCAAAAGAGAGTAATGGTGCAAAATCGGTGCCATCGTTTGCCTCCTTCTCTTCTGCAGGATTTAATGGTCCGAAGGGTTCACCGTCGCCGAGGAACGGCGGCCGCCCTAGTTTAGAGGAGATCACTCTGATTCGATTAAAGAATGCTGAAAGAAAAAGACTGGAGGAACAGCTTAGGAAAGAAGATGAAACGGCTGCCGCAGAGTGTGATTGACTTATTCACAGATCAACGACGGCAGGCACACGCGGTGATCAACGCTGAATCAATGGATGATGGGATTTTTAGATGTGTTGGTATTTTTCTAATATAGCGTGTGCATCGGTTTGTTTTCTAGAGATACCCTTTCTAAATATGGATGTTTCAATCCAGCTTTCCATCCTCACGATTCCACTTTGTGACTTGATGTGATGTTGCTCGAGGGCAAAACTCTTGAATCTTAACCAAGGTGAATTTCGCGATGGGTGGTATCTCCTATGCATTTTGTAACAACGATCAAAAATACAAAATTAGTTGTTTCATGCCAAATACCCACCAATAAAAATACAATGACGCCCAAAAAGCTTTAGACCTTCCGCTGTTGCACAATCTCCTCAATCTCAGCTTCCAGCTTTTCGACCTCTTCCACAATCTCCTCATTGCTCTTGGGAGTGGGAACCGATAGGTCCTTCGCCCCTCCACTAACTATATAATCCCTCGTCCACGGCGGAACCAACGCCTTTACTTTCAACTCCCCAGCCCTCTCAACCCCTCCCTCGGCATCAGCATCCCAGGATATCATAAACTCCTGATCGGGATTATATTGCGAGGATTCCTCCGTAAAAGAAATATCCGTCATCATTTCCAGCCGACACAGCGCAAGCCCGATATTCCCCACGCCAGATAGAAATTTGCCAGCGCTCCGGCCCTTTCTTGAGCTTACCTTGGATATATTAGCTCCAGCTGGCGGAAGGGTCAGTTTAGATTCTGAAGAATAATCCGGCGTATCGGTAGTGGGCATCGGCTCATTAATGTCATAAAACCGCACAGGCAATATCCTCTTGCGGACCACGCCTCTATGGTGAGTGCGAATGGTCAACTCCTGCCCTACGTAGCAGCCCTTATGGAAATCAATGGCCCCCATTATATCCATGTTGCATTCCAACGGTAATGCAGACTCTCTGATAATCTCGCCTTGACCCTCTGGTATTCCATGTAGGATACGACGCAAGTTATATGTGGCAAAATCAACCCTCTCACCCGGCATGATCGGCTGCTCGTTCACGACCTTTTCAGGCGCGAGGAGGCGGAATCCAAACCCCGGAGCCCGCGTATCAGTACATGTAAACGGTGGCGATTTTCCATTCTCGAGTTCAAAATCATATTCCGTTAATAGATCCGCATCCTCCTCATTCCACAGGCCGTATACATATAGCTCCCCATCATCCATGGCACGGAAAGCTAGCTTTGAGCGTAGTTTATGTTTCCGTAGATGTTTCAGCAGGTTTGTAACCTCATTTTTGTCTACCTCTATAAGATATGCGAGGTCTGGTGTGCCATTGAAACTATCATTTGGCGGGACTGGGTAGATAAAGACGTCATTTAGAACACGTCCTGGTGCATTTAGGAATGCCGCGTAAAATCCTGTTTTCGGTATTGGGGTATTTTGTGAGGTAAGGAGATTCTGCGTTATTAGTCCCTGGAGGAAAGTTGTGCTGTCCCTCCCGGTTACAGCGATGAGAGCTCGAGATGGAAGTTGGGCATACCCGGAGAGAGGCGGGAGTGAGGGGAGGGATAATAGGGATTGAGGGAACTGCTGGTGTTGAGCACGGAAAGTGGAAAAGTGCAGTTTATTTATCGAACAGCGGCTACATAGCGAGCCTAAAGACACGCGCAGGGGCATTCTGATTGACAACTTTTAATAAACTTGGTAATAGCATGCATTACGGAGATTTGGAGGTTAGAGATGGGGAAATAATAGTTGAAAGGCGGTATTGTGTGGCAGAATATAGTTCCTGGTTTGCGGATAACAGCAGGGACACAACAGTGGCGAAGGCATAAAACGCCAACAGATCGTCGTTTACCTGAACAGGACGATTATGATTTGCTATTGAAGGGCATAAAGATAACTGGGGACTGTTCAAATAAATTCAGGGCTAGCCGTTTACATTTTGGCATTGGAAGCCATTTTAGCTTCACTTCAACTCCATAGCAAACCAACAAAGAGTCGCCAGAACAATAAACCGCTCAAATCATCTAAACCGTAGATAACCTTACATGCTCAATGTGTACCTTTCGCAACTCCGTCCAAGTATCCAAGCAAAAATGCCTTGTTCACTGGTGATGTTGGCCCCGCCTTACTAGTTTCAGTTCCAACAACCGGAGAAACGCTTCTCACTCTGGACACGGGAGTGGGAGCACCTCCTGACGTCCCAACTTGTGAAAAAGTTGAATCAATTGGGCTTATGATAGCCGACTGTGGTGGTATCTTTGATCCAGGGGAGGGAGCTTGCACCGGTTCCGTAGGGGGCGCTGCTGCGAGTGAGTGAGGAGGTTTGCCAAAGAGCGATAGCAAAGCTTCCTTTTGGGACGCAGTCTGGCTCGGCCGACGGTCATAATTCACCGCTACGGGTTCTCCGTGTCGATTCTCAGGCACAGCCTGCTTCTCAGAGAGTGTAAAAGCACTAACAGGAACAGTTTCTGTTGGAAGCGAAGCATCTAGGTCATCTTTGACAGGGCGACGGAGAATCTTTGGCTGAAACGGCTTTGTGATTTCGGAAAGCTGGACGTTTCTTTTCGCGGCCGAAGGTGGAGGCTTAGTAAACTGTTGTACAGTAACCTCTTTCTTTACTGTGGGCGGTCGTGGAAGAATAACAAAATTTCCTTTTGTTGGTGTAACTTCCCCCTTGGTAGTAGACCGTAATGACTGTGTCACGGATTTCTTTGATACTGATTTCGCAATAGCTTCAAGCTGAGGCAAATTCAAGGGCCCCGAAACGGTAGCTGAAATTCTGGCGCTGTTGTTAGGAGACTTCCTCCGCTCTTCTTGTGTTTTCTGTTGTGATTGTGCAGGTACTTCAGGCGCGGGAGCTTTCGCAATTCCTAAGGAAGGAGTGGGGCGAGCAGCTAGTTCCGCACGACCAGGTGCAGATAAGGCGGCAGCTTGTGGCTTTCTCAGAAGCTCTAACAGACTGTTCTGGTGTTGAGATTGAACTTTGCTTGGCGCGCTCGACTGCGACTCCAGTTCAGGTTTAGATACATCTGTCTTCTTAACGCTGTCATTCTTAAACACATTGAGGAGGGCAAGGGAGTGACGTGTAAGTTTCGGTGGTGGAAGCTTGCTGGCTGGAGGGACCGACGGTGCATGGAGATTTGGAAAGAGGTTCTGAACAAATTCGGGATCGCCAGTTCGCTGGTAAGGAGCTGGGGTTTGTCTCTGTGGTAAAGGCGTATTGAAATACGGTGCTTGACTTGGCGCTGACGACACTGGCATCTCGAAAGGAGGTCTTGGAGGTTCGGGTAATGTTGATGTTTGATTACCAGGATATCTGTTACCCACCCCCATCGGAAAAGATAGATAGGGAAATTGGCGTACACTGACATGAGGCGGCTGCTGGTGACGATGTAGAGGATGGCCAAAGGGGTATGGGAATGGGGTCAACGGGACTTGACCGGGGAGACCCCGAGTAAGACATGCTCTTCAAAGGGATTTGATTCATGGGTTCTCCTGGTTCGGGTGGTATGGGAGCTACGGTCTGGTGAGGTGGAGCTGGCGGTTGAGAGTAATTAGGTTGCGAAGCCATAGGATGTTGCTGGTCTTGCTGTTGCATGATGTCCTTTGGAAAATGCGCCGGCTGAGAGGTCGGCGCTACAATTTTCCCTGAAGTAGACTCCATACCAGTGTTTGTTGCTCTTCTCAGCAAAGCTAGAAGCGCGCTACCCTTTGGTAAGTCTGGGTTTATAAGCTGAGGCTGGGGTGGGGTGGGAGCATCTGGCAAGGAGGCTCCGGTGCTGATATTGAGAAGCCTCTTTAGATGAGTGGAGGGATCTTGGGCCATAGAGACCTCGGGAAGGTCACTAGGAAGCTGGACCTCGTTGGCGCACTCCTTTGGTAAAGCCTCATTGGCAGAAAGACTATCTTCCTCTACCATAAGACCATCTGTAGCCATCGCCTGTGCACTGGAATTCAAGTCTTGTGCGGCAGCAAGGTCCGCCCGCTTCTGCTGTGCAATCCATTTTTTCAGAGGCGCCAAAAAGGGCGCAACCATATAGAACTTGTTGGAAAGGTTATGCCCATCGGTCTCGATCAGCTTGCTCTTCTTGAGTGTTGGAAGCTCTGAAAGCTTGTACCACTGAATCTTGCTGATTTCCTTCCTTGTCCTTGGTTCAAAAACGGTATCCATTGGAACACCTCTGAGGACATACAGCCTCATGTTCTGCTCACGCATAGGAATCTCGATATACTTGATTTTCTTCTCGTCATTCACAAGACCGGCGGCCCTTATATCAAAGCCAGTCTCTTCGTAGACTTCTCGAATTGCGCAATCCAAATCCTTCTCATCCTTGTTGATCTTACCGCGAGGGAAACTCCAGTTAGCATTTTTCTTCCATCCCTTAACAAGAACAACTTCGTCCATGTCCTGGTTGAGCAAGATCGCGCCGCGCACGGGAACCCGAGTTTTGTACGCTAAAAATTCAGAAAACGCAGTAGAATGATGGTAATGAGACCATTGAGACATCAGCGGGCAATGCTGAAAGATGCGCAGTGCGAAGGCGCGCAAGCTTAGGGAGGGGAGGTTGGGGTCGAGGGGTCGGATGAAGTCTTCGTAAAACCACTGTGCCTCCTCAACTTGAAAACAAATTCGTTCAACGGATTCCAACTCCTCTCGTGGAAGATTTACAATGAAACGGACACAAAGGTCATCCAACCCTAGATAGAAATCATGCTGTCAGCAGGAAAGTAAATTCTGCCGTGGTCCCCCGTAATGGGAGAGACAGGACGAGGTTATGCCCACAGTCTTCCAAGCGCATTTTTGATTCTGTCATAATTTATGCAGCACTGGGGCATGGCAATACACAGGGAAAAGCCTGCAAAGTCTGTTTTCACCACCAGTCTTGCCTGCAACCAGTCCAGCCAATCGTGTCTGGAGCAATGAGAGAGGAAGAAAATGGGGGAGAACGAAGAGCAACCAAGAAGGTTATGGAAAATGGCCAAAAGTTTAATTAAGAGATAAATATGTGCCTCACAGCAGTTGGGCACCGGAAATCTCAAGTGAATCACAGATTCTATAATGAGCGGTTGGTGCGAGGTGAATCATCTCGGACAGATTCAAAGGTGGTCGTTGTTGGCAGTTGGCAGTTGGGACTGATGCAGATGAAGGACGCGCGATTTGATTGGCTGGACAACGTTTTGGCCGTGATTGTTGCACCGCCACAAGTGGCTGAGGAAGTCCCATTAGTCATCTGACATTTGGTGTAACCACTGTAATTTTGGTACTAGTTGCGTATTGCATACCAAATACAATGACGTCATTGTTTCTGCATAATTACAGAGGACTTTTTGGCGCCGAAACCAAGCTTCTTCAACATTTTACCGCCCAACAAACAACAAACCCAGTTGTATGCGATCAGCAGAAAGGGTCTATATGACAATGACAGGCCGAAGGCTGGGATTGGTGTTTTGGATTAGCCTGATATTTCTACAAATAGCACAGGATTTCCCAAAGAAACCTTGGGATTCTCTTTTGTTTTGTTTCAAACCAGAGATGTGCTAACCCGCGACTGTCTATCTACTGGTCGCCTCAGTTCCCTTAAGCACGAAACCCTATATAGTTATCCTCCCTAAAACCAGTCCTTTCAATCCCATTCCTTTGATGATTATCTGAAATAGCATTACTATTAATTCTTCTATTTGGAGTCGAATGCTTCCCTCGTCCTCTTCATTTTTCATGTTCAATTTTTATATCAATTTTCCGTTCTCCAGCCCTCTATATTCCTTTACTCTACCCAAATAATCACATATTAATCACCATTAACCAAAATATACTATCCCCTTTAGTTTTTATCATTCCCTTGTTGTTGCAGAAATGGCGGCACATATTGCAGGCATAGTTTCAAAAAAGCTACTGAAGGAGTCAGCTGAAAATAGATTTGGACAAGATGTAAGCTCAGAAACATACCCCTACCATGTATCATTTAAGCTATAGAAATCAATCCCCGTTAACTTCGATCTATTTAAACTCCTAGGATCCATACTTTGAATCAGTACCCGCGACAAACCTCTTGGGACGTCCGACAACAGAAAAGAAGCGAAAGGCCGCACCGGAAGGCATATCGACCCACGATGCGAAGGTGTTGACAAAAGTAAAACGGCGCGCATATAGATTGGACCTCTCCCTTTGCAATTTTTGCGGAATACGTTTCGGGTGGAGCAGTGTCATAGGCTTAGTCCCAGCGTATGTGCATGCCCAATTTTTCCCCTTAAATTCCGCATTCCGTCACGGACAAAAACAATGTTAACAGAAACTCTTTTTTATTTTTATCAGGATCGGCGATGCGCTCGATATGTTCATGGCCCTGATGGTGGTGGCGAGCTGTAACAAAATCGAAGGTGGTCTCCCCGCTGGTGTTCGAATGCGGATGCTTTTGAATGTTGCTCTCGACTTTGTCGTGGGCTTGATCCCCTTCATCGGCGATATTGCGGACGCTATGTATAAGTGCAACACCCGAAACGCAGTCCTTCTGGAACAGTTCCTTAAGAAACGGGGAGATGAGAACTTGCAGCGATCAGGGTTACGGCTACATGAGCGGCGAACAGATCCAAGTCCAGAGAGACAATTGAACACGCGAGGATCAGGACGACAGACTACTCCGCCACGAGATTATTCGCCGGCTCGACCGCAGCCTGCCCGCATTCAACCAGAACGGCCATCAAGGGATCCTGCACGAGTTTACGCTGACAAATCGTCAGGGAACCCTATCTCTTCCCCTGGGCGCATAAGGGAGCCAGATCTAGAAATGGGTAGGATGTAACTTGATGTTTCCTCTTCTTCTTTTTCTTTTTCTCCTTACTCTTCAGATACCCTCATTTACATTAGCATTACCATGGGAAATGATGGAACTTAGCATTTTACATATTTCTTTTTAATATCTCACTAACATCATGATATTTTATTTGACATCATAACAAGCGCTACGGATTTGCATGTTCCAAGAAAGGTATCTCAACAAGGAAAACCTCAGCAAGGTGTATCTAAACAATGATAGCTTGTGGTGTCCTTGTTTCCATAATAGCGCCGTCGTACTATTATGACCATATAAAAGCATCAAAATTCAGCCAAGCTCACCTGCTGGCAGCATTATTTCCTCAGGAGAAGCCGCCTGAATCAGAATGTGGTCTCACAACACGGTATTTTAAATCTGTGTCCAAGGTATAATTCTCAAGGACAGGTATCACTGTTGCGCTACATCCATGTCGTCAGGGGGAATTTCCGACATATGCAGGCACACTCTTCCAATCAAACTGAATCCGTGTACCCGAATAACCTTTTTTTCACGTCTAATTGATCCATAATTCGTTGTGTCGTATAAGGAAAGCCAAATGATCCCACATCATCGCTTCGTATCAAATGAAGTCCGAAAAAGCACGCTGCTGTGTCAGTCAATCCTCTGAACAGGGTGTTAAACAATACATGTCCCCCAATAATTTAAGATGGAGCAAATTTCGGACTGGCAATATCCAAACGCGACCTCGCGCAACCATAGCAAAGCGTACCGGTAATAGGTCGCTCTCGATGATCCTTCAACACATATTGAGAACACTCCGCTCCCAAGGGGTTTGCAGGGTCCTCTCCACTGTTATCAACCGGCATGCTACATAAAATGCACTTTGAGCCAGAATCACCGGGCGGAACATTAAGTTTATTGATTGTACGAACAATGTTGGCCATAATGCCAGGATACTTCTCGCCTTGCGTCTCGACGTAGTGGGCAAGAAGATTCTCGATAGACATGTTCTTATTAGTTAAATTATCCATCGAGAGACGTTCAGGGTCTGCCATGATAAGTGATTTTGGAAGGGCCACGGAGGCATATGTGGATAATTCAAACTTTAACAAATCTCGCAGGGGGAAATTGAATTGGATGCCCCACGGAGACATACCGTCGCAGACATCACAAGACGCGGAAAAGCCACGGCCTTTGGCGACATTTGACAGAGCCTTGGAAGCAAGCCGGCTATCAGAATCCCCCCATAAAATTCCATCGCAATTGTGCTCTTTTGCGAAGGCAACGACAAGTCTTGTAAATATAATGGCGCCGATGTCTGTTCGTGAAGTCGCCGACGAAGGAGACGACAGGAAGAGGTTCAGGAGTTCTTCGTCGGTCATTGACGGATCGCCCACGAATTCCGGACATCCATATTCTGATATTACGTCCTTTATAGCTGTGTCATATTGAAAGATCGAATGTAAGGGGACTTGAGAATATGTATGGAGAGGATACGTTTCGCGAAATAAACCAAGCCTGCCGCTGTCGGGCTGCCCACAAAATGCAACGTTCAAGACGTGAATATCGTAGGCACGACGCCCTATACCGTTTGAAATTTGCCGCTCAAGTTGAAGATTCAGGATATGGAGCAACGAAGAGGAAGAAACGCCAAATGAAAGGGGCAATAGGAGTTTTCTCAGTCTATCTTTGGGGGCATTTTGTGGGCGATATTTCTCCATGCGCTTCACAACTTTCGATCCTATAAACAGAATAAAGCACTGTCTGAGTGGCTCCCAGTCAGCTCCACAAAATATATGCATTTATGAGGTGTACTTACTGACAGAGTTTCCGCTTGCGAACGGTCTGGGTGACCGACGCTACCTTGCAGTCCATACAAATATCCATAGATTGTCCCTTCATGCCATCGGTTCAGATAACTTAAGAGAACGAATGGATATACATTAAAGGAGTGTAGGGTGTATCAAATAAAATCATAAATATAATATAGGGGAGTTTGCTGCGATGCGATAAGACTCGTTTCTTTTTTTCTTTTTCTCTTTCTTTTCATTTTTTTTTTTTTTTTTTTTTTTTTTTTTTTTTCAGAGCAGAGCAAGAAGACCATGGGTCACCTGACCTAGCCTTGAATCAGCCTTGTACAGGGACAACAATCATTCCAACAGCATGAAGACAGACATCAACTTTGAGCATTACCAAGTTTTACAAATATCAAGCAGTTCTCTCAACAAATGGCAATCACAAAATTTAATAATATATAACTGATTATTAAGAATTGCATAAATACTGGACTTCACACAGTATTTCAGGACTTGTCTGCCAGATGCTGAGGGCTGGTGTGTTTTAGGATCCAGCTCCGTCCCAACTCACAATGAAAGGGTTATACTTTTCCCTTTGCCTATCGGGCTTGCTTGCAGCTGGAGTGCTTGCAAATGATATGCAATTGGTAAGTAGAGCAGCCACCTATCCAACAAATACGTATCACTAATCACACTGGTTAAATTCCTAGAAACAAGATGAATCGAATCGACAACAATGCTCGGGAATGTACAGCCGGAAAGCCTGGGGAGGAAGCCAGGACCCATTCATTCTAGTTACAATTCAAAAGGGCGAGTTAATGAATTCAGAATCAGATCACCTCGTGAGCTTGGTGGTATTTGAGTGGAAAGACGAAGAACTCATTGGGAGATATCCCGCGGGTGATCGGGACAAGGCATGTCGCCGTTGCATGTTTGATTCCTTTTAGTCGTTGTCAACTGCTAACCTATCCCAGACGCAAAAGGAACCGATATGCGACCAAGAAAATATCGCGGCCAAGCTATGCACACAAGATCAACTGGGTTCGTTTATCCTGGCCGAGAACGCGACGAAACTAGCCAAGTCCCCTATCGTTACGATGGCTATCAACTTGAAGGATCCCAAACCCATCAATTACCCTGTCGTGCGCACGGGTTTCTATTGCGTGAGCACGTATGGCTTCTCCGGCGATGACTATAGAGGGGTTGTCACGTTTAGGAATTCATATGGAGAATTGTCGGCTCCTCAAATCCCGAAGCTCCCATTCTACGGGGCTCTAACGATAGTCTACGCGGTAATTGGAGTGTATGTTTCCCATGCAAGGCAAACCCCTTCATATGCTGCAAAGCTAACGAAATCAGATTCTGGGCATTCTTATATGTACAGAACCGTCATGATATCTGTTCGTCCTAAACTCTCCTCCACCCATCAACCCCATGTGCTTGATATTCTGTTGCTAACGCTACGAAAGTACCCGTCCAAAATTACATCACCGCTATTATCCTGTTTCTCATCGTGGAGCAACTCATGACTTGGGGCTTCTACGGTTAGCAAGCATCCATATTCGTTCCGTTATGTCTCTTCTAATGTCTTGCTAGATTATCAAAACCGACACGGTTCGAATGCAGTCGCCAAGGTCCTTATGATCATCATTGCCATCCTTAATGCTGGCCGCAATTCATTCTCATTTTTCTTACTCCTTATCGTCTGCATGGGCTATGGTGTTGTGAAGCCGTCCCTTGGCCGCACCATGGTTTATGTGCGATTCCTCGCAATTGGTCACTTCGTTTTCGGTGTCGTTTATGCCGTGGCTAGCTTGTCCATCACTCCAGACAGTGCTGGACCGTTGGTTCTCCTTGTGGTACTTCCCCTTGCAGGCACGCTAACGGCGTTCTATGTTTGGACGCTGAACTCATTGGGCGCAACGATGAAGGATTTAATCCACAGGAAGCAATCTGTCAAGGCTATGATGTACAAGAAGCTTTGGTGGTGCATCCTTGGCAGTGTCATTGTCATCTTCGGTTTCTTCTTCATCAACTCCTTTGTATTTGCAAGTCGAAGCGTCGCCGACTTCTTACCGGACCACTGGAAATCGAGGTGGTTTGTGCTGGATGGTTGGCTCAATATCGTCTATCTATTTGATATTGCATTTATTGCATACCTATGGAGACCAACCGCGAATAACAAACGATTCGCAATGAGCGACGAAGTAAGCTCCCTATCCTCACCCCTTTTTTACTACAAGTATCTGACGTCTCTACAGATTGCCCAAGATGATGATGGGTTCGAAATTCGCTCCTATGGCAGCTCAATCGACGAGGAGGGAGGTGGCGCAAGAGGTTCAGATGGTAGCGATGGAAGGGATCTTTCCCCTGTTCCGCCAAAGCCTATGGAACCGGTTCCTCAACCAAACCGACAGTCTCTCGATGGCGAAACTATTTTTGCTGTTGGAGAAGACGGAGATAGATGGTCGGATGACGAATCACCCCGTAATTCTACTGAAAGAAAAAGATTAGTGCAAAAAGACGGTGACTAATTCTTAAATTGGGACTTTTCGAGCTTATTTCTTTTCCTCCGTCGTGAGGGTTTCCAAATCGATAGTCGACAAGGTTTGCTAAACGGCGTTTGTTTTAATACTTTTATGTTTCTGCATACGTTTCTAGATAATTTATGTACTTTTTCTTCTCATTTCTGTATTATGCACTCTCTGTGTACTCTTGTTTTCGTTCTGTTGCCCCACCCCGTGGACATTGATTCATGAGACTCCTGCTATCCTATCTTCTAATGGTTACAGAATCTCCTGGAATCTCTTCGCCCTACAGCTATACAGTTGCAAATCAGGTTATTCTATCATTAGAAGTTTTGTTTTGTTTTTGCTATGATGAGTTCATACAGGACCCTTACCATGAATCTGTCCACCTTCCTGGATTTTGACATTCATGTTTTCTCTGGTGTGCTGGCGGACCTTCTTGGTATAAATGTCCGGTCAAATTATGGAAATACCCCATGTTCTACAATATGTTTGATCTATCTAGAAGTTCAGATAATGAAAAATTGATTTTAAAGCTGAGCCAGCCCTGGGCAACGAAGAGATGGTGAAGTTGAACTCGGAGGGGCCGGAGGGCCGCTTCGATATAGTATAATATCATTGGAAGCTCAACATGCGTCTATGTAATCCCACTTCCCCGCATCACACGTCCATGGGGGATACTATACTTGCTTGCCTGATCTTCAGTATCCCCCTCCTTCGCCTCCTGATTCCTTGTTCCCATATTACCTCTTTAATCCCATCCTCAAACGGGGAATCTATTAGGCAATGGCAGGGGAAACAACCGATACCCCGCCACAATGCAGTAAAGCCCTTGCTGCGTCTTTACTCGAAGAATGCAACACACTTCTATCTGAGGTCACATTCCTACAATTGTATCTTGCTTCCATCGATAAGCCCGACGCAATCGAACTACGTCAGTTCAAGTCCTTCGTGCAAACCGAGTTAAAATTGTTGAAGAAGTTTGCGGAACTAGCGACGAAGACGAATAAGCCGATAGATGCCAGCCCGGAAAATGATTATGACGCGGGTCAAGATAAGGAAGAGCAACGAGTACTACACTCACTACGGTCGTCAAATCTACAGTTCTATTCGTCCGTGTGGAGCGTGGCGAAAACGGCTTGTACTGGCCTGGTTGCGTTCTGCAAGCGATTTTACTTGTATAAATCTAAAAGCGAGCACGGGTCTGGAGCTGTGACGGGACAGACCGACACTCCAACTTTGAGCACAGATCTTGAACGTTCGTTACAGGGTTTGCCTGTTTCAGCAGATACCCACAAGGAAATTGATGAGAGACTGAACAAGGATGGATTACATATGAGAAGTGTGCTGGTGGATATAGTATCTGACAATGGAGAGGAGTGGGTGAAAGTGTCCAATATCACGCCTTCTAGGCTACTGTACGAGCTGGCCAAATTGGGTTGGGAGATGGGAAGTGATTCGGCTGTTGACGATTTTGAGGAGCACAATGCTGGAACATATAGGCTGCGAAATGACGATAGCGACGATGAAGATGAGAATGCCATCGAATTGGTAAAACTTGCTACAGATATGAAAAAAGCGGCAGCTCTAGTCAGAGTTAGATATAAGCATCCTCGGATTCGTTTCGTTCTCTCCAAAATTGTGGAGGGAAAGATTCCAGAAATTGATACTATTATTAATGATATTCGAAAAGTCGGTGTTACAGTGGAGTGTGCTGGCAACCCAGAAAATGGGTCCAAGCTTTGGACAGCTTCCAGAGGAACAGATGTCGATCAAAAACCCAAAACAATGGAGGATATATTTCCGACTTTGCTACCTGATCCTCATCCACATATGAGCTCCACCTTAAATGTCGACTGCACTTTGCTCCTAGCTCTGGTGTCTGACCTATCACATTTCCATAATATTGATCCATCAACAATCCATCATCCCGCAATTATCCGGCAGATTGAACTTGAGGCAAAACAGCCATTGGTAACATCAGAACTTTGGCCGGCAATGAGCAATAGGGAGCTGGTATGTACTGAAGAAGCCGCTAAGAGAATGCACGAAATTGTCGAGACAATTGGTACCGCGAGTGAGAAGCAAAGAAAGAAGCTGATGATGGGTGAAACGGATATAAAGTTGGGTAGAGAGGAGTTGATATCCCAATTTCAGAAATTATCGGATCACAAAGTTCCAATGGATTGGAACATTCCTATTAAATTAGTAAATGCCCAGTCAGAAATCGAACGGGGTTGGATAGACGGGATCCTCCCCCCTCAGGCTAGCGAAATTGCGAGTCGATTAAGTAATATCAACGCCAGTGTGTTTCTATATGGCTGGGCATCTGGCCGGACGACGATCTCGAGCAATCGGACGGTGGCCAAACAGATAGAAGTCTTCATCGAGGAGAACAGAAACGGCGATGATGAATTGGTAGGCCCGCTTGTTTGGGTTTGCGAGACGGCAAGGAGCTTGGTTGGCAAGGAGAGCAATAGGAAGAGTTAAATAGCTGTTCCCAATGGAATAGAACCGTTATACTTCCTATTGCCTGTCAGAGGAAATGACGCTACACACGAGTGGTGGAGCCCCTCGGCACCTAGATGTAGCCTGAATCGGAGGCTAGATTCATTGTCCAGGTATCAATCCGGCCCAGGAAAGCGGAATTCAATCCGCCCTATCCGCCGCTTCAGAGAGTCTTACTAAACAAATTGTTGAATACCTCATTTTTCTGTAGGTTTCGCGTTATCATCTGGGAGCCAGAATGTAATCTCCTTGTCTGCCGTTGCAAACATGTTATATCGCGGATTGGCTTGTACAATAACGGAACGGGCACGGTATGGCAAGCGAAAAGCAGGTTTAAGGAATAAATTCGCATCCGGAGGCTGTTGAGTGTCCCATACCAAAGTATCAGGTTGGTCGCCAGTACCGCCAAGAACATAGCGCCCATCTGGAGTAAAGCAAACATCTCCTTGACCGAGTGGTTTTCCCGAACCCGACACCGGGGCAGCACGCCCCGTGGCTCCAGTTTTACCAATCAAAAATGCCTTCACATATCCCTCGAAAGCATCCAAAAGAAAATGTCCATGGTAGTCTGTTCCTACAAGGAGATATTTACCATCATTAGAAAACTCCAGTCGCGTCCATGCCCTACCCCTAGTAGAAGGGGTGAATCTGTCCTCATGGGGGGCAAGATCGAATGTCGCAAATGGGGGTTTATCATAGTTTCTGAAATCGTAGAGTAGCACCGAAGATGTTGACTGAGAGGCTATAGCTATGACAGAACCAGACGGATCAAAAGCAACGAGATAAGGGGTGGCTAGCTTGAGCTTTCCTTGCGCATTCCTTGAGCCTAGATCCCACAGGGCAACAGTATCATCTTTGGAGCATGACAAAACCGCATCGGTTCCCGGAGAAACAGCAAGGGACGTAACCTTGTCAGTGTGACCGGAGAAGTATCGAAGGTAGCTTTCATTGTGCAAGTCTAAAAGCCGTAACGAATCTGTATCACACTGTCAGACACATACTTCTAAAATAAACAACGCCCCAAAAATGCTTACTATCCACCATTGTGCTAGCGTGAAGAATCTGACGGGAATGATGTGTGAATTTTGCCAGATGCACTCCATATTTTTTACTTGGAACTGTCTTAGTTAATTTTCCTTCCTTTATATCGAACACTTGTAGTGCCTCATCGTCTCCAGCGGCTACCAGGTAGTCACCCTGGTCGTCGAAATCTAGGGATGTAATATTACTTGGAAGTCCATCTTGCTTGACAGTTCCACGAAAACACTAGATGAAAGACAAGAATGTTAGCAGATATACATACACACGGATCGCATGATATCTCGCTCCTGTGCTCACCTTCGAGGCCCTGTAATTCTTGATAACCTCCGATACCTTTGCGGCGGGTTGGGGAGGAAGCGGTCCACCTTCAGCCATAACAGACAATTGCGGAGAGAATCTAAATTGGGAATTGTGGAATTGGCCGTAATGCCACCACTGACATGGATCCGGTATATTAACCAGATATCGGGGTGGTAGCCCAGTTCCTAGCCGTCTTGCAAAGTCGTTCCTAATTTGAAGTGGTCTTACTGAATTGATAGACGCGAGATAAAACCTCCATCGGAAATAAGTTGATCCGGAACAACTCTCTGGAACATTTTACCTGACTACTACTGTCAAATATTGTAAATATTGAACTTCCAGTAACTGAATTGTTCACTTAAAAAAATGTAAATTATTATTATTAACGAATATGAAATTCACTAAAGTATTCTTTATATAAATGTATTACTAATTAATTTAATTTTAAAAAATTTATCAAATTCTATATAAAAATAAATAATAAAAATAAATTAAAAAGTTATATATAAATGTAAATATTTTTGAAAGTAATAAAAGTTAAATATATTAATATATTTTAAATATATTTTATAAATTTTTAAAAACTTAAATAATCAAGTTTAAAATAATATTATTATATTTTTAATAGTAAAATTTTAATTAAAAATCTTTTTATTAAATTTAATATAAATAATTAGTTAAGCAAATAATCTTTGGTTGGTCACGTTATCAGAGCCACACTTCTCTCTCGTTGCAGCATTTGCATGAACGACAGACAAGCAGAACAGAGGACACTGCTCCGTTGCCCAGGATTTTCTTCTGGCTCTACGTCCCCCTTCTCTTCTTTTCTTCCTTCTCTTTTTCTTGTTGTTTTTGCACGGGTTTGGTCGTTAGTGTGTGTGATTCCCTCCTCATTCTTTTCACTCCTTTTTCGTCTTTGCGCATTCGTTTTCTATAGATTTGACTCCCCATAGCATTACACAAAATGTCCACTACCACCGGGTAAGCAGGCCTCCACACTTCCGGTGGAAAAGGATACCTTGTTCTAACTAGTAGTCCGTGTTGCAGAGCATTTATTGCGGGGGGTCTGGCAGCATGTGGTGCGGTAACAGTTACACACAGCTTCGAAACCGTCAAGATCCGGTAGGATGCGACCCTAATTGATACCTGGAGGCCACATTTTATTGATAACATCATGAAGGTTGCAGCTGCAAGGAGAACTTCAATCGAAGCAAGAAGCAGTCCGGAAATACAAGGGCGTTTTCCACGGCGTCAAGGTCATTTTTCAAAATGAAGGACCTCGGGGCCTCTTCCGAGGTATCGGATCAGCCGTAAGTTCCATATTCCGATTGCAATTCTCTTCTGTTCCAGCTGGCAAAATATTTACTCAAATTATTATAGTATATCTATCAAATTCTCCTAAATGGCTGTCGTCTTGGTTTCTATGAACCGCTGCGGGTAGGGATCACCAGAGCGATTTACAAAGACTCAAGTCGCCAATCCCTCGGCATAAATGTCTTCTCTGGAGCTGCTTCAGGGGTATTGGGTGCTGCTGCTGGCTCCCCGTTTTTCCTGGTGAAAACACGACTCCAATCCTATTCCCCATTCCTTCCTGTGGGAACACAACATATGTATAGAAACTCGTGGGACGGACTGCGACAAATCCATGCCGCTGAGGGTGTGAAAGGTCTATATCGCGGCGTCACTGCTGCGATGGTCCGTACCGGGTTTGGTAGCTCCGTACAACTTCCTACATATTTCTTCGCGAAACGGCGCTTAATTAAACATCTCGGAATGGAAGATGGCCCGGCTTTGCATCTGGCCAGTAGCGCGTGCAGTGGTTTTGTCGTCTGCTGCGTCATGCACCCTCCGGGTATGAGTTTTCTGTGCGGTCTTAAAATGTTTTCTTTGACTGAACTCGCTTTCTAGATACCATCATGTCACGAATGTATAACCAAACCGGAAACCTCTATAAGGGAGTGTTCGACTGCCTCTACAAAACCATTACTAAAGAAGGCATTCTTGCCATATACAAAGGATACTTTGCCCACTTAGCACGTATCCTACCCCATACGGTATGTTTTTACCCCAATTAACCCCAATAATCTTCATATAGCTGCGCAGGACCTAACGAATCATTTTAGATTTTGACACTGAGTTTGGCTGAACAAACCAACAAACTTCTGCGAAGACTCGAAGATCACATACTACCAGACTCTATAAGAGAAAAAATATAATTGTTCATGTCTTGCAAGCATTTATACCCAAGAATCAGATACCCACTTGTCGCATATGTTTAACCAAGTGTACCTACTTATCCCTTGAATGCGGATTTCATCGTCTACTATTTTCCCCTTCCCATATAACCGATCACACCTCTGTTCAGAGGCTTTCTGGATATATCAGGCATTTTCCCCCCTTGTTTTTGATATCACTTTGTTTTTCGGGGTTTTTTAGCGATAACAGTTAAATTTAGATTTTGATACCACTACTTTTCATTTCTCCTTTTGCAATTTAGGACTTCCTCTTCTGACATCGATACCATTATTTGGTTATACAAATTGTTTCGAAGAGTGAGATTGTGGTATGCTTCATCCATATTAATTCCTTAATGGTTTTCGGGGTGACTGGTCTAACGCAATCCAGTCAATGCTGGAAAATCATTGAAAAATCGTTCAAATTCCGTCTGCTATTTCTTAATCTGTTTGCTTGCACTCGGGGGATGTAAAAATTACGCACAATCTTACATTGTATCTCCATCTTAGTTGAGCAATTTTTGTATCATTATACACTTCAGCTCAAGTCACACCGATCGCTTTCGTACGATCATGCAGAATGGCTCTAGCAGTTAGCGCAACAACGTTACTTACTAATATTCGACCAAGCATGAAGGAGACCCACTACAGGCGTTTCCGACATCGCATGCGTGCCCCACATAATCTTCCCGAGGTGCAAAGGTCGAAAATCTACATCACTTATACAACTTTAATATGAAATGCGAATGTTTGAAAAAACGGAGAAAGGTATGTTTCACATCTGAGAGGAAGGATGCGGATGATTTTATCCTGTGTAGAATTTTGTTTCGTTGGATTCATTAGGGGTGGTGCACCACCATTTCGCCATGAAGAAGCGTCTTAACCCGACGCGGGGAACTGGTGTGGAGACACGAACCACGCTCGACCGGTATGAAGTACCAGTCTGTCTCATCATGTTCTTAGCTGAGAGAGATGGTGTCATCATCATTTCTCTCATTATTCGTTTTCATACCATCGCCCTCCATTCAATCATCAGTGTCTATCGTCGTGTTCTCCATGATCCCTTCTGCGTCTTTCGACGTTAGTGAAATTCAGCCCTTGGACCAAAAAAAAAGTACCTGGGCTTGGGTAGCAAAAGAAGGGATCTCAACCAAGATCGCTTGCAATAAGTGAAAAATGGCCAACAAATTCAGTGAAAAGATCTCTTCCAACAAGTATATCCCAAAATATCCCATTAATATCCAACGAATGTTTTCGGTGAAACGAATCCCATATCATGGGAAATGGCCTGAACCCGATGTGATTTAAAACACATAACCTTCTGATCTGGAGTCAGACGCGCTACCGTTGCGCCACAGGTCCTTACTTAGGTGACTCGTGAGAGTTTTGAGATAAACGACTGCAACATGTGCTGGGGCAAGAGTGAAGGTTAGCTTTCGGAGAAGGAAGAGAGCCGTATTTCCCCCCTTCCACCCAACTTTCCTGCTCATTCGATGAAGAAAGCCATTCTTTGCTTTTATAAGAGCAGCAAGACTGGGGAAATATTCTATCAGATTCTGCCAAACTTCGCTTTCCGCAATTTGTCGCTTCTCTTCTCTTTCGGTTCTACCAAACCTTATCAACACATTTTTCGCAGATGCATTTCTCTATTCTCTTTTGTGTGAGTAGACTTTTGGCCGTCGCTCAAGCCGTGTACAGACTAGTGGACACGTTAGATGCGCAGACCTTCTATGACGAACGTATATTCCTAGTAGTGAGTCCATAAGATGGAACCGTGAGCTGAGATCAATTCGGTGTGGGTATGTTCTTCTTGGAAATAATAATAGGGTGGTGACCCCTCCCACGGCTATGTCGACTATCTTGACAAAGCCACTGTGCAATCGAAAGGTTTAGTTTCAACTGCGGACGGTGTTCTATATGGTAGTTGACAGAACCGTCGTCGGAACTGGAAGAGGGAGAGCTAGCGTTCTAGTTGAGAGCAAAAAGCCCTACGACCAGGGTCTGATACTTCAAGTGCTGACATACCGCATATTCCCGGATCAATATGCGGGACATGGCCGGCTGTGTAAGTAACAAGAACCATCTCGAAGAGGATTCCATATCTAACGAACCACAGCTGACGAAGTGTGGTACCAGCTGGACGATCGGGCCCAACTGGCCTAGATATGTCGAAATCAACATTATAGAGGGTATCAACCAGCAAACTGGCAATTCAGTGGCACTGCACGCCGTCCCGGAATGCGCACTAGATAACGAGGGAAGCTTCATGGGAAGAATCGCAATTCATGGCTGTGCCATCCGTGCTAAGTTAAAGAACATCAGCATCTGATGTGCCATCCCGCTGTAGAGGCGGAATCTTATGGCAACGGGTTCAACGCAATTGGGTGGGGGTGTATGCTGCAGATATAGCTGTGTCTGCAATCGCTGTCTGGTTCTTCGCTCGCAGTGCAATCCCCAAGGACATCCCAAAGTGGAAATCCTGACCCAAAGACGTGGCCTGAGCCCATGGCCTATTTCGAAGATGGATGTGATGGTGACTTACCAACAAAACATGTCTGTAACCGCAGGTTTTCAACATCTCATTCTGTGGCTGGGCTGATAGCACCTGGCATGCAATCTGGGGTTCCAGAGCACCAGATTTGCTGGGAATTTGTTCAGAAAAACGCGGCCGAGTTCAAGGAGGCATACTGGAAAGTCTCGTACGTCAAGATCTACCGGGAAATTTCTGTTCTTACAAATCGCCTCCTCAACACAGTACCAATGCTGCACCAGTTGCTTCTACCTTCTCAGAGCGGAGAAGGGAGTCGGTATAAATGGCACCACATGGACGCGGTCACAGACTAGGAGTTTGACTTGTGGTGGAGTCTTGCTCTTAACACTGTTGTACATGCTTTGACGCGTTTATAACTACACACCAGCACTCAATTTAACTAATACTTATATAATCGATGATGTACCTGGTTAACTATAACTAGCTATACCTGGGTAACGTATTAGCTGGCTACCAAGATAGAGTATAATGGACAAGCAACCTGGTGAGTTATTTTTTTCTTCTGTCGCGTCTCTTTTTTTTGATATCAAGATTTCCGTTCCTTGAACTAGGCCCAGTCTGCAGGCTCTTCCTTCACAAAAGATGCTCAGCCACATCACGTGTTCAATGCAAACCCAGCAAAAAAAAGCTTGGCGGTTACGTAATTACATGTTTGAAAAGTCGCGTTGCCTCGCGTGGCCCCGTGACTTAGCGCGTTCCTGCCGGGGTATTTCTTGGGGTTTTTTTTTGCTTTTCTCATTTTCTGTTTCTGTTATTCTTCTTCAGAGTATACTCACTCCTCCACAGACATTCTCAGACACCCACCGTACCAAACGTGCCTATACCCTCGCAATCTCTCTCACCATATCCTTGCACGCTTCACTACAATGGCTGCTCAGGTCACTCCCTCGAAACAGGTATGCTGTCTCGCCCCCCTCCAATCGACGCGTCGAAGGAGCCGGTGAATGTCCAGCTAATGAGTTCACTTAGGCTGCATCCTCTCTGGAAACCCTCAAAATGAGTGATTCTCCTGCTAAGAAGCTCAATTTTGAGCCCGCGGGCAAGGAAAACTCCGTTACTCCCGTCCCTCTTGTCCTTGAATCCGAGCCCCTCAAAAAGTCAGATGCCACTCCTGTGAAACCACTGGAGCAAGAGAAGAAAATCGGTTCCACCGCGAAGGACCTTGAAGCAGACGAGCCATTGCTCCAGGAGAACCCCCACAGATTTGTCCTTTTCCCGCTCAAGTATCACGAGGTAAGTCTCCCTGCCACTTCGACGCGTCACGCGTTAAGTGTTTTTCCCTCGCGAAAAACAGAAATCTTTAAAACTCCCTATGGCCACTAATCCGACGCAATTCAACACAGATCTGGCAAATGTACAAGAAAGCAGAGGCATCGTTTTGGACCGCAGAAGAAATTGATCTCTCGAAAGATCTTCATGACTGGAACAATAGATTGAATGATGACGAGCGATACTTCATCTCACACGTCTTGGCATTCTTCGCCGCGTCGGATGGAATTGTCAATGAGAACCTCGTCGAGCGTTTCAGCGGAGAAGTCCAGGTCCCTGAGGCCCGATGCTTCTACGGTTTCCAGATCATGATGGAAAACATCCACTCCGAAACTTACTCCCTTCTCATCGATACGTATATCAAGGAACCAAAGCAGCGTACATATTTGTTCGATGCCATTGATACCAGTTCGTATCCTAATACCTAATTCCAACAGAGTAACCCGGCTAACGCGTTTTCCAGTTCCTTGCATCCGGAAAAAGGCTGATTGGGCTATCCGCTGGATCGAAGATAAAGAGTCTACCTTTGCGCAGCGTCTCGTCGCCTTTGCTGCTGTCGAAGGTATCTTCTTCAGTGGATCCTTTGCGTCAATCTTCTGGCTGAAGAAGCGTGGCCTTATGCCAGGCCTTACCTTTTCCAATGAGCTAATCTCTCGTGATGAGGGTTTACACACTGACTTCGCCTGCCTTCTCTTCTCTCACCTGCGCCACCGCCCCAGCCCAGAGGCTGTTCAGAAAATCATCACAGAAGCTGTCGCCATTGAGCAGGAGTTTCTTACAGATGCTCTCCCATGCGCACTTCTCGGAATGAACGCCAAGCTCATGTGCCAATACATCGAGTTTGTTGCTGATCGACTCCTCGTTGCTCTGGGCAACAAGAAAGTCTACAACTCTACCAACCCATTCGATTTCATGGACAACATCTCGCTGACTGGGAAGACTAACTTCTTTGAGAAGCGTGTTGGTGACTACCAGAAGGCTGGTGTTATGGCAAGCACCAAGAAGGAGGCTGCATCCGAAGACGCGGAACAGCAAAATGAAAACGGAGGTGCATTCACTTTCGATGAAGACTTCTAAACTTGTCCTTTACTATCTCTTTGGTTGGATAAGTCTGTTTCTAGATTTCCAATTCTCTCGTATTTGACGTCCGTGACGCATATACCCTTTTCCTTTGACTTGATTCTGACTGCATACCCAAAACTTCGTGTATTTTTTTTTTTTTTCCTCGCACAGATAGCCTCTCGTTGGGTTTTTATCTTACGAGTTGACCTGAACTTCTATATGTGGCCTTTGTGCATCGTCATGTTTTTCTTTTTCTTTTCCTTTCTCGTACTTTGACTCTATGACAGCATTTTATGTTTTCTTTCCCTCCCCTCTCCATTTTATTGATTGTGTTCACGACAGTTCTTTATGGATGGGTTATGGCGTTATCATTGATTTTAACTTTAGCTAGAGGTTGTTCATGAGTGATTGGGGAAAAGTGTCTGATGGGTGGAGTTGAAGAGGAATTTACCCATCTTTGTGCGAAGAAAGTATACTTTAGGGTTTTTAGCATTAGTTATCCAAATAATCATACGCTTCTTAATTCATTCCCCTCTTCTTGAGAATGAGGAATACAGAGTTCTATAGATATTTGTATATGGCTAACGTCAAAAAAATAATACCTGAGAATCTAGACACCTCGTTTGTATCTCTTGATGTTCTCGTTAACTCAAAACCTCTCTCCTAAAATATTCTATATGCCGTTTTATGAAAATAAAAAATTCAAATAGAACGGATATGAACGGCTATACTTTGCCACCTAACCCTCCGACTCTTATAACGCTTCCTAACCAGCCCCAGCAGATGATCCATGGATATAGAGAGACAAGTAAATAGCCTACTTCTTCCTCTTCGCCTGCTTCTTCTTCCCTCCACCACCAGCACTCGCTCCACCCGCACTACCCCCCTTCCCGCCAGAACTCGTGCTCGCCCTCGCATCCCCGGCCACAGGAACATACGCAGGAGCATCTACCATCTCCTCATCCGCCTTCGTCGTTTCTACGGTCTCAATAACCGGCGCGCCGCTTGCCAATTTGCCCAAGCCAGCTATCAACCGGCCGATTTCTGCAGCTTTGTTCGTGTGGTATTTTAGACAGATACCGCTGGTAGGGTGGAAGGTTTTCAAAGTTAGGGTTGCTGGTGCTAGTGATGTTGGTGCGGAAGTAGGATCTAATGTAGCTGAAGGTGTAGGTGTTGCTGTTGTTGGGGGTTTTAATTTCGCAGTGGATTGGGACTTTTTGGAGGTGGGATAGGTGTATTTTGTTGTTATTCGCGTCTGATAGGCGTTATGTTAGTGATATAAATCATCGGACATGCGAAGGGGCAGCTGTGGGTAGAAAGAGAGGAAGGGTGTTGGAAAAGTCTAGGCTTGTGTGCAACACTACATACCGTATCTGGGTATGCTTCCAGCAGGAGCGCTGATTGTTCCAGATATTCTTGAGAGGTCGATAGGTAAGGCATTGTGACTATAGCTCTTGAAATTGATGTGCTTCGCTCTTGGTGTTCAATCCACTCCTCTCGTCCTGTTTGCTTCCTCTGACGTTCTTAAATTGTTCTGCTTTCCTCCGATTTCGAGTGCGGATATCAAATCTTTTTCCAATATTTATGATGTAAGTCAAGGAATCGTTTCAAACAGCTACCATGGCGAGATATTGAAGACGGACACAAAAATGCACGGGTTGTGGCTTTTTCGGAGATTTCGGGAGGCGTTGAAAAGCTGGGAAAATATATGGGTAGCTATAATGAGACGAAATCAGTCACTGGATTCAGATGCATACCCTAATTTCTATAATTTCAATTCTTTGCTCGAGGTTATGGGGTGGAGAGATGTGATGGCGTACAGTGAATTGCTTGTTGGAGGTGAATCGAGAGAGTGGATGAAGTTGTGGGGGAGAAAGTCAGTCATCCATGGAATGAGAATGAGCCTCAGGCAACCTTGATGATAGCGAAAGTCCTAAGTACTGCTTTGAAATTTTAAGGGTTAAATATTTATATTTACCGACAAGTATATCTAAGCTATCTTTAATTGATTTGATTCTGTATATTTCTTCAGCTTTCTCCCCCCATAAGGCCATTAAGAAGTACATGTACCAGCTAAGTATGAAGTTCCAAAATATACCCGTGCATCCCGGACATGCCTAATCACTGGCGGATTGTTATCGCCCCACAAAAAACGCATCTATCGTGAAAGACTTTTAACAGAAAAAAAAAAAAAGGACTCTAGACTCTATTCGAAATGATATGGGAAGGGAAAACAAAACAGAAGAAGGTGAGTCATAAGCTTCAGCCACAAGCATGAACCTCTCCTGATACAAATGCAAAGGTAAAGCATTGTATAGTACCATATCACGCTCTATAAAAATATCTAAACAGACCAAACGTATTAGCCCACCTTGTAATGCAATCCAAAACTGAAAACCATATCGATACGAAAAAGGAAAAAGGAGAAAGAAAGAATAAAAAGAAAAAAAAGAAAAAGAAAAGGGCTTGGTTAGGGACGGCCGAATTAAACACGTACACTATCCTTGTATGTGTACACGGCTCGTGCACGCATCGTCCTTCTTTCACACAAATTATTTCATCAACCTGTAGGCCGGAGAACGAGAAAGAAAAGTTAAGAAGAACAAAAGGAATCACACATCAAGGTGTAGGAAACCCACATCCTGACGCAAATCAACTTTTGATTCCAGTTCTTCATCCGCATCGCACGGAAATTGGTTCTGACGGCGAGAGCAACTAATATCTTCCCCATAATCATCATCACCATAATAATAATAATAATCACTACCACCACCACCATCACCGCAGTCGGGTGTACGGATGCCGCCCATCCAGCTCACAAGAGTCAACTGGCCGCATTCTCGTCCACGCCTGATCGCGGCAAACTGCCAGTTATTCCAAAACATGCAGCTCTGATCTTCTTCCACCCAATGCGGTTCTGTCAACTACACTGGTCCCCGATTTTGCCCAGCGGTGAGACTGTTGTCATGGTAGGGATGGCATTTATTGTAACGCCTTTTCAGGCGGAGATGGCTATGGACTATACCCAGAGAGGATACTGTGCCGGGAGAAGGGTTTGGATTGGGAGTGGGATTGCTCATGTGAGATGGGCTAGGTGACAACAGACGGGGGGGAACAAAGTCTGGACGTCTCTGTGGCCGCTGAGATAGAGCCCTTCGGGACGTGGTCCCGCTGTGGTTTATCATTTTGTTACCTTGGAAGATTTACTGGGCGAGGTGCTGCGGGTGCGCAGCGAGAGGCTTGAGAGAAGGTTGTCCAGGCTTGAGTTCTCTGTCCTAATGACGGTGTTTCGCCATGATAGGATGCGCTCGGAGGGGGTTTGGTGAACGGAGTCTTTCCCGAAGGAGGAGGCGATGCTGTGGCGGGTTGAGACGGAGCTAGTTCGACCTAGGATTTTTCGAGAGAAGGAAGAAGCCCAGTTCTCGCTGCGTGGTTTGTTGTATCCACAATCTTGCCTAAAGGCTTTGATTGCACCATTACAGTCGGCAGTGATGATTATGTTTCCGCAAGGGTGAGCAAATTTCGACGCATGGGTCAGAGACTCCTCTGGTTTTTCATTAAGTGGAACTGTTGACGTTTTGGCAGTGGAGGGAACAGGGTCTCTCCGAGGGCTTCCAGAGTCTGTATTTAGTTTGGATGACATAGATGCGGTTTCGCTACCAAGTGCAGCGGCAGGAGGGTTGCAAATATCGTAGAGAAGATCGCCAGAGGTTGCAAGCAACTGTTTGGTTTTAACCGGCGCCATAACCGCGGTCGTGACGACAGAAGAATGTGGCTCGAAAATCTCAACAGCGCGTTTCTCCGGGTCTTTCTCAGGAAAATTAATAGGCCATATATACGCCTTTCTATCCTCACTCCCACAGATAACAAACTGGCCATCGCTGCTGAATGTGGCCCGAATCTGACTAGAGGTGTTCTCGTTTCCTCGAAACTTGGCCTCCAGTGTGCGATCCCTGAAATTATAGAGACGGATTCGCGAGTCATTACTCGTGACAAGAAGTTTTACTGCGCCATTGGGATCCTCAGGAGGCTGGATGATCGTCCCAATGCCGGTGATCTTACTGCCCTTGGAATTCCGTCCACGCGCTGATTTTAAATGGATTTGAGACTGTATTTTAAGGCCATCCGTATCATAGATAAGGTAAACACCATTGAGACAGCCGGCAATGGAGTGTTTTCCATCAGGGGTAAAAGCTACAGAAGTGATCATGTCAGGGAGGTTAGCCATAAACGCTACACTCTTGTCCGGGATGCTCCATAACCTCAGCTTCGTATCCAACGAGCCAGCGAGGAAGAAGCGGTCGTCTTGGGGATGAAACTGAACGGAAGTGACAAAGTCGTTGTGGTTAAAGCAACACAAACACTCCTCTCTCGTTACATGCCACAATCGGACTGTCTTATCCATTGACGAGGACAGAAGGAAATCATTCTTCATGGTCTTCGATTAGCACTTCCTCGATACATAATGGCCAATTTTTGCACCCTTCAGAGTAACATACCTTACTCCAGCTCAAATCCACAATGCTCCCGGTGTGTCCTTTGTATTCCCGCACAGGTTGGGACTTAAACACAGGGGCCCTAAGTCGTATGAATGGCTTATCATCCTGAGCCTCTTCTTCGATCTCATGCGCTTTGCGATCCTCCCGCGATGCAATGACAGCCCAAACCCTAACTTTCCTATCCTGGCCAGCTGCTGCCAGAAACTTGCCATCCTGGGAAAACTCAAGCGTCCATATAGCCTTTCCGGTCGACGACGTATCCTCTGAACTAGTTGGACTAGAGGGATGCTCCCTATCATCGTGAAGCTTACTAGCAGCCGATGAAGTTGTTCCGCAGAGCTCTTGAGCAAGAAACAGGCGATCAAAGATTTTGTCCTTCTTGTAATGCGAACGAACTTTGATATACTTCGGTGGCGGAGGATATCGAGGGATACATCCTATCGGTTGAGCGAATACTTCAGCGTCCATACCGGTAGCACGAATCTCGCCCGTTTCAGAGTCGTCGTCTTTCCACTCAGGGAAAGAGGTTTTCTTCTTGCCGCCGATTATACGGCCTAGAAAAGAAACTCCCTTTCTAATCCATTACAATAAGGGAAAAAAACAATAATGTTAGCGGCTCTTGGAAAAATGGGTGCTTATAAGCTATTTCAGATAGCCATGGAACAGCAAATTTCATCCATATTTTTCTCTCAAGCAAGGAGAAACACTGAATCCTGTTTTCTTGCGAAGGGAGAGTTTAGAACTTACTTCTTATCTTTTGACGTTTTCTGGGAGAAGTTTGTTTCTCGTAATATTTCAGGCACAAATTCTTTCTGGATAGTAAATGTTCGCTGAGATTCTGATCCACCAGGCTCCGTATCAGTTTTTGCAGGAGGGCGAAATCTGGGGGGCGCAGGCTTCTCCGTATTTGTACGTTGCAGGATATGCTTGTGAATGGCAAGTGATAACGCAAATAATCAGCAAGGCAATCCTCCCGTTAACAGCTCGGGTAGCTTCTGGTTGCAATTAAAGCGGGGAGAACGAAGGATAAGGAGAATCAGGCAGAAGAATAAAAAAGAGGACGGATTGTTAAGGTAGATAGACGAGGAGTGATGGCGAATATTGTCGCTCCTGGTCTCTCCCTCTCTGGTGGGGAGAACATATGATATATCATGTGCAGTACAATCAACAGAAACATACCTGAGAAAGCGGGTCGATTGGGGTTTGAGGTCGCAACTGGCGATTGCTTGTACTCGTGCCCGTAGAGAGTTTCAGTTGTAACTGAGACACTGAGGGTGAGGTAGCTGTAGACCGCGGCTTAGAGACGGAAGTGTTAGATGCATGACTGTTTACTGGCAAGGCCTTGTGGTCGCCAATGTTGTTGTAGTTGTTATCGTTACTCTCTTCATCTTTACTATTAGCGGTGGCATTAGGTATACTGATCCGAGGGTTGCTCTGTGGTTCTGGGCGATGCAGCAGGGGACCGTTGTCATTAGCAGCGGCAGCAGCAGAAACTTTTCCTGCAAGTCCCGCAAGTTGTATCAGCATCCGGCATGGGTTTTGGGATCATAGTCAACGTGGAAGCAGTCGCGAATTAAAGAATGCATATCAAGGAGGATGAGCCAGCGCATAACTGAACAACCTTGGAAAAAAAAGTTTACAGCTGGCCCGCAACGTGAAAAATAGAGAGTCAAAAAACATTTTAATGCGAGGGCGGGCCGAATGGCAACGTAACAAAAAGCCTCTCTCTTACCGTCGGGAGAAAGTCCTCCTCCACCTAAAACGGGCCTGCGCAGACTGCCACTCCGGTCCATTTTATCCATTTTACGAGCTGTGATGACAGCAAGTTAGGGATCGTCAGGGCACGCGAAAGATATCCTTCCACCAGGTCCGGGGTGGGCTATCGGAAGAAGGGGCATTGGAACGCGAGAGGGGAAACGGACAGGTAGAAACAGCTTTCATGATAGATAGTACAGTAGCTGCTTCAATCAGTCCATACCGACTTACTCCTTTGACTTCATTCCGCTGTGGTTGATTCTGGAAGTGCTGGTGGTGGTGGTGGTGGTGGTGGTGGAGGAGGAGGCGGTGATGCTCTGGCGCGGGCAGGTTAGTGGAGGAGGATCAATTGTACCTGTGGGCAGATGACATTCAGCCGGACAAGACAAAGGTCCAACAATGCACGGGATGGCTGACTGATGAGAGGGCGGCAAGACGGCATTTCTAATAAGGTCCGTAGTTGCGGAGTCTATGATGGTGGTGTTGGGTTGGGTCGGATCATATAAATCATGGCTAACTAATTATATCTAATCCAAACATTTATCCCACGGACTATGTTGCCTGCTTGCAATAAATGCTGATGTAAGAAATACCTGCCTAAGTAGTTTATATTTGAAGAAGTGGAGGAGACATGAAAAACTATAACAAAATTAAGCAGTTCTCTGGAGTACGGATTGCTATAGTTGCATCGCGTCACTGCGTCATGGGCATAGCTGGATTATCAGGGTGCGGCAGATCGGGCAAACCCCTGAGGGAAGCCAGGGTGTGTCCGAGGAAGGGCTTCGTTACTTTTTAAGCGTGTAGTTTTGTCGTCATCACCACAGATTAACCACGTTAGTTAGCAGTTAAACTGGTCTGTTTAGTTCACTAGTTAATCAACAATAGTTGGAGGTTGACCTCTCCTGACCCCTGGCGGTCTCATCAGATGAAATTTTGTATCTTAACACAAGTCGTCGCAACTCATCATCGTTCATCATCAGCACATTTGGGCAGTTAATCTTCTTATCCCGTACTCAAGACTAGGGGTGGATTCCATCCCGTCAATGGATGGAAAGGCATTCTTTGGCTGTCAAATAAGATTGCTCATGGTGAATATTCTATCATCTGACAACCTCGATTTATCCGTTCCAAAAAAAACAGCGAACCAAGCCACTTTGATACGTATGTGTCTGTATGTATTATTATTCGAGGTGCTTGAGCAGAAGCCCGTCTTTTTGCAGACCGTTTTATAGTTGTTTGGCTGGTGGTTGATCGAGAGATCCACACTGGGGAATATCCGTTCGGGGAGTTACCGGATAGTTACAAGTTAGTTACTCTATACATTAACATATCAACACAGTTTTCCTCTCAATTCTCAATCTTTTGATCTTGCATTGCTTCTTATACTTTCTTATTGTCTATTATTGGGCTATATTGATTGCTCTGGGACTGCATGTTGAACATGCTTGATATTAAAAAGACAGTTGTTGCTGAACTTCCAGGGCTCTTTTGGGGCAATGGACTCGGGACCAACCATTAACTTATGCACAGCTTCTCCTGTTCCCCTGTCCGAGGTCGCAACCAGAATACCCCACCAGCTTACGAACTGCAACTAGCGCCCTCTGAAGAAAGAGTTGCTGGTTGATGGCAGAAGGGGCCAAAATCCCTGCTGATCAATTGACAAGCATGGATGCTGATCTTGGAACAAAAAGCATTCTCTCATAACAGCCCTCTCGGCGAAATAGAAGATCCTCATTCCCAGAAATAACTAGGGATGGATGCTCTGATTGCCACGGCATTGCGGTGTCTACCAGAATCCCGTGGTTATTCCCTTTGTTAATCGTGCATCATATCAAGATACCTTTGCGAGATCTAACTTCCCAAGATGGGGTCTGGGGGGTCAATATGACAGAAAACACTCTTACAGGGAGAAAGCGGGGAAATCTCATAGAACGGTGCAAACCCCCTAACCATTAGCGCAAGACAACATCACCCCAAAGCCCAGGCATCGAAAACGTGCATTCATCGACTGTTGGACATAGCATCAGTGTGTCCCAACGGGCCGTATAACGTAAGCACGTTGTCAATGCCTGTGGTAGATGGTCATATAGATGGGAAACACGGTCTTACAAGCAGCAAAAGTATTGGCAAATAAGCACGGGATTCCACCGACCTAAATATGTTGCTACTCCGTTGAGGAGACATTATGAGCTCGGCTTCCAATTTTGGCGTGGCGATACTCGGGATGTCAAGGGGTTCAGCATTCCGGTGGTGAACCTCGCGAAAAGCACTGGATCAATGGCGAATAAGGATAAAATGATGTTGAGGTCACTCTGTCAATTGATTTTGATTTTGGCTTCATAATCGGTTTCCCCCTTCCAGACCTATTCAGTCGACTTTCGGTGGTCAATATGGCTCTTCTCAAGATTAGTCTGTTTGGGCTTTCGCTGAGTTTAACTGTCTATGCCTCATTCTCTGCCAATTTGAGTATGCCATTTTTATATTTATATTATATATCTGTACCCTTTCATCTCTATTCAGCCTCTTCAGCATCCTGGATTTTCCTTTGGGATATAAGCTAATGCCAATTGCCAGACTACGGCTCTCCATCCCACAACCATCCCGATCTTGGAATTGCCATTAACAAGGTGCAGAAGCGGAATGTTCACACCTCCCCATTCAAACCAGAGCAGCTATATTTCACCCATAGTGTGGCATCTGGGGACCCATACCCGGATTCCGTGATCCTCTGGACCCGCGTCTCCCCCACAACGGAGAGCAGTGACTCCAACGTGACGGTCAGCGGTACCACGCCGCTGTATGACCATGACAATGAGAAATATGTTTCCGTTTCTACTGCACCCGTCTGTGTGAAGTATAAGGTCGCTATGGATCTGAAGATGAAGAGAGTGGTTACTGGTGGAGAAGTGTGGACTTCATCTGATGTTGACTATACGGTGAAGGTATACCAATTTTGTGCACACACATATATATATATATATTAATATTAACTGTTTTCCGCGATCCTAAGCTGACCTGTGTGTGATGTAGGTTGAAGCAACTGGTCTGAGGCCGTACACGACGTACTATTATCAATTTACTGTCTGCGACTCCAAAAACTCTTCTCCTGTGGGACGTACCAAAACCACCCCCAGAAGGCGGGACAAGGTGAAAAAGGATATTGGCCTTGCTGTCTTCTCTTGTTCAAACTACCGTGAGTTCGCCTACAGAATTGTCTTTGGTAACTTTGACACTTGGCTGACTGGTAATGACAGCTCAGGGATTCTTTAATGCTTACGGAAATTCTGCTCGTAAGGATAATGTAGACTACGTTCTTCATCTTGGTGATTATATCTATGAGTACAAAGAGGGTAAGTACTCTACTCCTCGAAGCCCCAACTTGTATTATTCTGAGGCTAATGTGTTTCTGAATGTAAGGTGGCTACGGATGGGGCTGGTCCATAAACCGCATTCCGCAGCCGCCGGATCGCGATATCAAAACTCTGTAGGGTTGCCTAGTTAATGCGCATGTATAGTTTCTTCTCTAATAAATTCTACAGACTTGACTATCGTAAGAGATACGCCAGCTACCGCACCGACGCTGATCTGGTTTATTCGCACCAACACTTCCCGTGGATCACTGTTTGGGATGACCATGGTAAGTCCTATCTCTTCTCACTCTTGTAATAATATCTAACGGGTTCTAAATAGAGGTGGAGGATAATGTGTGGAAGGCCGGCTCGTCCACTATGAACAATACAGAAGACTCATTCATCCAAGCGGGTGGAATTTCCATTGATCAAGTCAAAGCGAATGCGGTCCGTGTCCACTTCGAGTGGATGCCAATCCGCCAGGTCGATATGGACGACACCCTCCGTATCTGGCGCAATTTTGAGATTGGAGATCTATTCAGCCTTATCATGCTCGACACTCGTGTCTATGACCGCTCCATTACCGACCTGTCCTGGAATAAACACTACATCGATCTCATCCGTGATGAGCAGTCCCGCTCCCTCATGGGTCCCCGTCAAGAGACCTGGTTCTACCGCCAGCTCATCGAGTCTGCCAAACGTAACACTAAATGGAGAATCGTAGGCCAGCAACTTCTCATCTCCGACATCTTCTATGGCAAGAATGAACAAAAGCTGTACAACGCAGATGCCTGGGACGGGTATCGCGCCAACAAAAACCGTACCCTCTCCACCATCCTTGACCACAAGATCAAAAACACCATCTTCCTTGCAGGCGATACCCACGCCGCCTATGTCTCTGATCTCGTATACACCGGTCACGGCAAGTATGACCCCAAATCTGGATCAGGAGCAATCGGCGTCGAACTCGGAGCCACGGGGGTTACCTCCCCGGGTCCTGTTGGCCAAAATGGTACCTTCGACCGAGGAGCAAAGGAGTCTCAGCGGTTTGTCGAGAACAACACTCCCTTGCAATGGCAAGATTCGTACTATCGTGGCTACTATGAGCTCAGCATTAACTACAACCGCGTCCATGCGAACTTCTTCGGTGTCCCTGATATCCGCACGCGGAATGGAAAGGAGATCAAGCTTGCGACCTTTGAGATTCTGGATGGTAAAAATAAACTGACGAGAAATGAGAATGGGGAGCCGGTGGTTGGGAAGGCTGTTGGGGGAGCGTTGAAGAACGGTAAAGTTTACCCTGATGCTGCGGTGATTGTGGATACTATGAAGGGCAAGAAATAGGAGGGCTTGGGGTTGAGATAGCTTGGTTGTGAAATTTTGTATTTTTGTAATGTATTAGTTATGTATGGAGAGATTTTGATGGCTATGGCTTTTCTACATAGGCCATAAGCCAAATTTTCCTGTCATACATATGTTTTCCCTTTTCGCGGGTGTATATGCCCGAATTCTCTTGGTGGAGTTTTGAATCTAAGAAACAATTTAAAGGTCGGTCCGTGTTAAGCAAATTATTCAAGGCGATTTTCATGGCGATAAAGGATTATACGTTAGTTATTTGAGAGATTGGCATTCCCTTCATTACCCGCAACTCCTATTTCTCCCAAACTCAGCGTTCCGTTGGTTGACGGAGCCACCCCTAGCCCTAAATCGGAGATATCAAATCTACGCTCAGGCAGATCGGGATCGTCGATGGTGCGTTTGCACAAGTGTAGAGTCCCAATATTACTCGGGTTCACGCCGATTTTGAGATAATAAGGAGTAGAGTGATATTTAATTCTGAGTGCTTGCATTTTGGCTGGCTCTTCTCAACTCGAAATATCCCTACGTTGAGATTACTCGTGGCCACGTACAGTGGTAATTTAAACTCCAACGTCGCGGACTAACACCTAGTGATGACGAGGCAAACAATCCTTTAACTACAAACCTCCTAATTCAACAGATATCACAGCAATCTCTGTTCGGCGAACAGGCATGTCCCAGGCCAGGTAATGATCATCAACCGTCCTTCCGTTCCATGATAACTCTAAACTTTTAGCGTTCCTTTGGTCTGAGTTCTCATTCATTCAAGCGAGGCGGCTTCCCATATTATTGGCGTCGTGTTTTAGGCTTGGAAATGCCAATCAAAATGGACTCCTCGACCCATATTTGCTGTGGCTGGCCCAGAAACGGCGAAAATGTGGCCAGGGTGGAGATATCAACTGTGCGTGCTTCTTTGCCTTGCAGACGAAAACTGGCGGACGTGCATTGGCCGATAATTGGTCATTGTGGCTATGGTTTGGCGATGAGACCAACCTCCAACCTCTTTCAAGGATGAGGCTCGAGTGGCTGCAAAAGGATCTTGAAAAGCCATCATCTATGGCATGTTAAGGTTTCGACCGGCAGGCTGCCAGCGCCCGTGTGCTGGTGCTGTTTGGCTGCCTGGCTGGGTCTGATTATATATATATTCGCGATTATCCAGTTCCGGTTTTCTCGTTCTTAGGGGAAAGTATACCGAGCCTCCATATTACTCAGTAGTCTTGCATGTATGTCAAGAAATACAGACACGTACAAATACATGGAATCAGTATAAATCAACATGTCTTCGGAACCCTCCATTCAACAATCCCTCCTCGATACGATCGAGCGCTCCTTTTACCAGGAATCACCTGCGGAATCAAGGGAACAGACAGCTGACCATCATCAACATGAGAAACATCGAGGAATGAGCTCGTCCGATACTGCCTACCAACCAATGTCAATAAACCTCGACACACTGGGAGGAACAGATATCCCACCACTGCAACCACGACAACGACAGCTACCCCAGAACTTTGAGATGCCCGGACGCCCCGCGAACGGATTGGTGTTTCTACTCCATTGGGGCTGTGTGATCCTCACAGTCGCAGCTACGGTTCTGTTCGGGGTCTGGGCTCCTCTGAGCTACGAGGCGACAAAGGAGGCAAATAAAGACAATGATCAAACACTGCGAGCGCTTGTGAGATCTGCCCAATCTGCCAATGAGATGGCGACAAGTGCACTCTCTTCTGCGTCGCGACATCTAGCTATGGCAACTGCACAGGCGAGTGCCATTAGCAATTTGCAGTCACAGTTGGCTGCTATGGGACAGGTAGCTATGTTGCAGTATTGCGATGGACAGACTAGAGGGGTGGGTAGAACTCTCTGTACGAATGAACGACGTGCTTAAAATTCTAAGCTCGATCATTCTTAGTTTTCGTCGCTGGTCGCAACTTTCCAACTTACACATGTAATATTAACTAGGACTTCGTCGCGTGTTCATCCTTTTTGAACTCCATCAATTTCACCAGCCTGGTGTCCCAGATTGTCACGCCACCAACCGCGATACCAACCCCTACATCAACCGGTAATGGCCGTTCGTCACCCACCCGTAACCCTTCAGACGCCAACAGTGGCCGCTCACGAGGTCTCTCCCTTTCTGTCGGTTCTATTCTTGGGATCATTTTTGGCGGCACCACCGCCGTAGGAATCATCATGGGGTTCATAGTCTGGCGGTATCAGCGGAGGAGATTGGTGGATTCACGGCGATTTCATTGAAAAGCGAGTTCGGAACATGCAATCTGTTCCTTTTTTCTTTTTTTTTTTCTTTTCTATTTTTCATGCGGGAACGCAACTCGAGAGTGAGAGCGGGATTGAATATTAGGATAGTAAGGTAAGGACCACATTTCTATTTTCCCTATTAACGAGAGCATTTGGAGTAATTGCTGATCATTGGGCTTTTAGATAATAAGACGTGGCATGCGTGCATAGTCATGCTATATGTTCAATCAGCTAGGTGTCTTTTGACAGTAAATCCTATCGCAATACGAGTGGGGGCTGGCAGTCTTCTAAGGTTGTCTTGTGAAATTTGAGAAAGACTTTGAAATACCGATATGTAACTTCCATGGAACTGTTCTCGCATTCCAGGTACCCATTTACTGGCGGCATGGAGCAGCGAAGGCTTTGGGTTTGTTGGCGTTATGACGGAAAACTACGAGACCTGGCATAACACCTCTAAGAAATCCATCAAACCATCAACCACTAAACACCTAAATCTATTCCATGTGAAGTGGATTGGTGAAAATTCCAGTCGCATTTGGACGTGGTCAACAGGCGCATGACGACCGGAAGGGTGAGGTGGTACACGAGGGATGAAAATGGATTACAGGAAGAAATGTTGAGAGATGAAAGCTTCGCTGCATACGGAGGAGGGGCAATAACATTGCCAAATTTTATGGGCCAGGTTCTTTTTGCTTTTTGTATTTGATTGTATTTTTATGTTTCCAGAAAGGAAGAGAAGGAAACTCATGTTTACATACAATTTCCCTGGCATTATAGATACTTGAATACATAGACATGTACAACACCATTTCTGCTTTTGCTCGTCCACTTGCCCCTCTCTCTGCTCAGAGGCAAGGTCACAAATTCAACACCGGCGAATAGAATTTTTCGCTTAAATATTGAAAATAAAACCGCAGAGCGGCAGAGAAAGAAAAGTGAAATCTCGACCCATACTCCATCCGGCGTATTTTCAGTATACGATCCATGGAACAGCGTCAGGGGTAAAACCAAAGAATGAGGAGAAGGACAAGGCTGAATCGCGAACTCACTTTTTCTTCGTTTCTCCACCCAACTACGTGATCGTTAAGCTTGAGACGTATTATTTCGGATCTTCAAGCTGAACGAAGAACATCCCCATGAATAGACACGGGAAGATCCTTGAAGCGCTCATCAACCGTACGCCATCCGTCAATGGAGCTGATTCGGCACGGCGATCTTCGACACGGGAGTGGGAAGCCCAACGATACGTGATGAATGACTCAAAATGTAGCATCTGGGAGGGAGAAGTTTTGCATAATTATTTATCAAATATTTGGGCATAGTTGCGCCATGCACGCCGTTTCCTTTACGTTCACAATACTCCGTAGGATGCGTGGAAAATTCCCGGTCTTCAAAGGTTGGATCTTTCGAGTGCCTTTGTGCAAAGCGCGAGGTGTTAGACAGCAGCAGGCGACCAACCTCTTGCTCTGACTGGCATTCTTTATCAAACGACGAACAATTATCGTTATTTGTTGTCATTCATGCTACAACTTGTCAGGAAGGCCAAGTCCTAAAAACGCCCCAAACCCTGCTGTGGGGCCGGAGCGAATGAACTAGACGACGTGTGCCGGAGGGACGGGATTTCATCCCACACCAACAGGGATAGTATTTTGGACGGGGTGAAGCTATTATTTTGTATTTTTGTATTTTTGTATTTTTTTTTTGACGAATGATATGAGCAGATACAGGCACACTCCAGATGGCCCGGGAATGGGTTGTTGACAAGGGATTTCTTCTGATCCCCGCAACCAGAAATCCAGATGGGACGCTTGTAGATATCGAAGCAGGGAAAACATCTCGCAGCAAGTGTCCAAAGGGTGATTGCTCTTCTCTTCGAATTTTCAGAGCTTCTCACGAACAAAGGTTACACACCAACAAGTTTTATCAGGGATGGCCGCATCCCTGGGTTTGAAGTGCTCCATCCCTCCCCTCCCCTTTTCTTATGCGTCTAGTTCTCTCTAAGCCATCTGGAACTGCAGGCCTGCATGTAGTATCCTGCAATTTCCGCCAGGAGGTCTCTAGACTTTGCACCTTCGCTAACAAGTGCCCGAGCTGCTCTACATGAACATCATGTGTGCATAATGCAAAGTCATATCGAAATGTTGAGGACTCGGAATGTAATTTTGCTTTTCTCTTTCTTTTCTTCTTTTTCCTCTTTTCCTTTTTTATATTATTTTATTTTATTTTTCTTCTCTGTTTGGGAGCACCTAACTACAACAATTCTCTCAGAGACTCTGTATTCATTTCTGGACAGGATTTAACTGCGGCTTCAAGATAACTATTCATGGCTGAGGGCTAGATTTTGATATTGACAACCCCCGTGTCGAGTGTCAAACATGGTCTACATTATCCTTGGAAGTTTCACATGGTTATATACAAAGCATGGAGTTGTCCAAAAATCAACAGGCGATCAAATGCGCTGCGGAATGCATCCTCTTGGTTGGCTGATTCAAACGCCATTGACCCTCACATCCGACCAAGAAAGTCCATCCGATATCCGTCTCCATCCTGAAGGTCACGAGGTCGTTCATCACAGCCGTAAAACGCCACGAGTTTGGATGTGGTAGACCGTTGATGATGGAGTCCGTCAGATCAGCTTCATTCACCTTATTGGGCGCTCCCACTCGCACAATATTGGTCATAGCTCCATGAAAAGTCGGAGAACAAATTCCTGCGATTTAAAAAGGCCGGTCACCTGGTGAGCTTGTCGAGGATGGGGTGGTTCGAGTGGTCGCCGTTAGGTTGCCGGGTGCTAGAGACAAATGTTTCCCCAATAATAATTAGCCCCAAGTGGTTTCTCCACGGGACAATGAGTCGGTGCGTTTCCATGCCTTTTGTGACTGGTCTAAAGTTAAGTCCTTGCACCCGATGGGCCGCCATAGCCTCACGTTAGCGCTCAACAGGCCCATGTCTTGGCTTCCCGTCAACGAGACGTTCGACTCGATGTTGATGATTGTCAATTGGGATTGTTCATGAATCGTCACTACCAAGGATATTCAGGATGGGGGTGTGGGATCATAGTCCTCGAGTAATGTTAAGGACTGGATGAGGCGTTCAACAAAGAGCACAGCATTCACAGCAAGCGGCGCGATGCAGTCACCCTGTGTCCCTGGGCGAAATTTCCCCAGTATTCGAAAGAATCCTGGCTTGATGGTGGTTCTAAAAGACATTTCTTGCCAATGAAAAAATAGAACATAAATAAATTATCGCCTCCCAGCTGAGCCCAGGGATTTTAAAATAAAAAGAAATATCAAAGCCTGATCAAGTAAAAGCAACGAGGGAAAACTGGTTAGCGGCTTCTCCGCATTATTGCTGAATCGGCTCCTATTTGATACGTCGATTTCCCCAGGAAGACCTGGTTTCTTCCTCTGTCATGATGGCTACCTTCGAACGGTTCGATGGAGAAACATCACCTCACATTACTGTTGCTTTTCGATCCCAAGCAGACTAAGAACGACTGTATTCTCACTCTCATCCATGAATAATAAGCTCTGCGGCATCGTTCTCTTGTTTTCTAATTGTCCTATCCACACACAGCCATTGCTTATGTACGGTCAATCTGTGTTATTTAGGTGTCAACAGCTCTACGTACTGTGACTGCTCCGGAACACATTTTCGCGCGATTGACAAATCCAGGGGCCATGTATTTTCACAATGAATGGCCAGTGGGGTAGAAGTCTCTCCCTCCCGCAACACATGGACGTCTTCACTTTCTCCGCATCTCCCGCGATGCCTTGCCAATTGTCCTTCTCCCGCCCGCAAACCCCACCCTCTCCAGACCAGAGTTGCTCAAAGCGTCCACGGCCACTTACCGATGTTGATGGAGAGGGTTCCATGGACCTGCAGAACAAAAAACGTCGGCTTCGCCTAGTATTTGTCACCTCCAGGCTCAGCCTCCCGTTTTCTGCCCCTCCAACCCATATCATCGGTCGGGGTTCATCGAAAATTGCCGTCTGGGCCAAGCAGAAAGCCTTAGGACGCAATTTGCTTAGGAAAACCGCTATTATGAACAGGGTCCGAAAACATGCCCTCTCTATCCACAACAATGACCCCGTCCAGTTCGATGTAGCAAGACAGTTGGCCGTTTTGCTGACCCACCAGAATCCCCTCTTGTCACCCACGGAAACTGCTCCGTTTGCAAATGCCCAGGCGCGCTCTGACAATTTTATGTGGACAGCCGGGATATGCCAAAAACCCTCAATGAGCCCGCCCAATCTTCAGAACCAGCATCTACCCCTCCCATTAAAGAACCCTTATAACACTTACTCATCTCCATCTCCCTCTCTCCGCCAATATATTCCCTTACCGCCACCACCGTTGGACTTGACGAATTATGATGTCTTCGATAATGAAGATGGATACTTCGACAGCGACAGTGACGGGGAGTTGGAAGGCAACGACGGGAAAAGTTACCGGGTATACAGTGATTTTAACATTCTCGAGCCTTCAGAGCCGGTTGTGGATGATCACGATGCCATTGCTAGTTTTGATTCCCTCATTTTTGGTTCTCAGTTCCTGCTGACAGAATCCGTCGAGGATGAGGAGTCAATTGGGATATGTTTGGAATAGGAACGGCAAAAGGAAGTCTCATTTATACACTCCGGGTATTGAGCGGAAATACGAGAGCGAAAATGATCACGTAGGATCTTGAATCTGGATTCTACGTGCACGCGTAACGTTTGATGTGGAGGTTTAAAATCAGACCAGCGGCTGGAAGGCCTGAAAGCCCAATCTCCACTTTTTGTCGAAACCTACTTTTTGTGGAATCCCGGCTACATATGAACTCTCTAAAAGGGGATTTCGACAAGTTCTATGTTACGAAGCACATACTGCATATTCCGCTCTCGATAATTCGATCACTGGACTCTAAGTGTCAACACGTCCTTTGTTTTATACTTATCTTATCGCCAGGTTACTCCGTCCTATGCATCTGCAGCCTTTGCCATCCAGGCTCAAACGAAATAAAATACTCCAAAGAGGGTGCACAAGCAACATTATTTTCAAAGTCCAATAATTCGATCTTATTGGGTTCCAAATTCTTCTATCATTCTCATGCAAGCTTCAACTCGCATATCTTCTCCTTCGACAATTCTAACCAAACACTTTTCATGCTCTTAGACTGATGGCATTGAGACATAAATTTACAACCACATTTTCCGAGTTATTCTGTCGTCTTCGATATGCGATCCGCGTTGTGCTGACGGATACACACATGCTATGTGCAATTGCATATACATGCAAAGCTCTCCCTTTCCTAGCCGTTTAAAATAAACACCAACAGATTTCCACAAATTTCCTGTCCTTTTTGCATCGAAATTGAGACATAACCACACCCTGACAGGAACTTCTCTCTCCAACCCCTACCTTATCCCTGGTATGTTTTCCAATTTAGAGTCTCAGAGCAACATATTCTTTTATATTTTTATATTTTTTATTATATATATATATTCAAATTCACCATTCTTCCATAGGTTGAATGTTTTCATGATAAACAGAACTAAGTCGTCAAAAAAATAAAAAATAAAAAATAAAAAATAAAAAATAACAATAAAAGAATCTCTCAAGGAATCCCACCATTGTTAATCTTTGCTTTGTTTTGGGCTTCTCTCTATTTATACTTCTCTGCTGCTGTCGAGTTATGCAAGTTTTTGTCACGGGGGTTACAATAGGGCACTAATTATACACAATTCATATTTCAAGTATCTTTGAGGAAAGTGAGCAAATTAGCCAATTATTATTACTACTCCAAGTTATAATTCCTATCGCTATCTGAGATCTGCTACCAAGACCAAGCCAGTAACTGGACATGCGTATCAAGACCGGCCTATTCCATCCCCTTCAAATAGGAGACTAGCTTTACATCCTAGTACAAACAAGACCCTCCTGGGCTAACAAATAATTTCCAATACCCCTTCTCGTTACTCGTTACCCTTCGCTCGTAAGTTTCCCGCACGAAACAAGATTCATGCTTGCTTTTGATATCATATTTTTGATATGGACATTTTGACTCCGAATTTTCCCAGTGAGCACTGGGTCCGTGAAGGGGGTATGCCATTGATTTACGATGTCCATCCGCGCATCCTAATCATGGTTTCATGATCCGGAAAGCTTAATAACCATGTCCACAGAGAATTAATAGATCTATGATGTCTTGCGACATCTACCCTACCTCTCGTCGTGCAAAGTTTTTAATTCACAGACAGCGACATTTTCCTCGAACACGTCAGTTGTGTATAGCCAGGTGGTAATAAACGTTTAGACCACTTGAACCACGGATGTGGTTAGATCAGTCTGATTCTATCTTCTCAAAGGGCACCCTATTGTGACACAATATATCGGTGGATCCCTCAAGTTCATGTGTCGTACCAAAGTAGCAAATCAAGTATAGACGCACTAGAGACACTCATGTCAAGGGATGAATGAACAGGATGTTAATAAATCCGCATGGCTACATATTTGTAAGGTCATTTGAGTGGCGACTCGTAAGATGCTGGATAAATTCCACTGCACCACTGTAAGTTATTCAGGATGTCCGACTGTAATCATGGAGACTATGAATAAAGGACAGTGTTGCACTTATCTATTTATTCTTGGCCATTGTATCAATATTAGGTCATTGAAGAGATCTATTCAGACACAACGCTTCCTAGGTATATTCACATAGGAAATCCTTACACTAAACTGTTGTAAAACAACTCGTGGTGGGTAGCTTTGTACACTGACTTATAATCAGCTTTGGAGCATCTGTGCCCGATCAATTGCGATATCACACATTGCCTAGGTTGTTCACCGAAAAAAGCACAAGGCGTAAATATCTCATCCACTGTCACTGTCGGATCTCAATAGAAATGGGATATGGAAACAAAGAGACAGCGAAAGACCGAGACTTACTTGTATAATCTCCTCTTTTTCCTTCTCTATATCCCCCCTGTCGATACGCCGACGAATGTCCTCTATTATGACCTCTCTCCGACGTCCGTTTACAAACACCCTGTACGAACTGTTATAGCTCTGCCATATGTGATGAAAGGACGAATTATATATAAAAAGTAATTTGTTCCTTAGAAACAATATCACATACACATATCTCAATCCGGCAAATTTCTCCTCATATTCATCATTCAACCTCTTCAATTCCGCTACCTCTTCCTCTGCCTTCTTCCTTACATTCTCATCCTGCGCCTTTTCTCCTTCTTCCCCCGTTCCGGCATTTAACCCGGCCTGTTCTTGCCTACTCAACTCACTAAGGTTTGCCTGCTTTTTCTCCCCAAGACGAGGATGCGCGCCTAGAATCCCATGCAAAATCTTTCTGTCTTGGGAAGAATTTGCAGCGGATAGAGCCGTCATGCGAGCGCCCACTGCATTGATGAGAGAAGGGTAAGAAGAGAAAGTTTGATGGACAAGGAGGGGGAGGGCAATTGTATGTAAGTCTTTGGAGGACTCAAAGAGGGTGTCAAGGACTTGAGTTTGGGTAGCTTCGGGCAGGGAGGGGAGTGTGGAAATTGGGGGAAGAGAAGGGCGCATGGTTTCGAGATTTTGAATTTGAGGTCTGGAGTGGAGGAGTGTGGAATTTGGGTTAGTTCTTTTAGTGAGAAATAAAATGAGCTGGATATAATTGTGAGCATAATTGGTAGGATTCCAAGTTCCTGTGATTGAACCTTAGAGTTACTTGTCAATCAATTCGATCTGACGTTGATCATGTGATTTAATTCGGCATATCACATCTTCTCGGGCCGAAGCTCCCGGGAAAGCAGCCGAAAGAGTTTGCAACGACCGAGTCAATTCGTTACGTAGAGGAATTCGTTATATAGAGGTTGACCATTCAAAGTATGCCCGAATATCCTGCTGCTGCCTGATTTTCAAGTTTCCGTGCTCCTAATTTTGACTTGGTATAACGAAGAATATAGTATGACGATAGTCAGAACGTAGTTGGCATAAGATAGTAGTATTCGTAATAATAACTAGCTAATCTAAATGATCAATCCATCAAAAGAAGAAGAAAAAAACAGCGAGAAAAGAATGAAATATATATGTGTCCGCGTGCGTACGCGAGCTTGGTCATAAGCGAGGCATACGAGTGATTGATGCTCGTGACATATAGAGAATCTAATGAATATTCGCTGTATAGAGAGGTTTAACTAATTTTTGTAGGAAGAATGAATTCAGGAAGGAATCTTTGTACATTTTATAGAGGTTAAAAGTTCATTATAGTGAGAGTTTACTGTAGTTTGCAACGCAATAGTGTAGTTAGACATTAAAGAACGATGCCCGCTGAAAACTCACATAGAATTCTCATCATGACCTTGACGGCTGCCAAAAGCAGCCGTCGTATTATAACTAGGTATTTAGAAGGGACTTGAAATTCCAGTTCCTCCAATGCTCGGCAACGCCGGGAACACCCTCCCAGGGATTAACATCAACGTATAGTTATAGAGCCTCATATACACTAAAATGATATCAACTATCCTCGGATTTGAAATCTCGGTTTCGAGTGGTCCATGTGCGGGACGGGCCGGATCAAACCTTAAAATAACCTTAAATAGTTACGATTCACTCCGCGGTAACATGTTTACAGCGCTGAAATTATGAAACTTGATGAAGAGGAACCGAGTATTTAAAATTTAAACTAGCGGCTGTCCTTTACTCACAGTCATCTGAAGAAACTGCCCCCGCAGAAATCCCTTGAACAGTTCCACTCCTATTTCGGGTTTTTATGTCCAAGGTATTCTTTTCAGCGATATTATTAAGGTAGTTACAGAGTTTCCACGGCCTGCAATAACTGAGCTCCATTATATGGCTTCCAATCTCGGGTTCTACGATACCCGAAGATATGGATCCAGAATGCTGCTGTCTACACCAACTATCCTAAACTATACCCTTTCTTTTTCTGGTAATGGAGCTAAATTCTCCTTTCCGAACAATGTCAACAAGGCTGAACGTGCCCATGGTCAAAATGAGCTAGAGGTTATTCTAATCCTTTCGGAGGCAGAAAGTGATACCAGGGTTTCATATTACCTTCACGTAAACACTACTAATCCCAGAAGAGAAAGCCCTTCATGGAATATCAAATAGATATTCATGCCATTATGAGCGCTTGCTTATATCAAGAAGTATTTCGACCTTTTGCAGCCTGCAAAAGTCCTTATTTTGTGCCTATTATATGGTATAATGTTGACGCGTGTGTAGAGGGTATTTAGAGATTTAATACCTGATGAGCGGGAGTTCATCATTGAACATCCATAATACGGAGAGCAAGACTTCTGAAGGAAAGACGAGGTGTCAACATAAGAGGAGGAGAAGCTGGATTTGGAGATAATCAAATTTTTAGTTCCTACCAACTTCATAACCTGTGATTTATCATGGCCACTCTGAAGTGAAGTGCACAGCTGGGAATATTCCAATCTCCAATTTCTGAAACCTTGGGTGGGGTTTGGTTTTCTCCGTAGCTCCCTCAAGAAAGAGGAGCAATTGAGTTTTTTTCATCTTACACTCGACATGTTGAAAAGAGTGAGAATAACATCGGCAGTATCAGCAGATATCATCTGTGGTGTCCCACTTCTTATCACAATTACCATAACAGTTTTCAATTTTCCCGCATTCGCCTATCTTGCGAAAGAACTTATTTCTGGGATTTGAAATTTCATTCTTGCCGGTCGTGGTCGTACATTTTCATGTCCTGAACGAACAACCGGATAGAAACCCACCCTGTTAGCATGGTAGTTAGGTAGGCAGCGATAGAGGAAATGGATTGCAACTTATCGTCCGCCTGATCGGGTGTCTTTTACCAATGGGCCCCGTGTGGCTGGGCTATGAAAGCAGGGAACATCTTTTGATGGATCGCGCTTTCAAACATGCCGTATCAGTACGTGCTCCAGGATATGTATAACGTTCAGAGATGATTGTTTGTGCGAACTTTTGATATCATCTCATACAGCATTGATTTAGCGATATAAGGCAAAAGCAGACTTCATCTACAGGTGTATTCTTTGGTCGACTTATCAAGCAGTCGCAAAGATTAGATAGTGACAGGATTGGATAAGGACATCAAGGAAAAAGGACATGGAAACCGCGAATAAAGAGAATATAAACTCCCACCCGTCCTTTTTTTTTAAAAAAAAAAAAAAGAAAAAAAAAGAAAAGAAAAAAGCGAAAGATATGCAGCAGTTGTATAATTTAACTCAATCAACACTGTTCACGTTGAATTAGCTGTTCCATCCAGGAGGTCGCCGGGGTGCGTTATCATCTGGGTTGCTAAGCTTTTGAGTGTTACACGCTGTTATTATCACCTCGAGGGGTGTATATCTGAACTACACGTTTGCATGGTGTTAATGTAAATATTTCGAAGAAATTTTTCAGATCTGCGCCCAGGTATGTTGGAGGAATGGACGCACAAGCACCCAATTCCCGATTTCCAACTTAGCCCCTCACCCACTCACCCCACACGAACTATCTCTTCTCATAGATATAAATTGCATCGCAGATGTGTGGAAAGATGTAATCACAGCACCTTTCACAGTCCGGCATATGTTTGCGCCAGGCCTTCAGGTCCAACATCATGAGGTGCATTCAAAAGCAGATCTCTGACACATCTTTCTGGCAGTGTATAATGCCCACAGAGAAGGAGCTTGTTGTGATTTCCGGACCTAGCCAGTTCGATTGAATGCATTGAGGAATGAATGTTCAGCATGAAACTCACGACAACACTCAGTGCGACTAACATAGGACTTTTTAGTTTCTGATTTAATGAATTGATATCAGTACTCATATTGTCAATATTACCATCCCTCCTTCAGCACAGGGCAGGCGTGTAGGACCAAACAAAATGAAGAGTAGCATCCGTCATAGTTGTAGCAAACTATGCCGGAGAAGTGAAAAAGGATGTTTACCACAGTTGGTAAAGGGGAGGTTGTCGCAAGGCATGAAGGGAGCGGCTTTTCCCAACACAACTCCCAATGACTTTTTTTCGGTGCTGCAATTTTTCGTGTAAGGTGTCGCTGCGATTTTCTTGTTGTCGAGGGGTTAGCTATCGGTCATATATATATAAATTTTCTTTCTCTCTCTGCGCCGTGATGATCTTCCACGGCTAACGAGTGCGAACATTAAACAAAAACACACCCCACATGGCATATCGGATCGGCAATGAAACAATTGGTTGGTTGGCAGCAAACCGGAAAAAGAAAGTGGAAGAAATCGAAAGCTAAAAGATATGATTTCAAATGGGTGGGACCAGGATCCGGGGTTGGTTAGCATTTGGATCAACACACATGAGACATCCTGATGTGCCTAAACGGCCTCCGAGGACCAGGCCAAAGATTTGGTCGGTTTTATTATCCCTGGAACCTCAAGCACTCATCCAATTGTGAAGCGCACAAGTGCAGATGTGCAAAACTAAGAGCGATTTTCCCGTCGCATGTGTCATTAAAGTAGATAGGCCTAGGAATGATGGATTTCCACAGGCTGGTAGGAACCTACAAGTGCATTGATTCGGGCGGAATTAACGGAGTAAAATGCAGATCCTCAAGGCCAATTAGAAATCGCATTTTTGATGGAAGTATTTCGGAAAAGTCGTGGTCAATGTACACTGTGCATACATACATATATATCGAAGGTGGGGCCTCCTCGTTGGTGTACATTAATATAGGATCGATCACTGGATGTTAAAGAATGTTTTGATCTCTTCTGCGGTAAGAGACATGGTTAAGCGATCTCTGGTGTGGAGGTTTCGTCGCCACCTCACCCCGCTAAATCGATGTGGTCGGACAACTAATATCGTAACAACAGCGAGTGGGTTGGTCACCTTACTTTCTTTCTTGGACGGCTTGGTGGGACAAGGCACCAAACAATGAATAGTAGTAGAGCGGCAGCAAAAGTGCCACAACCGAGGAATAGGAAAGATGTCAGCAATTAATTTGAAGCTAAACTATTCTAACAAATTGGTAGTATATTGACGTTGATACCGATGTTATGTCGATGTCCTCGAGCGAATTAGTTAGCGGCTATGAATTTCCAAGAAATGAATAAGCTGGAATTGTTGGCTTGGGCGGGATAACCAGAACCTGGATAGTAACTGGATAGGCATAATATATATCTATATATGGATCTTAATATAAAAGGACTCCTCTGTGGGGTATTCCCGGTGTGCAAATACTGTATCCTTTTCTTGAGCTTCCTTTGTTGACCCCTGAAAATAGCATATCTGCCCGCCAAGGACAGCCTTTGATTTGTCCTCCCAGAATCTCCAATCTCACGTCTCCACTAAAGAGCAAAGCATAATGAGAAATATCTCTAAAATAACACACCCAGAGCTAAATGTCCCTGATCTTGCCTGGCTCCTCCAGAATTTTGTCCCATCTGAACCTTTATTCCTTTGTTCCCGTTTTTTTTTTTTTTTTTTTTGTCTTTTTGCCTCCCCCCTTTTGTCTTTTCGTGCTTCCAAGGGTTGTGCTACGACTGTAGTTAGTGTAATCTCCTAACGCTCGTTTTCTCCAAGCTAACGCTCAACCTCGCAAACTCCTCGTCTTGTCTCCTCCACATCCCCAGACGCAAACACCCTTCACGCGCTCTGCTGCTGTTGGGCCCCGTATTGCTTTTCGCGTTGCCTCTCTAGGGCTTCGTCCTTTCCAATGCAGCTCCAGTCATGTCTCTCAATGGGTTAGATGATCCCGCCGTCATCGAGTCCTACCAGGCTTCACTTGCTGAAGCTGGAGGATGGTGAGTTTAATTCCAATTGCCTTTGCCTAACTGTTTTGTTGCTGGCCTTTGGATGTTTCTATTCTCCTGCTACGGTGTTGCCCGCTCGTTTTTGCCCATTGCAATGCCTCCTTCGAGATGGATTCAACAACCTCATGTTGCTGCAAACCCTTTTGTGTTGAGCGCAGTGTGTTGAGAGTTTTCATTGCGCTGACTATGTACCCGTTCCTCCTTCGCCTTTTCTCCTTATAAGGTTTCTGCTCAAATATATCACTCGGGATACAGTCGCCCTCCTGGCTCGTGGGACGGGAGGAGTGGCTGAGATCAGAATCACCATCGATGGCTACGAGGAAATATCCCCCCTTTACGGGTTTCTACAGTATCGTCGGAGGAAGATAATATTAAAATATGTCCCCGAAGGGATCTCAAGGTTGATCCAAGGTATTTATCTCTTCATTTCAAGTTAGATGTTGGCATTTAATTTCCACTGGCTATTAACCATCGGAACTGCCAATTTCTAGCACGAATAACGGTCCAATTCCAGTCCATATTGGACAAGTTCACACCCAACGATGCCGTCTTCTCCCTGGCCCTTTCGTCGGAATTGACAGAGAGTGCCCTCTCCTCTGCTTGTCTACTCCATACCGCATCTGGTTCTATGACCTCCTCGTCCAGCTCTCTGCTTCGTCAAAAATTGGGTGAAATTACTGAAGATGTAGAGGAATGTGCTAGCCCCAGGGAAGAAACACATGCGCATCTCAACAATGGGAATATAAGTCGACGCGAAAGCGTTTTCAGTAGGACATCGGAGGCAACTGCTGTACCAAGCCACCATCATAGGGCCCAGGGGTCCACAGATACTTCTAAAACTCATATCTCTTTACAACCTTCTCGAAACAATGTGTCCGATTCCGGAGCTGATAAACCCTTGCCTTCTATTCCTCGAAATTGCAGTGATAGCCAGTCGAATGGCCTTGGGCAAAGGCACCTTTTTGACTCGCTAGCGTACTCCCCTCCTGATTCGCGAAAATCTTCGCAGTCGACTAGACCATCCTTACGGGATCTGGATTCAATAAGTGTGTGTCGTCCGAAGGTTAAGTTAGGTCCCCGGCCTTCGATAGATACAAGTGGACGACCACGGACGGCGGGATCAATAGGCAGATCGAACGACACTCGTCCCGTTGCCTCACTACCTGCAGGGGTTAGGACGTCTACTCGAAAAACCGGACCTTCTGCAGGACGTCCCAAATCCCAGCCGGACATCCATGTTCTACGACTTCACCCATTGGCGGTTCCACCTGTGCCACCACTACTGATGCCGCCTCCGTCGTTCAACCTTGGCCCTACGTCGAGAAATGCTCTAGGTTCCCCGAGATCGGTTGTGAGCGTGCCAATAACATTTTCAATGACCCCTGAAAAGCAGAGGTTAATGCGAGCGTTGGAATTGCGGAAGAAACAAAGGGAAAGCCGTGGAGAAAAAAATGAAAAGAAGCAGGATGTGCCTATTAATGGGCCAGAGGAAGCAGTGGAGAACAAAGAGAACATACATATTGTAGAGACTGAATTAACTACCCACCCAGAACCGACTGAACCTCTCTCCATCGAAACAGATACCGAGTCTCATACTGAATCCACCCCAGGGTGCCAACGTCAGCAACACCCGCCATCTGTCATTCTGATCAACGAGAAGATCCCAACACCTCCGTCGCCCGATCCTTCAAACTCCGATTCAGCTGTAGATGTCGGAGCTACAAAACCCGCCAACGATCAACCTGCGTCCTCATTTGCCCCTCATATGACCACTCCTTCATCTGATTCAACGGAAAGAAATTTTCCAACACTTGTGGGAGCAGACAAGTGTGGAGGTGTGGAGGAAGACAAAGTTGAAGAAGAGACTTGGGGATCTAACCAGGCTGATCCACAAGTTGTGGAGACCAGTGCCTCCAATGATACACAAATACAAACCTCGAATAACGAGAGTGAAATAAAACATGTTGCTGAGTCAACCGACGCCCCAACTGGGGGGCTTAAAGTCTCCGTAGTTGAGGTTCCTTCTGATTTGCGCTCGCCGGAGGCCACCCCAAGGGCAGTCCTAGCAACATCTGTAAACGACACATCTCCAGATTCTCAATCCGCGCCTACAACATCTGAAATGATGCCGACCGACACATCCCAAGGGTCTCTACAATCTAGCACCCGGACCGCGTCAGTTGTCCCACGCAAATCCACGGAAGACATATCTATAACATCAATATCTGCCGCTGGTGATAACGATATGTCAAAATTTTATCAATCTTTATCCGGACAAGAGGCATCCGCATCCGTTGATATAAAGAGCAGGCGCAAAGGTGTCATTCATCCTATTCATATTGCAACGCAACTGGATGAGTCGGACGAGGAACATCTGTTGTCTGATGACTCCTTCATGGAGGAATTGGGAAGTGCTACAGTTCAACAAGCGAAGCCAATAGCGGTCCCGAAAACCCCGACCTTCGTAAAAAACGGAGAGTTGAATACACCTGCAGATTGGAGGGGATCCAGAGCTGTTTCTAACCCGACCAAATCAGGAAATTCTGGATCAGACGTGCAAGCCCTTCCCATTGGCAGATCTGCATCTGGCTCTTATTATGAAAATCAGAAGGCGGTTCCTGTCCTTGTCGCAAAAAAAGTAAATGTTTCCTCGGGGATCTCAAAACGTATCAAGGCGCTGGAAATGTTCTCCAGCCGCGAAGGTCAGCAACCTTCTTTGGCGCCGAAGCCTCCCCTTCCATCAACTGATTCCTCAATATCACCATTTGAAAAATTTCGCAAACGGACGTCTATCTCCCAACCAGGCCTACCACCTGCAGCCTCGATCAGAAGCAAATCTCCCTCATACACTCCATCCCCTACGTCTCCCAAGGAACGTTCCCGTTCTCCCAATCCCCCAATACGGGTTGATAGCCTGTCAACATACAGAGGAAAGTCTACTTCGGTATCTGTGACTGCTCGCATAATCCGGGATCCAACTGCACCTTCAAGTGAATCTCTCGTGAACCCGTCGGAACCCAATGTCCTAAACCTCCAACGCAGCCCTCTTATTGTTGAGAGTGATGTCCCCGAAACTCCACGTCGTCTCTCTACTTCAACCATCTCACGGCCAGAAAAACGGAGGCTCTCTAATTCATCAAGCATCGGATCGGGTCGAGCTTCCACAGCTACTGGTGTTCCCCGCTCGGATTCTATGTCAAGCAGGCTCTCCGTATCATCTCGATCGAAGCATGAAGGACACAATCCTCATACTTCCGCCGATTCTCCCTATGGCCCTCTTGACCGTGTCGATGAGGCTAAAGAGGAAAAGAAGACGTCCAGGAAGTCACGCATTATCCGCCGCATGTCCTCAATCACCTCCAGTTCACGACGAGGTATAATAAACGCCCTCAGTCCAACCTTGAAAGAAGAGGATTCCCAGCTGGCCTCTCTAAACGACGAAGATGCAACCACAGAGCCTCCGCAAGTGATCGATATTGGAGAAGTTAACGTACAATTCCCAGACACTCTTCTCTGGAAGCGAAGATTCATGCGCATAGATGACCTGGGTTATCTCATTCTGACTCCTGGGACTATCGATGGCATTGCGCGAAACATTGTTAAGCGGTATCACCTCTCTGAATTCCGGACGCCGTCTTTGCCCGATCAAGATAGACAGGAGCTCCCTAATAGCATTGTGCTGGATTTCCTAGATGGTAGCACGTTGCAATGTGCGTGCGAGTCGAGGCAGGGACAAAATGCTATCCTTCAGATTCTTTTGGAGGCTCACCGGTCTTATCACCAAGTCTTTCCTCAGCAGGAATCATAAAAGGATGGTTGCCTAATCACTTAGGAAGGGATCGGTACTATATAATAACGGTTAATTTTTATTATACCTCAACCCAGAATGTTATATCTCCCCTTATCATATTTTTCATGATTTCTATGATATTATGGTATATCTCATTTTGACCTTTTTTCAAAAAACAAAATTATCCGCCCCTCACATACCTCCCTCCGCTGCTGGTTGACCCCAATGCTACGCTATTTTGTGCCAGCCAACGATGTCAAATCGACAAACTGGACTTTCCCGCCGGCTAACTAGCTATGCCTCTTTCGATTTGCGATGACGATCTTCGGAGATGTTCGTCTCTCGTTCTTGGATTGATCGAAACATGTTTACGTATTTGACAGTCCTTAAAATGAACATCTCCACCAGAAGACGTCGCTGGCTAGGTACGTGTGACGGTGAAGATATCTTCAACGTGAGGAGGGTATGCAAAAGATGCTGGTGAACAAGGGGCTTCTGGGACTTCATTGGCTCCCCTTGTGCGGGTAATGGAAGATACTTCATACTTCATATATATCGTCGACAGTGGAATTTGTTTTGGCGGGGCCGATACGCACTACTAGTCACCCTCTTTTCTTCTTTTCCATCTTTTTCACTTCTCTCATATGCAATCTACTCCCTCAATGCACGTCTAAACCACCGCTTCTGCCAGTTTTTCCTTCTTGCTTTTATTCCCCAAATCTCCGTCCACATTCATTATCGGCCACTTGCTTCCGGCCTTTTTCCCTTTTTAGTAATTTTTAAAGACTTTTGTCCCTGAACCTATTTTCCTATTTACTGGGCTTTGTTCGGTATTCTTCATATTTCTTGTTTTCGTAAGACTAGTTATTTACTTTCTTTTCTTTCTGTTTCTTCTTTATTTCATCTCTGATTCCCTTCTAACTTACTGTTGGAAGTTTTTCTAGATTGATTTCCTATACTATTGCCACTTTATTTCTTACTTGTCTTTTCCCTTTTGTGCCTCATTTTGCTGTTATCCCTCGACCAATTCTTTTTCTAAGTGTTTATCTCTTGTCGGTTTCGATACCTTTTTCTTCCCCTTTTCTATTTAGTCTTTTATTTCAACCACTATATATCCCCACTATTTTTTATTTTTTATTTTATTTTAGTTTTTTCCATTTAAATACACCTTTTATAACTTTAGTCCTCCTGTTTTCATTTAGTGTTTTTGAGGCGCATATCTTGAACACTTGCCACATCTACTCTATTCTTCTCTTACTTTCGAAACACCTTTCTTCCCTATTTCCAACTCATCCTGGTGGTTTCTGCTACACCCCGAAATATTATAGAATTACTGAGCAATATCTGGCTAGCCAACAGTGTTGTTTCGAGTTTTAATTATTTTTTTTATTAGTACGGATCGCTTTAGAATTTTAAGGATATCCCGTATCATCTAATTCTATAAAGTTGTAGGATTTATGTTGTAATTCTGCGTGAAGATCAAATCGACCTATTCCCAAGGGCTCTAATCGATTCCATTCTCTATCCTATAACATGCAAGCGCTCAATGAATAATATAGGGTAAGCAAACAGCATGGTATATTCTTACTGATTTGGAGATATTTTGATGTACATTACAATGCATTAAATGCCAAATAAATATGCGCAGGTATAGACAGACGAAAACTGAACCAACCCATCCACGAATGCAACAAGGAGCGGAAAAGTAGGGACACCCAGAAAATCAACACCCAGATAACTCAGTCAATTGGCCCCAGCCCTGACCACTCTCGCCTCATCATCTCACAATCCTTCATCCTCACCCTCATTCACAGCCTCAATGACTCCCTCAACCTCCCCCCTCCCCTTCCTCTCAACCCACTCGTCCAAAAACTTCTGTAATTTGGGCCCCCACACCTCTTCTCCCGCTTCCAAATCGCGATACTCTAGCACTTTGTCAGGCTCCAGCGTAAAGTCAGCCTGGCGCGTGCGGACAAGTGATGACAATATTGCATTGCTGTCTAGTGCGAGGCCAAGATCGTGGGCTAGGGAACGGACGTAGAAGCCGGATGAGACGGTCATCGTAAGTTTTACGGCGGGTGGTGACGGGTGTGATTTTGAGGAGGTGGATGTGTTAGTAGTTGTCGTGACATCAGCGGTGGGAGAGCCGTCAGCAGTATTGGTGAGGGGTCCAGTACCGGCGGTGGTCGTTGTAGAGATAAGTATGTCAGTGGCAGGATTTTGGCGTTTTGGGGAAGGTGTGGAGGCTGGAGATGGGGATAGCTTTCTCTTCACACCATGTGCTTCTTCGGGCTCCCTGGAGTTATCTCGGTGCTGTTCTTTCGGAATCGTAGATGGCAGAGAGTCCTTAGATATCATCTTCTTCGCTATAACCTTTTCCGTACTGTTCACCTCTTCCATTGGCAAGACATAATCATGCGTGCCCCCCTCATACCATTCCACAATTTCCAAATTCATCACTTCCACTGGCCTCTTCAAAATCGCTACAGGCGGCTCAATCCCCTTCCTTGCATACTCATACAGTCTTTTCCCTTGCACCCTCAGCGCCGAAAACATTGAAGGGCGCTGCATAATCTTCCCCCTAAATGTCGCTAGCGCTTCCTCCACCCTCTCCCGCGTGATATGCTCGTACGGTGCCCTACTCACAACCTTCCCGATACAATCGTACGAATCCGTCGCGGCGCCAAATAATACCACGGCCTCATATGATTTGGTGCAGGCAAGAAAGTTATTCAACTCCTTTGTGCCTTTGCCAACGCCAGTTATCAGCACGCCTGTCGCCATGGGGTCGAGGGTGCCCCCATGTCCGAGTTTCACTGCAACACGCTTGTCGCGTCGTCTGCGCGATTGGTGTTTGCTCTCAGCGCGCCGCCGAATGTGCTCTGTGTCGACCCATGGTTGGAAGAAGCGGGAGCGGGTGAAGTGCTTCTGAAGGTTACGGAGCACTTCTGCTGAGGATATACCGGCGGGTTTGTGGACAGCTGAAATTTTTTATTTTTTAAAAAAAAGGATGAGTTAGTTTAGATGTGACTTTTCTCAGGGTCAGGAACGGAGAATAATAAACAAACCGAAGACGCCTTCCAGATTGTGGGCATGAGACATTATGACTGGGAAATCTCTGGTGCGGAAGCGGAATTGCATGGGTGCTGAAGGATTGGTGTCGGGTGGAGCGGAAATTGGATGGAGTCGGCAAGATGGAGATTGCGACGATGAGGGGTGTCGCAGATTGTAGGGTGGAAGGTAATTGCTATACTAAACAGCCGTCCATCGTTCAGAGGCATGTAGAATTTCTAGAAATATACATCAATTGCGCGTGCTGGTGAATTGCACTGTAGAGCACGTATACTGTGGTTGTTGTTATTCGCAGAGTTTTCATGTTGCGGACTTTTGATTCTGAAGAGAAAAGAGAATAGGGCTGTACGCCAAAATACGGTAAAGAACGCCCATCACCACCAATTTGCCCCATGTGTACCGTATTTCAATCGTACGTACGGATACACATACAATTTGGATAATACCGTACTTTACGATACTAGTCTAATCGCCTTCAAGGCTTCATCTCAGTTTCTCGTTCTTCATCCCCACTCAATGTGTGTGATCTCTATCAGCGACAACATCAAAGCTCCTTTCCAAGCCATCATGGTGCTTACGGAGATATGACGACGCGAATTGAGAATGTCCTGGCTGCTAGAGACTCCTCCCTCAAAGATGAGAACGACTGGGAAGAGTTTGCCCTAACCGATGTCAAGGTTCTTGTGCCTGGCAAGGCGCGCTATGCTAATGTCCTGACTGCTTCTCCAGAGAATCCAGTCCGTGTCACAGGCCAGCTAGAAATTGTAGAGGAGGAGCAGGAGGATCTTGGTATGGAGAATCCGCCTTGGTGGATAGTTGGTTTTGCATTGGGCTGACGCGTTTCTTTTGCCCTGATATTTGATAGTCCTGGATGATAATTACCGAAATAAACGGGTTCTCATTGATAACGTCACTCACTATGCCTACGGACAACATGACGATGGTGAGATTGGTTTGTGGGTTGCGGGTTCGGCAGGATGGTTTTCCATTGCACCCGCCAGAGGCTTCAAACCGATGTTCAACCAAATGGTCGAGGCCATTGATCTTCTTTATTTTCTAGCGGATAAACACCAAAATAACAAGCGGCGGGGCAAAAAGTGGAATCCGAAAATAGATTATCTTTTCGACGAGGTGAGTTTCGGAAAATATGTTTGTGAATTGATTGCTCTAGCAGCGTTTTCAGTTGTGTGCGATTGCGCTTACTTTTACATTCCTCAACAGTATACGAAGCACACCAATGGCGCTTGCGAGGATGCAGAAGATTCAGCGGAAGTGTTTTATAAGCACCATGAATTTCTAATAAACCAGATGGTTCAGGGCAAGGAGAATGTGGATTGGGCTTCGACCCCAATATGTGCTCATCTACGAGAATTGTATCCGGTATGATTGATTTTTTTTTTTTTTTAAAAAAAAAAAAAAACAAAAACAAAAACTCTTTCCGTAAGACAGGATTCAGCAATTTCTAGTTTCTAACATGGTTTCAAGGACGTATATGAGCGTGAGGAGGCAATTGCACAGGAAGCCCGAGATGAGAGTGAATCGGACGAAGAACCAGATGGATCTCTTGATGCTCCAGACGTCGGTAGAGAACAGGCTAATACAGTATTTGAAGTTATCTTAGACATGAAGGAGTCCGGGTTACTTTCTAAACGACGGCTTAATGTGATGACTGTTGCAGAAACCCTTCTAAAACGATACGAGATGACCTCTTTAAATTATGCTCTCGATCTGATTCGTGCACGAGCCGGTTTTCTTATTGAAATGATGGATAACGCGCAAACCTCGACATTTGACTGGTCTCGAAAAGCGATATATCGGCAGCTAAAAGAGTTGGAAAGTTCAGAAAGTCTGCAAGACATCAGTGCAACCCCACTGCATCCTAGAGCGCCAATGGGGGCCAGCCCCTCTCCTCCATCTGGAGAAGAAAGTGAAGACGAGGATGAAATCCCTCTCCCAAAAGGGCGAAGGCGACGGGTACGGAAATCTCTCCTTCGACCAAAGATGAGCTCTGTTTCGGCCAAGGGAGCTAGCAGACGTAATCCACAAGCGGTGGAAAATACAGATTCAGATTCAGAAGAGGAGGAGCTGAAGTTGGCGGAGGATACATCTTCGAAAACACGAGGCCACCGTCTGGTTCACGATCCGTTGTCTGCGAAGGTAAATGAGAGCACTCGTTCCGTCTTATCTAGTTCAGACGTCGCCTCAACAAGGAAAATACCATTGCAGAAAATCTTTGATAGCATCATGGCGACCAATCACTCCGCGAACAGTAACAACGAAAACATAAGTCATTCCTCAGAAAACTTCGAGCCTGCTAATTTACCTCCGGATACTTGGGTTTGTTCCGTTCAAGGATGCGGTAAAATTATTTACAAAGCCGGTTCAAAACGATCCAAAGAGTCGATACTAGACCACTCCCTGGTCCATGCAGAGGACACGCAGACCAAACTGAACCTTGTCTTCGCGGAGCAGCGCCAAAATGTCAACGTCTCCATTAGTCATCTTATAAGTCGCATCCGCGATTTTGGATCCCATCAGGAATCGGCAGGAACTTCTGAGTTGGAGATTGGTGAATCATCTTCCCCAAAGCGAGCGAAGCGATGAGCCTTCACTTGTTGCTAGTTCCTGTTTACAGATACAGGGATCAAGCCATTACAAATAGAGCAGAGTTTGAGTATTCGGTGTCTTACACGATTCAATCAACGACTTGTCGCTACCTTGACCGGTTTAATCATCAACCCGTCCGAAGACGCACTCTCGTTCGCCTCAACGAACATGAAGTGGAGAGACTGTAACCTCTCGAGGTTCGTGATTTCCCAAACGCTAATAGCTAACGCTCTTGGAAGACCTATTCCGTGTCCTAATATGTTGACGTTCAGGCAATTATCATATATACTCATAGCGCGGTAGAAGCCATGTGTACCACCCCCGAAGGACTCATAAGGCTAGTTTTTATGCGTGGTTGTGCATTACTTACTTTTCAAACGAAACATAAACCATGATGCAGTGCTCTAATAGCTAGGAGCCTCGTTTCTGTTAGATCTACTACGGTTAGTTTTTGGTTCTGTTATGCTTCCTGTGTATAACTACAATAACGATGTGACGAAATGATATTTAAATGAAAATTTGATGACCCGACCCATCCAAGTTCTTCGAATCAAATGATATCGATATAACGCAAGAATAGTCTCTGCTCGTAGCCATTTTGTAACTGTTGTAATTGAGCAACTTTATAATGTCCTTCAAAGGGTATCTCCAACAAGGAACGATTACCTAGGTAACGGTTTTGAATTAAAAAAAAAAAAAAAAAAAAAACCCTACAATCCCGAGGGAGAATAAATAAAGCGACCGCGGGTGGACGCGCAGGAAAACCGCATAGGAAAAATTGAAAATATATAGCAGTACGCAACTGTATCTTCTGGCATATCTCTCGCTTCCTTTCACATCCTCTTCGCCGATGCCCTTCTATTTTTGCCCGGCCTCTGCGCGCCTCCCTTCTTATGTCCCTTCATTTTACCAATTGAGAATCCACTGAGATCACCACTGGAAACGGCATCTCCGCTTTTTGCGAATCGCTTTTTACCACCAAATCCAAATTTCTTTTCCTTCTGTTGCCGCTTATTTTGCGCGCCGGGTCCGTTACGAGCACGCTTGTTGGCTCCTCCGCGTGAGTCAGATTTGCTAGCGTCGTCAAGGGTAACGTCGAAGAGGTCTGATTCTTCGGTGGGGGCACCATCATTGGCTTTACGCTCTGTTAAGCAGGGAGATCAATTATGTTAGCGACAATGATGCAGCTCGTGACAAATTCAAGAGCAAAAAGATACGGATCTGATGACGAAAACGTACTCCTCTTCAAACTGTTAATTTTATCCAGAGTTTCCCTCTTCTCCTTTTGCCTCTGCTGCAGCTTGGCGACCTGCACTTGTTTTCCAAATTTCTTTAGATCGCGCTGCCTCTTGGCCTCCGCGCTTGCCTTCTTGGCTGCGGCCTCTTCGTACAGCTTCTTTTTCACCTTGCTCATGTGCTCATCGGACTTGACCATCTCAGCGAAGTAATCTGTCGGCCGCGAAAAGGGTATTCCTTCTTTCTTCAATAGGTCTCTTGCGGATTTCGCGGCGGAGACGCAGACGGTGTAGAAGGCCAATTCACGCGTAAGATCGTCATTGGGGTCTGGGACGTCAATGGGTTCTGTGGAGGTGAGGGAATTATGTTCTGAAAAGGGTGTGTGAGGTGTGATGAATGAGATGCGTTTGAGGGAGGAGAGGATGGCGGCGGAATTATTGATGGTGAGGCGTTGGTGTGGTATTACGTCAGTTGCGTCTTCTTCCGAAAGTTCAGATAATGGGATATCTTCTTCATCCATTTCTTCGTCTCCCTCTTCCTCTTCATTATTCGTCCATTGGTCGTCTTGCGCAGGGGTAATTTCAGCCGTTTGCTCCTCTTTCTCTCCCGCGCCATTTTGCTCTGGAAGAGTGGGATCCTGTAATTACCAAATGTTAGCCGCTATGTCAGGGACATTGCCACTCTAAGGGCCCTATCCGACACACCCACATTATGTTGATTTACCTCCTTCTCGTTGTCATTGTTGGTATCTTGAGCATTTCCCACCTTCATTCTTTTCCGCTTCTCGGCTGCCTTCTGCAGTTTCTTCTGGCGCTCTAGTTCATAATTACGGCCTTTATGGGCATCTAGTGCCAACAACAATTTACTTTTCTTGGCCATGGTGGATATATGAAGAGTAAAATGCTCAAAACAAGAAGGGCTAATATGGGGACGTTAAAGGGGTGATTTTTCTGTGGGCGACGGATTATCTCCAAATGTAAAGGAGCTTGAAACACAGAAATTTCGGCACGGCGCTAACTCGTATCAGGTTAGTGGGAGAATATCTGGGGCATTTTTATCCTTACCACATTAGGACAAGCGCGTGACGAGCCTTGTTCGCGTGGCTTTTCTCCACGTGATGACAGGATAGCAAATTTCCTTTTTGGGATTGGTCTGATATCTCGACTTTCGTAGCATCTTCAATTATCGCTGATTCTCTTTAATCCACCATCACCCGTCTGCCGTTTCTTAAGGTCCTCGCGGATGTCAAATCACCACAAGTTTGTTTTATTGAAATTTCTAAACCTCTTTGGTTATTTCTTTAATGGCCATACCTCATGAAACACTACCAATCTCGCTGCGTATATGCTTGAAATATACCTTGTCTGCAGAGTGTCAGTTGTTCTTCAGTGACCAGGCGGTCAGGCGGCCAGGCGGGAAATTCTGTTGCAAACACACCTGCCAAAATTTCTGTCCCTGGAAGCCTTCCTGGCCCACAAATGATATTGCCCTTGAAGAATTACTGACCACGCTGACCAGATCCCGGCAAGGTGAAAAATCCGTTTCCCGCTTCAATGTCAGTCTTGTTTGTCTGAGATGATGTGACGCGACCTGAGGGAGCCTTGATCTTATGTGAAATGAGGATCCATGCATGAAATTGCTGCAAAACTATGTAGGAAATTCTGACACCACACGGTCTCTATCGTTGGGTGGCCTTGTTTACGTACGCTGACCGGGTTGTGAATAAATTTGAACTCGATAATGTGATGGCATGGGCCCGCTTCGCATCCTCAAGTCAACTCTTGTCACAGGCTTCTATGGTCGAATTGTACTTGTATTCATTCAATATTTTGTCTGTTGTGGTTACTTGGGGTTTTTTTTCTTTTTTTTTCTTTTTTTTTTTTTTTTGGAACCTCTGTTCCAGATCCATTGGTGTGCGACATGATCACGTTGTTCCTCAGCAGCAACTGGGTCACCGTATGCAAGTGCCAGGATGAAAAAGTGTCGACCTCCAGGACGAGCTCCGTGCAATAGAATTATATGTCTATTCCCAGAAGGACCGTGAAGTGGTTCAACCTAATTATCACATCATATTAATGGAGTCAGGGTGGCCTGGACGGTCACAATTTTACCAAGACAACGAGCCTCGTTCTCAAAATCCCGCCCAGCAAACATGCAACTCAAATCCCGATCCTCGAGGATAAAAGAGAACTATGGACGGCTACAAAAATGATTATGTCTCACTCCAATGCATCGTTTTTCTTCATCGTCTGACATGAAATAGAGGTCCTCTCCCTGATCACCTGATATACAGGTTCCCTTTTAAAGCTTTTCCCTCATAGCATCGATGCAATTAAATTGAGCAAAACGGGATCTATGACACTTCAAGAGGTTTCGACCATTGCGTGGGGAATTATAACCCAGGTATAGCTTCTCCATCCCTTTCGAGTCTTTAATTGAAGTTCAGAAGACGGGGAATATTGAGCTGAAATTTCGAGGTGATCATCCATGTTGACCTTGAGGCGATTGACCACACCTCAACCCGGTTTCCACTATCCCATTCCACGAAATGTTGTTCCTTCTATAGGCTGATAGGACAAGCTTTTCCATCACCTACATTAGCCTATCCTTACTATCTTACATGTTATGATGGAACCTAGATGCATTTTTGTACAGACTAACTTTGCGTCAACAATTGCGAATAGTTTAAATGAACATCTGGCCATGGATTCTATGGTTGGTAGATCAGTCTACCTGTATTGTGCACTTCTAGCCACGGGTGGAGGGTCAAGTGGATCGACCTCCGAGCTTGAATTTCTGTGACTCAAGATACAAAATACGTTCAGCACATACTCAGTCCAGGGATGGCTAATTTTCATGTTATCTCCATCGCCCTACAAAGCACAGAGTACAGGACCAGATGTGTGCAGAATTTACCCCGCTGTCAACCTGGAAGAAAACGGATGAGACGACCGGGCTCGGTTGGGTGACCTGCACAGATCTTCAAGCGGGCACTCTAGCTGACGAATATATGATTAGAACCAAAGTTCAACCGGGAAGTTTTACCAACTCATCAACAGATACCTGTATTATTTCGGCCCAGTGGAAAAGGCATGGGTAGTACTGATACCTGCTCATTTTTGCCTCTATAGTGCATGCTTAAATACAAGATCTGCAAACATATCTTGCAATTGCCTAGGGAAGCAGTTCAGAGTAGAGAGCTATTCATCAACCACGACTACAACCCGCAAAACCCCTGCTTCCACCTCCTCGTCCCTGGCTCCATGCAGACACCCATCCATGTGAAGAGTCTTACGGGTCAGGAACAATCGCGTTCCATGCCGACTACTTAACATTGGATATAGATGGCTATGCATCCCACTTTCATGGGTAACTGTTATTAACAAAGATATGTTTTTATGCAAATAACAATATTTTCAGCCACTACAGAAGGGTAGATGTGACAGACACATGCAGCTTGTGTTGAACAAAGTCGCTGGTGGTTTACTATCACGCATGCTGGCTGAAAATCGGTGTTGATTGCGTTACAAAACCATTGGTTAATGAAAGGGCCTATATGTCAAAACCCTACGGGAGTGGCTATGCAAATATGACACAGGAGATGACGCATCGACCAATTTGTGTCACAAAAAGCGAGCCGAGGTTGAAAATTCTACGATTAACTGGCTTAAAGCAAGACAGCGGCATGGCGGTTGACTCGGATAGTGGCACTATTTGTACTTTTATTGTTAATCTGATTGCTACCGGTTTCTTGGGAGCCGAGTCCGGGGTATAATCGAAATTTCCATTGGATATTTCTGGATTATTCGCAGTACTGATATCGTGGCCATGGCTGCCAGGAGGGTGTGGAGCTTTTCTCATCTTGAACAAAGCTCGATCATTTGGCGGTCCATTCAAACTGAATCCTTTGTGATGTCTTTCATCCGCTTCAGATCTAGGATGCGGTGCACTACTCCACAAAGCAAATATCCATGCTACGAGCCTTGAATTTGACAGTCGGATGTCTGTTCCCAATTGTCAAACTGAATAGTGGGTCTATGAATTCTAGTCCTCCTACCCAATGCTGTTCGAATCGGGCATACATCAACATCTTGGATTGATTCGGGTCCCTGGATGAGTGCAATATCAGACACACCTCAAGGCCGCCTGGGGGGGGTTGAACCGGAAGATCTTCAATCCAGCAACTCTATTTATGATGTTGCTTTCTGGGTTTCCGCGAACGGTCATATTATTCGTTTTCGTACCCAGTTATTTTGAATATGAATTGTTTAAAATGGATCTCTTTCTCCCCCGGAATTCGCTGAACATAAAGAATGGGATATTATCTGAAGAATTGGCCTGCATCAGTGTTTGCCCGTTTTACCTAGGCTGTGGAGACTTCTTTCAACGGCAATTGAATAACACGGCGAGCCAAATGCACTACACAAACCAAATGTCCCATGTCCAGAGCCCATCTATAACACAACAACTATTTACATTCCAACATCTTAATAGAAGCCCATTTGCCTTCAATACTATCATCTTCCAGGTTCTCGTTCGGCTGAACATTTTTGCATTCATCTTCCTTGCAACATCCATTCTCCATTACACTTATTCCCCAAAATGGCTTATGTTCGCCCCGATCCTCCAAATGGAGGTCTGAGAGCATGGACGGTGGTATTAGGCTCTTTTCTCCTTCAAATGTCCTCTTTTGGGATACTTCAATACGTAAGTATGATCTCGTTATACAATCATTGCTTTCTCTCCATCTTGTCCTGGATTCATGCGGATATTATCATAAAATGGGAGACTAGTATACTGATATCCTTCAAACCCGTTGCGCTTCTGTCAGCTGTGGAACCTTCCAATTTTACTACCAACATGTCATGCTCCCTGAAAAGAATTCATCTCAGCTTGCTTGGATCACTACTCTTCAGATTGCATTCTTTTTTGTGTGCGGGCCAGCTGTGGGAAAACTTGTGGATGTTTATGGTTCTCGACCAGTCATTGCTCCATTCGCTGTCCTTGCCATTATCTCTCTTGGTATGCTAAGTCTTTGTACGGAGTACTATCAAGTGATTCTGGCTCAGGGCGTTGCCTTTGGAATTGCGGTCTCTGGGACCTGCTTGCCAGCTATCGTGACAGTATCCCAATGGTTCTCAACGAAACGAGGATTGGCTGTTGGTCTTGCGAGTTGTGGAAGCAGTCTTGGTAAGTAATTTCTAGTTTTATTGATGTCCTATTATCCAGCTCCCCTTGTCACTCTCTTTTCCCATTTCCTATTTCCCCTTTCCCAACTTAAATGCAGGAGTGCATCCATTCATAAATATAGATCAGACATCCCCTTACTTGGATATACATAATAATATCTGGTTCTTCAACTTTCCATGCTAATAGAAACAAATAGGAGGGGTTATTTTCCCCATCATGGTTTCTAGACTTATTACGTCTCATGGCTTTGCAGACTCCATGAGATGGTCAATGCTCGTTGTTGGTATAACCATGTTGATTGGGGTGTTGCTTTGCGACACTCCCTTTCCACCGCAGCACAAGTTGAAGAACCTCCAGAACGACGAGGAGAAGGGTCAGCAAACAGCTAGGAAGAGCTCCCAGGATCTAAAAACAGATGATGTTGATTCGCTTGGCAGCAAAGTTGGGGTTGGGGGTGCAGGGTTAGATTCGCTTAATTCTGCGACAGCAGCAGTAAACGGGGAGAGTAATATGAAGAAAGGACTTAATGCCCTGTTTGAACGGAAAGCACTTGGTTGGGCTAGCTTCGTTCTCGGAACATTTTTCTTCATGTGTGTGACCACTGACACGAATGTGCGTACATGTACAAGTATTGGTTACTGACTCGATTTTCTCCTACTTCTTAGGTGGTCGTTCCTAGCGCCGTTCAATTACCTCCCTCTGATGTCCGTTTCCAGTGGAATGTCCCCAGATCTGGCGCAGTACACTCTAACAGTAACCAAGTAAGTATCAAGTCCAAGGAACGGTCATGGAGGTGGGGAGGAAAATACCTTCAAGAGGTATTCCTTGCTAACTGTTGATTTCTAGTGCCGGCTCTATGTTTGGTCGGTAGGTGTAACAATGGATCCCTCTCTTGGAGGGTTTCCTCTACCCCTCCTTGTGTAAATATATTTTTGTTCTGTTCTAACAAAGTATATTGTAGCGTTGGCCTAGGTGCTATGTCCGACAAACTGGGCGCATTCAATGTTATGTGCATTGTCACTTCCTTCACTGCAGCATCGGTTCTTGGCTTTTGGTTGCCTCTGAGCTATAGTCCCTCCACGACAGGTATATTTATCTTTGGGGGAATCTACGGGGTTGCTAGTGGTGGTTTTATCAGCTTAGTTGCCCCGTGCGTCGTGTCTCTCGCCAACAGCCAGCTGGAGAACCTAGGAATTACATTTGGGCTCGTCTGCATTGGTCTCGCGTTTGGGTAGGTTTGCAACTCCCCCGCCTTTTCCGCCCGTCTCTTTGTCAGAGGCCTACCTGTATTACTCCTCCTTTGACCCTCTATTCTCACGCTTTCTGGAGGCTGATTTCTTTTTTTCTTTTCTCTGAGATACAGAGCTCTCGTCGGACTACCAGCAATGGCAGCTGTCAAGGACGCTGCAGCATCGCACAGCTTCGAAGACCTAATTATCTTCACAGGGATAATATTGGCTGTCGGTTCAGTATGCATGATTGTCGCGCGTGGTATGAAAGGGGGTGTTAGAGTCTGGACTAAGGTCTGAGCTTCTAGTTTAGGGGTCTCTAATATCCTTTAATGCTTTAAGGTAGGACTAACAGGGTTCAGAGGTTGGTTTGGAAAAAGAGACAGACTTAAATGAAACAAAGTGGAGCGATACAGGATTAAAAGGCGTAATACATGCAGATATGATAAACCAAGATAAAAGGGTTTAATAATAGATACATACAAAAATTCAGTTTCTCACACATACGCATCACTATGACTGATTCCATCCGTGTGAACAAGTAATCAGAGAGAGAGAGAGAGAGAGCAGATCTTTATGCCTTCTAGAGATTCGAGATCTGGAGATATGTCGTGCTCCCCATGGGTTCGGAGTATTGACTGAAAAGGCGAACAGCTTGATGCACGGTTCCCTACAAGGAAAGAAACGGATGATCGCAGTCATGGAAGAGCAGAAATAAAGGGAGTTGTGAACGACGAAAGAAATCTCATGTTACCTTCTCATTCCCTCTTCATCTTCACCCCCGCAATTATCCCTTCATCATTTGAATATTGAATTCAATGATCTTGGCTCGCGTATTGCGGTGGGTTAGCTTTGACTTAGCCACCGACTGACCCATGCCTCTTCTTCTCAAAGACAACTAACTATTATATGACGTCAACCCACCCTAGAGGGACATACTTTAAAGCAGTATGATGATAGAAGAAAACACATATAATTCAATTTTTTTTTTTTTTTTTTTTTTCAAAATTGAGTAGGACTATGCTGCGTATTATGACTGTCCAAATACAGATATGAGGGCGGTGATTGAATGGCTATTTGAGCAGGGAGAGCGGAAGATAACCGGAAGAAATGGAAATAAATAAGATAAGCTGAAAGGAAATACCCTTGCAGGTTTAGTGTTTCTTTGACTGTATGTACTCCATACATGCTGCAAGAAGAAATAGTAGAATGTTACATGTACATGTAGTTCATTGCAGAGCGTGCATCATGTCATGTAACTCAAGTTCCTTCCATCCAAAAGTCAAACACAGATACTTCATATCAAAACTATAAAACAAATTCCACCACAAGAACTCAGAATTGTGATAATTTTCGACCATATGTTGACATTAAGTTCAAATAAAAGAAACTATAAACATGCGGCTCAAATAAAGCCTAGGGAAGCCCGGGCCGGATTTCCATGGGCCGCTCCGCGCTTAAATCTGAGCAGAAGCCAATAGAGAAGCGTCACTTTTATTACCTCCACAACCTTAAATCCACATCAACTCAATCTGTGGGGATTGTTCAAATCTCTGCGCCGGATGAAAGGCTAGCCAGACTCTTCTATATTACACTAATCACGTTGCGGTGCGGCGGCTGCCCGGGCAACGTGTGCCCAACACAATCATACAGATCACATGACCTTAAGTAGTCAAACCTCCATCCTTTGGTGTAAACATCAATAATTGAGACACCCCACTCCCCTTTCTTTCTCTCATCCCACGCACCCCTCTCTGGAGAATTGCCAGGTGGAAAATGGAGTTATCCGAGGCAGCAAATGTCGCATATCTTCCAAGCGAGGAGTGCGGCTCAAACCTTCCGATAAACACCATGTCAACCCCTACGCGAAGGCCCTCGCAGCTGCGCTCGAATAACAACAATACCGGCACCGACAACAAGCGCTCGCCACTACAGGAGGTAAGCCCCAATCTAAACGGGAATTGAAAATCGGGAACCAAAACCGACCGAGACACCCGCTAACAAGTTACATACGAATAAACAACAGCCAACGACAGCAGGGGACGAGAGCTCAAACCAACTAGCTCAAGCAGTTGACGAATTACTAGATCAGCTCCAGGATAAATTTGACAAAGTCTCAGCGGAGATCTTTGAGAAATGTAAGTTAGCGTTCCATCGCATTTCCGATTTTACATTGATACTGCTACAGGCCCGTCAGTCCCGTCCCTCGGCTTCCCCAACGACCCCAATCCCTTCCCATGCTCTCCTGCACAAAAGCTTCTTACAGATATACCTGCATATGCTGTGTGCTTCGGGATACACACAGACGCTAATCCAAACCTTCCTTCTACCAGTGGATGACATGACGCGTAGACTTGACCAGCTAGAGGCGTCCCTTACCACTTCCACCGAAACACATGCGACAACGACCTGATAAGGTCCTCTTTCATTGAAGCGAGTTTTGCTATTTTGTATTTCGCGACATGTGAAGATAAGATATTTTTATATCGTTTCTTCCATCTTTCTTTTAAATCTAGGATGGGGAAATACATGATATCGCTCAAAATTTCGGAACGGCTACAAAATTGGGGTACATGCGTTGTGAAAACTGGACGTGTCTATTTTCTCCTATTGCGGACTAGATCTTGTTGAAAACGACATTGCACGCAAACCCGGTCGTAATGGAGCCTTTGTCATTCTGTCTCTTCACGCGGACTTTTCAATAGTGGGACGTCTCTGGCTACGGACGTTGACGAACTCCATATACAACTCGACTTATGGACACCTGTCCTGTCGCCGCAAATGTTTGTGCTTCTATATCAACAGTGGGCTATTTTTTATGGAATGGAGGCATCATTTAGTTATTTGGTTTATTTCCTAGGAATTTTTCCTTTTATTATCTCTGTTGGATGTAATAAGATACCCAATTGATCCTTACACAAATAACAACCTGAAAGCAAGCAGAGCACCTCGAGAATCGAATCAAAACTCACAGAAACTCATAGTGTAGATGTTAACCTTGAACATACTTAGCTTTCTAAGCCTTACACGATATCATAAAAGTAACGTTTCCCTTCTTTATCCAATAATAAAACAGACAGAAGAAAAGACACCCCAACAATTCCGTGTATTTACAACAATCCTTTCACAGCTCATCTTTCTCTAGCTTCTTCTCTTCCTCCTTCTGCCACAGAAACTTCCGGAGAATATTACTCCTCGAAATCAGATCATCCACCTTCTCTAACGCAAGACCTCCCCTTTTCAAAATCCCCTCCAACCTCGCCAACTCCTTCGCCGCATAATCCTGATTTTCAGCCAGCTTACCCCACACCTTGACATAATACTGTGCATATTGATCCTTCAATCCCTTCGCTGCCACCTTAGCTTCATACAAGGAGCCGGCCAAATCTTGCTTGCCACCATTAATATATCGTTCAAAAATCATATCCAGAATATCAATCGTGCCAGCCTCTTTATCAAGACCGCCACCGACAAGGCGATGGGTCCCAGCATTCCTGTTGACATAAGCGACGAGGTCCTCCTCCGAGCGTCCGCCCTCGTAGTTATATGGACTGGTATCCCCCGCGGGGAAGAATTTGATAGTGGGGTATGATTTTACACCTTGCGCTTCGGCGGTCCTCCTTGAATTTTCAGCTTCAGCGTCAACCTTCGCGACTATGACATTAGATTCGCGCTTGAAGTCATCCGCGAGTTTCTCCCAGATGGGCGCAAGGTTCTTGCAATCTGTAGATTGTTTTCAGTTAAAAGGAAAGAGTGCAAGAAATGAAAAATGCAAGAAAAGGAACAAAAACATACGACCACACCACGGCGCTGTAAACGCGACAATAACATGCTTATCTCCACCAACGGTCTTCGAGAATGTCGCATCTGTCAACATCTGCACATTGCTAGGAGGTTTGTGCGCACCCTTGAGCTTAACCCCTGCCTTCTCCGATACAAACTTCACCAAACTCTCCAAGTCCCGCCCGCCATTATACTCGATGGGCTGGTCACTCTTCCCATCAAACCACTTCAATGTCGGAAACCCCTGCACTCCAAACCTCATTCCTAGAGCCTTATGCTCATCCGCATCAACTTTGCTAATGTGCACCTTCTCGTTGGCGAAGACGTCTGCGAGCTGGTCATAGATTGGGGCTAGGTTGCGGCAGTGGCCGCACCAGGGTGCGAAGAACTTGACCAGGCCTGGTTTACCGGATTTGAGAACCACTGAGTCGAAGTTATCTGGAATTAGGTCGAGGACGGCGGATTTGGCCGTGACGGGGACAATGCTGGTGAGAAGGGAGGCGGAGGTGAGGAGGAGGTAGCTCAGGCGAGCCATGATGAGTGTTTGTTGGGATTTACCACAGTCCTTTTGGGCTCCTTTTACTCGTGAGAAAATTCTTTCCAGCACTGATTGAAATATCCTGAAAATGCCCACCTCCTCAGGAATAGATGTATTTGTGTCTTTTCGGATGTGGTTGTTATCCTTGTAGAATGTTGTTGGCTGTTGTCCGTTATGAAGGTTGGCGGTGTTTGGAACCAATTTAGACCCACTGACGGCATCCAGAAAATGCTCACAGAAAGGACAGCGTTTGATTACTAAAACTACCAAAACCGGTTGAAACGGCCCAAAACTTTAGGTTACTATTTATCGCAGCCTGAGATATCATTTGGATAGTTAAAAATTCATAATTTATTGTTAAGTTTAGAGCTAAATAGCAATTGATATCCGATGTTCAGTTATGCAGAATAGCATAATGATACCTAAGCTCCGCCAGCCAGCTGCAGATGGTTTGACCCGAGGGCCACACTCATAATATTAATACAATATCACCAGGATTCACTCAATCAATCCTTGGGGGAAATAACAATAGGCTTTATAAGTAGATACCAAACCGAGTCCTATGATTGCAGGCAAGTGATGCACGAAACGGATATTGAGCCACCCGAAGTAAGGTTTGGGTCGAGGGTTCCCTTTCTACCTCCGTTCCGTCAACCACTTGTTCGTCTCCTCCCAAAATTTTGCATCTTTGAACTCCGTTCCAGCATTTTGAGTTGCTTGATAAACCTAGAGAAATCATCAATATAACCCAGCTCACTGAAAATGGTTCACAGGGAAGTCAATCGGGATAAGCGTACCGCATCCCAAAGGTTGAAGGCCATGTCAAGGTTTCCGCTAAAACTATCACTATGTTGGAACCATTCTTTACCTTTAGACTTTACCTCAGCTCGAACCCTCGGCGATGTTGGTTCTGGTTGCTGCGGTAAGTCATCAAGATACGTCCGAACAGCGATCCCAAGTCCACAATTGTTGTCGTCGATGAAAGGAAGGCTAAAATCAAATTAATACCACACACTTTCAGATGTCATTTCTTGGTTTATTGATTTCAACTGACCTGAGGCCCAGATCAGTCCAGTCAGTACGTTCTCGGTCTGCGTCCCCATTCAGCAAAAGACTTGCTAGAACCACTTCAATCAAGTCTCGAAGGCTAGATCGGACAGCGCAGATCAAGGAGCGGAAAGACAGAAGCTGTCTACTGAGGGGCCCTGAATAGCCAATGGACTTGTGACGAATCTTGCCAATGCATGCAACTTGGGACACCAATAGATTGAACTTTTTCTCCTCATCTGATCAACAGGTTAGTATTTACAACTTAGACGCAAACTGCTGGGAGTCATCCAACCACTTACCAGTACCCCTCATCGGCCCACCTGAAATATTCACAAACCAATCTTTAGAGCTCAGGATCCCTAGTTTCAAGAGTTCAACTGCGATGAAAGTTGTTTCTTCCAAGTTCTCCGCAGGATTGAGTGACGACATAGCTATTTCAAGTGCTTGGCCCCATTGGGTAAGCTGGTGCTTTTCATCAATATAACCCCGGAGCTGTAGGAACCTCCACATCACATTTGCGAGAATTTCAGCTTTCGATGATAGAATCTATTAATGTTAGACAACGTTGTTATCTTTTCAATAAAGATAGGACACATACAGGGGCGTCTCTAGGTGCAAACGACTTTGAAACAAAATTTTGGTCTTTCACGGCTCGGAGGGCGAAGGTAAATGGAACTTCGTCAACCTAGAACAAGTCAGAAGAAGAAACAATACAGAGGCAGGTACAGAGAAACATACATGAAGCTTCTGCACACTCTTCGGGTATTGGTCGCTTCGAATCTTCCACGGAATCGTAGACGCTTTCACCAGAGGTAGGTCTTCTTTGAGGTTTATAGAGCGTGTTGATTTCGGCTCGTACCACGTACATATATTAATCGCTTTGGTCTGGTAGAACCGATGGAGAGAGTTGGCAAGTAGACACAGCGCCTGTGTTCTAATGGGAGTAAGAAGATGTCCCTGAAGACGACGATAGATTTCCGAATCCTCAGCCCCCAGTGGCAGTTTTATCAAAAGCTCGCCGGAAGTCAACCAATCAGGAACTTGTGAACCAATAATACCCTTTGACATGTAAAAGTATAGCTCTTCGGGCAAACGTTGTCCGATGAGTTCATGTAAATCATTCGATACATTCTCCGCATCCATCGGAGTCACTTTCCCATCGATATCCATTATGATATGATGTTTCACTATCATGAGCGCTCGCTTAAATTGTTCCACATAAGGTGGGTCATTAATACGAGGATCATCTTCTATTTGGCCGCAGAGAGCCAACGCATTACGTCCGGCGGAATTATATGTAGTCATTGCCTCCCTGATGCTAACTCTTTTTCCAGGGAAGATGGCGTTTTCGAAAAGTGGAAAGGTTCGGAGGTATCTGGAGCCGAGAAGCAAGCAAAACTCGATGAATTGGTCGTTTGATATCCTTCCTAGGTCATCCTGGCATACCTGCCTAGATATCCATGTTATTTGGAAAAGATCCGTATCCAGCCTCGTGATCACCTTATCTAGGTCAAAAAGGAAGAGATCTGAGGAACCGAAAACGACATCGACGAATCTATTTGGGCCTTTTTCAAGATAGGCAAGCTAAGGAGACGCAAGGTCATTCGCAATCAGAAGTATTCCACAACGCGGTAGAGCGTGATTACAAAAATACCTGTGCCGAAGCTGCATATGGAGCAACGAGAAAGTCGACTCGCTGTTCATGAAAAATTCTTTGCAAGAACTTATAGAGAGTCTCCGGTTTTGCGCTTCCTGCATGGCGGATATCAGCAACGGACATGAAATTTGTAGATACCTAAGGGAAAATCTCCTCACCAGCAGAGCTGAAAGCATCCACAACCTGATCTGCCTGTTGCTGGTCATAGAGCTCCCACGCTTGTTGCAGGGCACGGGTAGAATCAGCTTGAGTCGAGAAGTCGGGCTCGCGCTTTCCAAAATCGAGTCCGTTGAAGACAAATACGCAGGTAATGCCGGCGTTTTTCAAGGCTTGGAGCTCCTTTTCGATGTTGGCTTTCAGAGAGAATGGAAAGCCCCCTAGGGCGATGAGGAGGGGTTCCTTCGTCGCATGATGATTAAGATGCTGGTCGAGATAATGGGAGGCATCGATGCCTATGACGGCGCCTTTGAGAAGAGCAAGAGGGAGGGTCTGGGCACGACCGCTGGCCCAATCGTCGAAGGCACGAACTGGAAGCAGGCGCAAGAGGTCGGGTTAGTTGTAGGCTAGGACAGTGGTTCGGTATTTTCAATTGTTACTTACTTGTCATTTTGTTGAGGTGTTTTGCTCAGCTGGCAAATAGGGGGCGGGCGGCAGAGAAGCAGGACTCCGCAAGTCAGTAAGCTGCTTTCAGCCAAAGAGCATAGCTCACCGGGGTGGCGAATAAGTAGGTCCCCCTAAGGTAGCTCAGCTAGGACGAACAACCGCAAGGAATAGCTAAGCATAAGAAAAATCCTTGGAAGCCTTGTTAGATTTCCACAATGTAGAAGGGATGGATTGTGGAATGGCAATTTCAGCGCAAAAGGCCGATGATAGAGCAGAGCACAGAGTTGTGATTCGAGGCGTGGTGGTGGTTCCCGATGAAAAGAAGAATGGAAGATGTGAATGAGCGGTTGAAAGTTGTAAGTTGCACCCGACAGTGGGCAGTGGGCTCAACCGGGGAGGGCGTGGCTGTAAGCGTGCGAGAGGGACGGGTACCTGCACATACTTTATTTTGGGTGCTTTTTAGTGTCTGGAAAAGTAGTACCACGTACCTGGTCTCTGGGACATCAAATACTCGATCTCATCCTCGGATTTTATACACATATCTTCCAATTCCGCTTTTAATGAGAAAATTAATGAGAAAAGGTACAAGATCCTCCGGAAAGTTGTTCCATCCACAGCTGGCTGAAATAATTGAGTCACATCCAAATGATCGACTTCATCTGTAACTAGAACGAAAAGTTGGATTGCATACCGCGTATAAAGAGTCTGTCTGTTGTTCCTCCCTGCCACTATCAACAAGTCCATCGTCAACCCGATGCAAGACTTTGGAGCCCGATGAGGGGATACAGACCAAAGAACCAGAGAGGATAAAAAGCGCAACAAGGAACCTTGAGAGTTTAAACCTGTCCCCTTGCTATCATCGTATATCATCGTCCATCATGGCGGAGAGCGAATCCACCAGGGGAGCTCTTTTGCAGCTGCCAGTGATCAACATATCCGAAGCCACGCCTGCAGTTGGCAAAGCCATGATTGATGCGGCGACTAAATACGGATTTTTCTACGTCGAGAGTGCCAGTAGCGATTTCTCCAACGATGACGTGGAGAGTGCGTTTGCAATGGTATGCCCTCCCCATCAGCTGAATGCGTGTGGTGAGCGGGGTTTTATATACATATCAACACATACCAACCCACAGGTTTCCCTTCCGAATCTAATATATGGCTAGATATCAGATACATAGTTTACGTATTTTCAGTGCTAATTTGGAGTTTCATCTCAGGCTCGGGAATTCTTTGCCTCTCCTTATGAGGAAAAGGCTGCTGTCAAGATTGGTATCAATGTATGTTCGATGTACTGTGCATACATTCCATATTTGCGCATAGCTGGTTATCAGCGTATCCCAGCATTTGAAGTGAAGCTTTGTGGAGCTTTTAATTGACTAGAAGCTTTCCCCCTTTTTTTCACCTTTTGAATTAGAATAAGGGCTGGTCTGGAATGCATGCAGAAACGCTTGACCCAGCACACCAACAGGTACGCCTCCAACTATATTCAGCGCAATGGCATCCAGCTGTCTGGCTCACTTGCAGGAACATATGGAGAGCGGAGACTAACAATATATTACTATTCTTTGGCTTCATTGCTTGAAATAGAGGGGGGATTTCAAAGAGTACATAACATTCCACCCTAACCCCTTTTTCATATGCTTATATCCTTCTCCATGCATTTATATCTCGAAACATGACAGCTAATAAACATCCATGCAGAGCCATGAACTTCGGCGAATTCAAAAACAACAAGGCACAACAGGAACTCCCTAAATCCCTCATTCCTCATGAGGCAGAACTAGCCCGCTTTACGAACCTCTGCCAAAAGACATGTCATCACATCCTAACCATCCTTGCGCTGGGTCTGGACGTAAGAAACCTGCCCTCCTCTCCATCCCTCCCCACGAAGCAACAAAAGAAGCAGAAAAGAGAGAGAAAAATCCCCTCCTTCAGAGTTAGAAACAGCCCCAAACTCCCTCGTTATCAAACTAAATCCTTTGCCCACAAAAACAGATCCCCGAAACCTGGTTCACATCCCGCCACGACCAAGCCGTAGGCCCATCAGGCTGTACCCTCCGTTTCCTTTACTACCCCTCCCTCGACTCCCCCGCCTCCTCAACATTCAAGCATGACATCGACGTCCGCGCCGGCGCCCACAGTGACTACGGAAGCATCACCCTCCTCTTCCAGCGGGACGGGCAGCCGGGATTGGAAATCCTCACGCCAGCGGGGAAATGGGCACCTGTGCCTGTTCGGCCCGCTGCCACTGACCCCGCTTCCGGCAGTGATTCCATATTCCCACCGATCTTGATAAACATCGGCGATCTGCTGAGCTACTGGACGGCTGGGTTGTTGAAGTCGACGGTGCATCGGGTTGTGTTCCCACAGGAGGAAAAGGAACTGCGGTGGCAACAGACGCACAAGGAGGAAGGAAGCCGTGATAGGTATAGCATGGCATATTTCTGCCATCCGGTGGATAGCACGGAGCTTGTGCCTGTGCCTAGCAAGCTGGTTGAGGAGGAGAGAAAGAGGCAGATTGTGGGAACGGAGGAACAGCGGGCTGGTAGTGATGGTGATAGTAGGGAGAAGAGGCCCTTAACTGCCAGGGAGCATTTGGCGGGGAAATTGGCCGCGACGTATGGTGGCTTAAAGGAGGAGTATCAGTGATTCGTTGTGTTGCTCACTCTTAATTTTCTCTGCGTAAATCTGCTCCTGATCTATCTTCAATCTCGATGGAGCGTCTACTGATGCTGTTCGTTTCCTTCACTTCTCCTCTTGCGTTCTAAGGGAATATCAGGAAAAGAAAATTGGCACCTGACAAGCTTCATTGAGCTAGCTATATGGACGCCGTAAAAAAGGAAATTCCATTCTTGAGGCTTTTATTTTAAGCTTTGCTTGTGAAACCTGGAGCCACAGAATTGATTAAAACTTGCATTCATTCAGCACACAATCAGCCAGATATTCTGAATATATAGAAAATGACGCCAGTTCATTTCCTAGGATTTCAAAACTCCAGCGTTCTCATATAACATGGTAAAGAGAAATAACAACATCAATTTGAGAAATGAAACAAAAAGAGAAGAGAAAAGAAAAGAAAAGAAAAGAAACCCTCATGCAAACCATCACCGCATTGGAAAAAATGAAGTTTTCACAATAAGGGGAAAAGAAAGAGGGGAAATACAGTGTTCGATATGTTATCGGTCATGTGTAAGTACATAAGGTATAATAACACGTACGTCGCACGCAGTCCCACTCATACAGATGTTCCACCATCACCAGCGATCAACTCTCCCTCCCCAAAAAAACTGACCTGACCCGCTTGCCCTCCGATTCTCCCAGCCCGTTTCGTTTCATTTTCACCCATTCGATGATAAATAGATAAGATATACTAACTTAGAATATGGGAAGAACAAAGTGACAAAACAAAATAGTAAAATAGGAGGAGTAAAAAGAGAGAAAAGCACAATCATTCAAATGCCTATTCCATTTCATCGGAATCGGAGGTCGATCGGAGTAAGGACAATGTCATCAACCACTCAAACCATCAGTAGGTTGAGTAAAGAAAGGTTGAAAAAGCTTAATTCAACAGTAATGAGCGTGGAGGAAAGTTAGAAATGAATATATGTTGGTGAATTAACGAGTAAGAGAGAAATAATGTACTGCAGGTGGCTGTGGTTGTTTAGGCTTATAGTATTCAGAAAGAAAGAAAAAACACACAAAAATGGAACCATGGCAGAACAGCAAAGTCAACGCAAAAGAAAACACACAGGAGGGAATGAAAATGAAATTAAACAGCATGCACAAAAGAAAGTAGAGGTCAAAAGATGAAGACATTAGAAGGGGGGAGAGAAAAAGAAGAAAAGGCGGAAATACCAAATGCAAAGGGGGGATTCGCTATGTCAACTGCAGACCCGTTCCCAACCTATGAATAAAACGAAGATATATGAGCATGCACTGAAGACCGTTAAAGAAAGAGTATAAAGAAAAATGTAAACTAGGTTACATTAAGCCACAGAGAAACGAGCACACTGGGCGAGAGAAGAGAAGAGAAGATGATGACTATGAGTGGTGGATGCATATGGGATCCACATTCTTCATGAACGTAAAACGCGAAACACGCAAGATGGGTTCCTGACTGAAAAGAGGGAAGGAAACGAAGGAAATTCATCGATATATATAATTCTGTACGGGGGAAGCGAGAGTTATGAGTTTCTCAGTAAGAAGCAAAGTTGGGAAATTCCGGTAGATGGTCAAAACGCAGTTTAGACAGAGGAAAAATGATATCATCAAGTGATTTTATTTTTGTTAGAACAATGGGGGGAATCGCTAGTAGAAAAGTGTAATTGTTGGGATATGAGTTGGGAGCACGGCCTGCCTATGGATTGGAGTAAAATGTTTTTAATGGTAAGGATTGTGCTCCCCGAGGAAAGTCTGAGAGAGAAAACATGGTAACATAAATGATCTCTCTCATTAATGGGCCTGCTCTGACGGTCCTGGAGTAATGTGGCACCAATGGCGGTGGAATGCCCAGGCATTCTTCTGGCACTCTTTGCTGCAGTATTTCGTTCTGCGGCATCGGCGACATTTCGCAAATTGCCGCTGAAACTCCTCCCATTTGCCACATTTATAGTAGGCGCACTGGCGAATCCCGCCCCGCGCGTCATCCTTGCGGCATAGATTTCGCATCACAACGCACGCCCAATATTGCATATCCTTAGTATGATGTCGAATGGTGAATTTTTCAACGAGGGGGAAGATATTGAAATCATCAGGAAGGAGGTATTCTTCTTCTTCCTCTTCCTGCTCCAATGGAGTGTGAGGTTGACCGGTGGCATCGTCCAATAGATGAATATCCTTCCCCAACTTCAATTTGGGGACCAAGTGAGATTTCTGGAAGTAGGAGCGCAAATTACAATATTTTGACACATACGCCAAAAGTTGTAAGGCCATCAACACATCTTCATCTCGAGGCATCGCAGTCAAAACGTTTGGTGCAACCTGCCGATCCCGCAAGTAAAATGGGTAAGGTGTTTGTTGGATAACAGGAGATGCCGTAGTTATGGTAGTGGGGCGAGCGGGAGACAGACCAGTACCTCCGTTTCCGGGTTGCGTTGTTGTGTTTATGATGCTTACATCAATTGCAGATGGGTGCGTAATGTTGAAAGTCTCTGCTTCGGGTGTATCCGATGGGTTGGGAATCGTAATTGCGTGGGTATCAGAACTACCGTCGAGCATCGAGCCACTTTCACCAACATTATCGATTTCCATTCCGTTTTGTACATCAACTATGGGTTCAGCAACAGGGTGAGGGGAGGGATCCTCTCCCATGGCGACATCATCGCCATTTGTGTCATCAGACTCTCCTGATCCTGAAGGTTGTTGCCGGATTGACGGGCGTCTTCTAGCTCTAGCAGTGAGTGATGCAGGGTTTTGATTATCAGGAACGGCATGGGGTGTAGTGGGTGAGTCGGGTTGAGAGTTAAGCCCTGGCTGCAGGCCTGGGACCATCGAAGGCAACCTGTCTGCATCGCGAACTGGTCTCATTCCAAAGCCATCAGTGCCATCCACAGGAGGTAGAGCAGTAGCAAGAGGCTGCATAATTCGATGGCGATGTGTTCCTGGCTGAAGACGGCCCTCGTGTGTTCGGTGGCTGCGACCATCGCGGGGAAAGGTCGTTCGTTCTGGTGGGGATGTCAAGACGAGTTGAGGAGAGGGCGTGATCTCCATTGCTCCAGACTCCCCTGGCTGCGAGTCTTGGGAATACGGATGGGGGATCTCAATGGACGGTGGTGGCGCTTGTCGACGAGTAGTGCGGTGGTCTGAAGTAGTGGGAGCCCTGTCGAAGAAAGATGAACGATTGCCCTGATTGTGTGATCGGGATGAAGGCTTGTTGGTTCTGGAGCAGTTTCTTTGGGCTTCTGCATCCGCACGTGCCCTTATCTTATCGACAACGCGAATGTAGTTATCGAGAATTGTGGCCACCACAGGCACAATATCTGCCTCAACCACTCTCGTCCTCACGTTCTCTGTACCACGAACTCCGATATTGACGACACATTGGAAAGCCAGATTCCATTTCCACATTTCCATCAAGTCCTTGCTTCTCCCTTCCTTGAGAATGCATACTAGCTGTTCTATCCCGCCATCCACGGTCAGAATATCACGAATCCTGGCGGACGATGTGGTGAGGTAGGCGAGGTGGTTCAGAGAGTTGATGAGCGGTAATGTTGACGTGCAATCAAGGGCGCGTCGGTCGTAAAGCGTAGTCGTAATGTTGACAGCCGCCTTGTTGACGTTCGGAATGCTGAAATTTACTTCCCGCATGATGATGGTGGATGGTAGATGTCGCTGGACCCTGTCAATATTTTGACTTGAAACCTTAGATATAGATAAGATGTAAACCTGAGGTAGGTCTTAGTTTGATCGTGATTTCTCTGAAAAAAATTATTTCAGGATTCGAGAGGCCGTACTTGTGTAAAAGATTAAACACTAAGTAACGCTTCTAAGGATAAGTGGACTTGATGGGCCAATCTACATCAGACTGAAGGAGGGTGTTCGGAGAAACACTGGGGGTGTAAGATCCGTGATGCTTTTATATGTATTCTGGTGATAGTCCAAAGAGGGGGAGGGGAATTTCGATGGGCGAAGAAGGGAGAAAAAAAAAAAAAAAGGCCGTTGTAAAACTCAAAACCCTAGAGGAGCACGGGAAGGGAGATCATTATATGGAGTGGACGCTGGTTGCAAAACGCGCAAGATCGAATTTGGACGACGAGATTGGCCTTATGGCGATGGAGGACGGGGGGTTGACTCTATTTCAAGATTTGTTAACAAGATGATTTTGCATGGACTTCCAGACATCAGGTGGTTTATGGGCAAAAGAGCTCTTCGGCACTAGCGACTCCGTCACAAAGGTGGCGAGAACCTCAGTGAAAAAAAAAAAAAAAAAAAAAAGAAAAAAAGAAAAAAAGGGCAAAAACAAAAACGGAAGATAGCCAACACGATGAAGGTTCCAAAAATGAAAATCAGGGACAGTTAAATGATATACTGACCTAAAATTGATGGATTGTTGGGATAATGAGAACAGGGGTGACGGTGGAAATTTCCCTTCTAAAGCAAGGGACTGTCTAACTAACCGGGGATTAAGGGAGTAAAAATGCGAGAAAAAACGACCATCATGACATAGACGTGGAGGAAGGGTATCTGAAGAGAGGCTAAAAACGCATAGTAAGGGGATAAGGTGGAAAGAGAAGAGAAGAGAAAGGAGAGTAGATGCGGAAGATGTAAAGATTGGGTGATGGGTTAGGATGGAGGGTTGGTTAGAAGAGAAAAGAAGAATGGTGAGAAGAGAAGAGAAGAGAAGTTGGAAGTGGAAGTGTTTTGGCTCTGGCTCTTGGCTCTGGCTCCGGCTCTGGCTCTGGCTCTGGCCTGGGCTTGGGCTTGGGCTTGGGGTTTGGGGCTTGGGGTTTGGGGTTTGGGGTTTGGGGGTTTGGGGTTTGGGGTTTGGGGTTTGGGGTTTGGGCATTAGGCATTTGGCATTGGGCTTGGGCTGAAGGAGAGGAAGAACAAAGCCTGAGGAAGCCTTGGCTCCTCCTGGCTTGCCCTGTGTCCTTTCTCAGGCGCGGGCGGAGGCGAAAGAACATGGGCTGGACACGGGTGGCTGGGCAAAAGCCAGTTAACCAACCCAAGTTAACTACAGAGTTAACTTGCTATGGCTGATGACTGATGGCTTATCTAAGGGCCTGGCATTATCTCTACACAGTTACAACTCTCCGTTTATAGATCTATCTATCTTTTCCCCGTCCCAATGACCTCCTGTCCGTCTGCTGAGCCATTGAGTCCCGAAGAAGGCGGTTTGCATTTGGCTTTGTGAAGAGATAGAGAGCATAACCAACTACCCCTTTTCCCTCCCAAACCAGATTCGATAACTTGAGAAGTGCATTCTGACAACAGAGTGCATCGAGCAAACAGCAGCAACGGCAACGTGAGAAACCACCCTCGTCTATGAAACAAGTATCACAATAAAACCCGCCCCGTTGATTCCGTTTCTACTGCTACTACTACTACTACTACTACTGCTACTACTACTACTACTACTGCTACTACTACTACTACTACTACTACTACTACTACTACTACTACTACTACTACTACTACTACTACTACTACTACTACTACTACTACTACTACTACTACTACTACTACTACTACTACTACTACTACTAGTACAACCAGCACCGAGTCTGGTTAACCAGTTAGATTTGAGAATGAAAAATCTGCCCGGTGTTTATCCCCAGAGCAAGACTGGGAGATTTAACATGGCTATTTAGGTTACCTTCTTGCAGTTCACAAAATCAAGAAACCAAAAACCAATACTTTGCGAGAGAGCCAAGTAGATAGAACCACTCTATATATCACGCACCCCCTTCACCATAGCTGCTTTTCTGCCACATTCGTCCGCCCCAAATCCCAAATCCCATCCCGTCTCACCAATATCCGTAAGAAACCTGCCTATTGTTCAAAACTTTTGCCACAGCAACATCTGGTTTTTTGAAACTGATCTCTCTCCTAAGTGCACATGGAAGATGTGTCTTTGCACTTCGCAAAATGAGAAAAATGGAGCATTCACTTTTGGCTTGATCCACTTTTGTTTCGGATGGAAGGAGTGACAAGCAACATCCACAACAAAATATGAGGGTCGGAAGCATCTCTGTCAAGAAAACGCAAACCATCTTTGATTAAAGGGACAAGTTGGTGAACACTGATCGGCAACACAATATCCCAACTCTTTGGCTGGAAAGCACGGCCAGATCTGTCAGGGGATAGTGCATAGTTTTCGCCCGCAAAACCATCTGCTTCCTCATGCAAATAGCATTTTAAGGAAAAGCCCCCCTGATGGATCAAACCTCCAGGCGCCAAAGGCTGGTGTGTGTATGTGGCAGGCATTTTGCCGTCTCTGGTTGATAAATAGGCGCGGAAATTTTTTGCATTGATGGCTATGCTATTCATTTTTGATGCAAAATTTCCCCAACGGAATGGGGAGTGTTTTGATTCCCTCTTTCTGTCAGCCCCAAAAATAAAATTAACTTAATGATGAACTGGGAAGTTGGGCAGATTCCCGCCAATCAGTTTATGAACAGGAACTGAAACAAAACTATTGATAAAAATAGCGAAAAAGAAAGCAAGCAAGTTAAATGGGATGAAGTATTTTAAGATATGCAAAACTGGTACACAACGACAGAGGTAGTTTTCAGATGATTGAGCCCGAGTGTAACTAGTTATAGATGTTGCTCTTGTAAAAAGATTCATGCAACAATTGAAAGGTGCGTGGGTTGATTCCTCCAAGTTATTTAAAACTACCAAGCTACGCACCCAAGTAGAGTGTCCTTTCACATATATGTAATCATTCATATAAAGAGGCCTCTACTTACTCTTCCCACCTTCGTGATCAAGGGCGCTATTTAACTACAACCTGCCCGCCATATGCCTTCTCTGGAAACCTTTCGTCTTTCCCACAGGCGGCAACAAGCAGCAACAACCTGAGCATGCTTCCGAGACTTCAGAGTGTCAAGGTGAAGATGCTGCAGCTCGGCCATTCAACCCCAGCTTGAATATTGGGATAATTTGTCCACGATTCATTTAACCAAAAAGACAATGCAATAAAAGAACCTGACCAAAGAGACAGCTCTTCAAGGACAACAAACTCTTCATAGACCCATCACTCGCCAGTTTCAAGCTGTTGAAGGACGCCTCAATCTCATCCGGCTTCCTAGCTTTCTCCGTGATTGTTCACCTGCTCTCTTAAAAGAGATAAATAAATTTTCGAGATTGGGAGGGCCAGATCTGTCTGCTTTGAGAAACATGTGTATCAAGCAGACTCAAAACCGTGCTAGGCTGCTAATGTGACTCTAGTATCCGGTTCCGATGAGCTCTCATAGCAAGCGTCGGGCAGAATTACCTCAGTCATCTAACCTCCTCCAGAGGGGGCAAAGGCAACCGCGAAAACTTCAAGCACC